TATTTGTTTTCAAAATGTCATTTTCCTTGGATTTTGAAGGCTACAGATCACAAATTTGGCCTGAGGTTATTCTTCGTCGATGATTAAGTCCATCTAGCCCCGATTTAGGCGGATTTCTTCCGGGCCCAATTTTGGCAGACTTAAAAGTGTACCATCACAGATTTTGGGTGTTTTTCGAAATGTCATTTTCTTCCGATCTTGAAGGATGGAGATCACAAATTCGGCCCGAGGCTATTCTCAATCGATGATGAAGTCTATTGATCCTATTGTCCACCGATTCTTAAGCACGTTAGGAACCGATTTGTACTGTTTAATTTTCGTATGACATTTTCGTAATTATTTGGGTTATTTTTTTCAAGAAGTCATTTTCCATTTATTTTGAAGGCTACAGATAACATATTCGGCTTGAGGCTATTCTTCACCGATGGTTAAGTCCATCATGCCCCGATTTAGGCGGATTTCTTCCGGGTCCATTTTTGGCAGATTCCAAAGGGTTACCATCAAAGATTTCAGGTGATTTTTCCGAAATGTCATTTTCTTCCGATTTTGAAGGCTAGAGATCACGAATTTGGCTCGAGGCTATTCTCCACCGATGATAAAGTCTATTGATCATATTCTCCATCGATGCTTAAGCCCGTTAGGCACTGATTTGGTCGAATTAATTTTCGTATGGCATTTTCGTAAATTTTTAGGCGACTTTTTTGAAAATCTCATTTTCCTTCGATTTTGATGGCTACATATCACGGATTCGGCATGAGGCTATTCTTCACCGATGATTAAGTCCATCAAGCCCCGATTTGGGCAGATTTCTTCCGGGCCCATTATTAGCAAATTCTAAAGGGGTACCATCACAGATTTCGCTTGATTTTTCCGAAATGCCATTTTCTTCATATGTTGAAGGCTAGAGATCACGAATTCGCCCCGAGGCTATTCTCCAACTATGATGAACTCTATTGATCTTATTTCACACCGATGCTTAAGCCCGTCAGGCACCAATTTGGGCGGTTTAATTTTCCTATGAGATTTTCGTAAATTTTCGGCACTTTTTTCAAAAAGCCGTTTTCCTTGAATTTTGAAGGCTACAGATCACAGATTTTCCTTAGGCTATTCTTCTCTGATGAATAAGTCCATCAAGCCCCGATTTGGGGGAATTTCTTCCGGGTTCATTTTTTGCAGATTCCAAAGGGGTACCATCACATATTTCAGGTGATTTTTCCGAAATGCCATTTTCTTCCGATTTTGAAGGCTAGAGATCACGAATTTGGCCCGACTCTATTCTACACCGATGATGATGTCTATTGATCCTATTCTCCATCGATACTTAAGCCTGTTAGGCACCATTTTGGGTGATTAATTTTCGTATGGCATTTTCGTAATTTTTTGGGCGACTTTTTTGAAAATGTCATTTTCCTTAGATTTTTAAGGCTACAGATCACGGATTCGGCATGAGGCTATTCTTCACCGATGATTAAGTCCATCAAGCCCCGATTTCGGCAGATTTTTTCGGACCCATTTTTGGCAGATCCCAAAGTGGTACCATCACATATTTCGGTTGATTTTTCCGAAATGCCATTTTCTCCAGATTTTGAAGGCTAGAGATCACGAATTTGCCTCGAGACTATTCTACGCCAATGATGAACTCTATTGATTCTATTCCCCACTGATGCTTAAGCCCGTTAGACATCGATTTAGGCAGTTTAATTTTTGTATGGCATTTTCGTAATTTTTCGGCAATTGTTTTCAAAAAGCCGTTTTCCTTGGATTTTGAAGGCTACAGATCCCAGATTTGGCCTGATGCGATTTTTCTCTAATGAATAAGTCCATCAAGCCCCGATCTGGGAGGATTTCTTCCGGGTTCATTTTTGGTAGATTCCAAAGGGGTACCATCACAAATGATGGGTGATTTTTTCGAAATGTCATTTTCTTCCGATTTTGAAGGCTATAGATCACGAATTCGGCCCGAGGCTATTCTACACCGATGGTGAAGTCTACTGATCCTATTCTCCATCGACGCTTAAGTCCGTTAGGGACCGATTTTGGCGGATTAATTTTCGTATGGCATTTTAGCAATTTTTTGGGTGTTTTTTTTTTTCAAAAGGGCATTTTTCTTAGATTTTGAAGGTTACAGATCCTGGATTCGGCCTGAGACTATTCTTCATCGATTATTAAGTGCATCAAGCCCCGATTTAAGCGGATTTCTTCCGGATCCATTAAGACTACTTAATTGCATGTATAGTCACGTCTGGGTGGTCAAGTTCAAGTCTTCAATGAGCAAGTTAGCTTCTCGTGGGATAGAGAATAGAAATGGAATGGTGATGAGTTCATGGGAGTGATTTAATCACACCAAGCATATTCAGGATGGTTATGGAAGCTCTTATAATCAAGTACAACGACGCCGAAATGAAGGAATGCTCACAAATTTCAAGGACAAAATTTTTATAAGAAGGGAGGAAATGTAACACCCGACACTTAAAAAATTTTGGTACAATTCCTAAAATACCCTTCATCTATGACTAACTAACCCTTAACTAAACCTGTCTACTCAGGTGTATATATAGATGTGCAATGGAGCAGCCGTTTCTGGATCCCTTTGCCCTTTCGAACACTAAACTCAATCGCTCAGCTCACCTCTTCTCCCCACAGAAATACCATCATCATCGACTTCGACCGACAATACACCATCACCCGCCACATCTTAAATACGGGCAAGGAGGAGAAGTTGATCGAGCACTAGAAGAAAAAAGCTTTCTGCAACCACTAAAATTGGTCACTAAAAGTCCAAAATTGGTCATTAATACTTATCGCAACAAAAAAGAAATTGGTTGCAGAAGTGGTCGCTATATTCATGTTACGAATACGTAACGCAACCAAAATAGTGATTGGTAGCGGGAAAAAAAGATATCGCAACCAATGTTGCCAAAGGCAAAAAAAAACTTTTTTGCGACCATTTTGATTTAGTTGTCATAGTCCAACCTAATGGTTGGGAAATGTAGTTGATTTAGAAATTACATTTTTAATGAGTTCAATGACTTAGCAATTAGCATTCTGATAAGTCTAATTTGAATAATAATAAAAAAAAAATAGAGGAAACTTGACAGAATGATCATATTGGCCGTTAGTGAAAGCATAAGTTACTCAATTGTTACAATTTCAAAGTAGGCGATCATTTTGCTAGTAACCAACCTTAGGTGATCTTTTATGCTATTAATTAACCTTTGATTTAAATACGAACATCTGTCGAACGGCGAATACGGTTAGGGCTTTTGAATTTCTTGAGATGATGGCCGCCGAAACCTCTAGCCCCGTTGCGAAGCGAGGCAGGGAGGATTTCTGCTACAATGTCTCACCCTTGGCAGGGGAACTCAGAGAAACATGTGTGGGTCCTTGTGATATGACCGTTAGATCTTTTTTATTGAGCCCCGATCAATCTCAACAGTCAATTAATATTTCTATTCAATTGAAGTTTGGGTTTGACTTTAGAGAATCGAAGGCTCGGTATTTATTCATTAGAGATTAGGATATAGTATCATACCCCAAACTCGATTTAACTCATGATCTATCTAGTAAACTCAGTACACCAATCTGACCCATTAATTAACATCCGCTAACCCTGAAGTTTGTTAGTTTTATTATTCTAATCCTTTACTCGCCTACTGACGAACTAGAATTTTCTAGAGATAAAAGAAAAGCAACTACAAAATACATTTTTAATGGCGAAGGTGCAATTATGCAAAGATAACGATTTGGAAGATTCCAATTAACTGGTTAATTATTTGAAACCAGAACACGACATCATAGTTAAGGCTAAAACCCGATTTTTCTCTTTTTTTTTCTTTTTTTTTCATCAGAAGAGTTCATTATCTCCAATGTGTCTCTTCCCAGAAAAGGGTGACAACTAATGTTTTGATAAGAAATATCAACTAATCAACTCTTTTGTGCTGCTAAATGAGTCCCTCATTAACTCCCCCTGCTAATAATTTTCCTCCAAATAGGGACCCAATCCCAGCTCATACCACCCTTTTTTCGTGTCCTCAACTTGATCTATAACCCATGACCGACAATTTCCTACTTAAAGACTATTTAACTATGACGTCCTTCTAAAGTTAGGGTATTGACAATTTAGTCTATTGATTTACTTTTCGTGCTTGTTCGATTTTACATGGTAGCAGAGCATTAACTTCGATCTTTGTAATATAGGGTATGCCATGAGAAGATGATGAGTGAAAAAATCGTGTGAAAGAGAAGGAAGTAGATAGTTGGGAATGAGATTAGAAGAATTAAGAGAATTGTAAAAACCCAGGGATTGAGATCGCGAATCAAATTTGGGTAGGGAAATAACAGAGAATATAAAATTGAATAGTATATAAAATCAAACTGAACAAAAAGCAAATCGTGAACACGATATAGTGATGTGCTCCGGGGTTATAAAACTAGATGTTTGGTTGGAGTTCTCGAACCTAATCCACGATCTAATCATGCATTTTATTCCAGATTGAACTAAATGTCTAAATCTAATAGTCCAAATGCTACTACATATTCCCTTGAAGTTACAACTTACAACCCGCTAATGTCATCTTGGTTTAGTCACAATGAACGCGGTTCCTTAGCTAAAGATACGAACACACATTTCACCCTAAAATACCTCATTTTGCTCAAAAGGGAGGAACAAACCATCACTTTAGTGTTCACACTCAAAACACACATTTCACCCTAGAGCATGTACCCAACGACTACCCACTCGGTACACTCGTTAAACCCAATGAGCATAGTATCAAAGTAGGACACTAAGGTGCACTGTATGTAACTCTTTTGTAAACTCAAGTCTAAAAATTCTTACATACTCGAAACATTGTGAGATCACATGATGACTTTCCATGTCTCACGCGCTTCATGTTCGGATCGGTCCAATACTTTAGTTAGATGCCACATAACCAGCTCCATGCATATTTGTCATATCAAACCGTCAATGATAGTTGTCTTCGCATACTCTATGCATGTGTCTCAACCATACTTATAACATACTTGACAAGGAAACGTTTAGGAATTCATTCAGGCTTATACGCATGCTGTTCAATCCAAACAAAATACAATCGATATAACGAACCAATGATAAATCATTATTAATTGAGTTTTATTTACATAGATAACCCAAAGTGTGTTCAAGAAACGAAAAGGAGTCACTTGCACAAAGGATGCAGAAGAACGGGAAGTCCGAACTGAGGTTGCATACTAATGTAGCTGACTGGAGTGTGTTTGTAATCAACAGACAGAGTAAACGAGAAGTTCTGAAGCAAGAGCGCCAACACCGTCTTGGATTCCAACATCGCGAAGTTCTGGCCGATGCACGTTCGAGGTCCCAGCGCGAAAGGAAGGAAAGCGCTCGGGTGGTGGTGGTGTTTCACCGCTTTCGCAGCACCATCTGCGAACCTCAGCGGGTTGAAATCGAGCGCATCTTCTCCCCAATACTCCCTGCTGGTGTGGATCTTTGTGATTGGAATCATCACACAAGTTCCCTTTGGTATGCTGAAGTTGCCGAGCTCGATGTCCTCTGAGGCTTCCCTAATCAGCTCCGGGATTGGACAGTAGAGCCTCAGTGCCTCCATCAAAACCATATTCACCTGCATTCACAGGGGAGATTTTGCAGAACAACAACCTATCAGTAAATGGTATATGATTTAGCAGAATTGAACGTTTCTCCCTAGCAATTTGAGTTGTTGGCAGGGGAGATCCATGTATGGTACTTAACCCATTTCCTGACACGCGTTTTCAAACGAAAACGGATGACTCGTGAGCTTGAAGTTTGCACAAACCTCTACATACCATGTGTGCTTTAAAGGCAACGGTTAAGGGGTCTTGAGGACTTGAACAAGTGACCTCAAGTACTAACCAACTCCGATACCATGTCATAAACTAGTTGTCTGAATAACTCGAGTTGTTGGGAGATATTCAATTATGAATCATGTATCGCTTACTAAAAGTTCTTGACATGGTATCATAGCCTTTTGTGCGACTGAGAGGTTTTCTATTGTGACTCTGTATGTTCTATTGACCACATGGTATCTCGAATTTGTGCAAACTACAAGCCTATACATGACCAACTTTCGTTTGAGGGAGAAGTGTTAATAAATGGTATATGATCTATAACTGAACCTATCACAACAACTCGAATTACCGAAATCAATTCGTTCTTGACACAAGAATAGAACAATTATCATCGGGACCGACACAAAAATAGTTAAAACTCATCTCTAATTTTAACTAGGAATTTTTACCAGTTTGAGCCGGGTCAAGGTGTCCGCAGTGTGTATCCCCGCAGCACATTCCTTCTGCACTTCTTCTCTGACTTTGGATTGCCAGTCCTGATGAATGCTGAGGAGGAAGATTGTCCAAGTAAGCAGATTGGAGCTGGTCTCGTGACCTGCAAAAAAAAATGTCTTGCATTCCTCTATGATCTCATCCAAGTCCAACTTGGGCCCGGCACCTTTGTTACCGCTCTTCTCCGAGGATGCTATCAGCAGACCGAGCAGATCGTCTCCATAACTCGAGTTGTCGTCGCAACTCGTAGACTCGCAGCTCTCGAGCCTGCTCTTTACGATGTTGCGCAGCGAGTTCTTGACCTTCCAATCAAGCTTCCACAACTGAATGTTGGAAGGAGTTGGGAGATACCTGAAAGAAAAAAAATGAAAGATTCAATCTTCAACTAGGTAAGACAGCAACATTCGATTTATGATGAAGTTTTGAGTAGAATTGCCGGGTTTCCGCCCTAATCACTTACCTGCCAGGGACGAAGGCGCTCAGAAGTGAATCAGCACAGTACTTCTGAAGCCGTTTTTGGCCCATGAAGGCTTCTTTCCCTTGCACATAGCTGCTCCCAAAGGCGGTGCGAGCAATTATATCAGCAGTTAGCTTCTGGAATTCGTCGTTCATCTCTAGGGTTAGGGCTTGATTTTTGGCTGCCATGGCCTGATTTCGCCATTCGTGGAGGATGGATTCTGTACATTCCGTAATTGCGTTTATCATAACCTATACATGTCTCAAACCCACCCCAAGAAAACAGAGAGTTTCAGGACAAATGTAGACCAAAATTAAATTATATTAAAGTTATTATTTCCATGTCGAAATTCATACCTTAAGTTTGTCTACAGAGAAGGCCGGGTTAAGGATCCGCCGGCGCCTGACCCAGTCGATCCCGTTGGCTAGAGCCACGCCTTCGCCGACCAGCATTTTCACCGCGTGCCTGGGCTCTGGTTTCACGTACAGCTCGAACTTGGCCAGTATTTCTTTCGCCAGCTCCGGGTCGGATATGTAGACCCGGGGTTGCGTCCCGGCCCAATAGAAGAAGGGTTCCCCTGAAAATTTTCAGTACAAAATGAGACGCAAGAAGAGTTTCAGTTAAATCCATCTGCACACTATCACCGCCGGCCGACGGCCGTCGAAGAATCAGAGCAATTGGGCCATTGGAGTGGTTGGGTTGGGGAGATCAGAGCCTGACCCAATTGATCAGATGTACCGGGCCCAGCCCGCTTAAAACCCATCCTACCCGAAATCCATACCCAAACTGTTTGGGCCGAACACATTTGACCCAAAAATCTAGTGGGTTGATGGGCAAGATTGAAAAGGTTTTTTTGGAGTTTGCACTTTTTTAGTACCTAAACATGTCGATCTTTCCTACTTTTATACCTGATCTTTCTCAAGTTTAGAAACCAGTCCAGAAAATTCAACCAATTTTTTTTGTTTGAAAACACAATCAAGGTTAACAGAAAGCGACACTGTCGTACCCAGCTTTTAGGTTATTAATAAACTCAACAACTTACAGAAGAGAAGCAAATTAAACTAACTGAACATTTTATAATTTATATTAGTATCTCAAACATCTAAATTACCCAAAACTGAAACATTCTTTTCTAGACAAAAACATAAACTCATTTGACCTCAACTCATAAACCTGCTTCTATCACCAATAAAAAAAAAACTCATAAACCTGCAAGCTAAGTCCAAACTATCCATTCGTATGGTGCTCAAGAGCCATTCTTGCGGAAGTTCGTTTTTTGCTCAGAAATTTTCATGGAATTATTATACGATTTATAAGTCAGAATAGAAATCAGGTAATTATTAAAAACGTCCTTTCTTTGTATTTGGCTACATGTCGCTCTTTTGATTTCCTTTCCTGGCTGTATACTAGATTGTAATTTGTTCTAATCAATACAATATTACGTTCTGTAATTTCTTAATTAAAAAAAATACCGCAAATCACAAATTATATAACACGATAAGTTTCCACTTAACTGTCCATATTATTATCTTCTAATAAAAAACCCAAATATTCTCAAAATTAAAAAAAAAACATCCACAGTCATAAAGACATAAATAAACAAACCAGTCCAAATACCAAATTTACTCAGAAACCGGGTTTCTAACATATAACCACGATAAGCAAACCGCAGCTAGAGATCTTAATATCAATTGGAAGGTTTGAAAACCCCGAAATTTGAAGACGTGACCTCAACGACAAAGAGGTGGGAATTACTCGTACCGTACTGCCTGGACCAGGCGTGGAAATGAGGAAGAACTCGGTGAGTGATGTCATTGGAGTGCGGTGGTAAAACGATCCGGCCGGCTTCCTCCTGCAGCCTCTTCACCTCCTTCATGGACCCGGAAACGAAGGAGTAAGGCGGGCACCTCACGCCTCCTCGTCGGAGCCGCTTGGTGACGACGTACGGCCGCCAGACCACCTGCCGGAACAACCGCCACATCTTCCACACCACGGCAGCAGCGGTCAGGACCGCAACCATGGCAAATAGCCAGGCCGCCATTAATTGTTTGCTGCTGATGATATATTAACCAAGGATTACTTTGATTGGATTGTATGGGTCATGAGCAGGGCAGAACTGGGTTTTTGTTGGTGTGTCTTTTTGGTTGCTAGGCTTTTGGAGCATGTGTGGTGTGTGCTTTAAATCGGGTTTATTTGGATGGAGGAAGGATCTGGTTTTGTTTCTACATAGGTGTGTGTGAGTGAATGTGTGGTTGTGGTTGTGCATATAGGGAGAGTGAATGACATTTTCCCCTCTCCTTTCGATAGAATCTACTTTAACACTCTAACAGACTCTTTGGTACCAAATGAATCGGGAATTCATTTCATTGTAAAATAAGTTACCGTGTAGAATTCATTCTCAAATGAAATCTTGTGTTTGGTATGTCATATTCAAATCTTTAGAAATAAAATAAATTGTCGTGTAGAATTCATTGTCAAATGAATTTCCTGTGTTTGGTATGTTATATTTATAACTAATTTAGTTAATAAAAGAGGATAATTGTATCATTCTATTAAAAATAGTAAATAGTTGTGGAATTCATTTGGAAATTTCATCTCAATTCCTCGGAATTGCTATAACTAGTTCAAATTCTGTGGAATTCAAAATATAGAATTGAAAATGAATTCTTTCAAAATACCAAACACAAAAAAAAAAATTCAAAATGAATTCCGCAAAACTTATGGAATTCATTTATACCAAAACGGTATGTAATTATTCAAATGGTTTAATTTTCTTAGTTTCATCTCACACCTGGGGTTTGGAATGGTCCGGTCCGGTTATTTGGGGGAGTACCAAGTACCAACCCTTCACACAGTATTGTGGTATTTGGAAAATAACATGTGTCCAATATTGCATAATTTTTTTGAAGGCAAACATGTTATTTGGAATCAAATACCTCATCCAAATGTACTGTAAGGTGAAAGCGTGACAACACCCGCCAAAACAGCAAACAAATACCACACATCTATCGAATTTGTTATGTTTACCACCATATATCATGATGGAAGAGTTTTGAGGTATATAGCATTATATCATAGAGGTATGAAAACGTTGATATACACGATGACATGAGTATATACTAACCACAAATATCACATCGTAGTAGTAGTAGTAACGATCTCAACCAAACCATCACAAAAACATATACGAATACATAATAATAGTGGGTCAATGTTGGGGTTGGTTTGACCCACTAGCTCGATCGCGGGTTCGAGCCCCCATTCGTTGGGCGGTCAATGGTAATGACCCACACACCTGTAGCATTTTGAAAACGGTAGGGGCCTAGCTAGGAGGGGCCCACATGCAAAATTTCAGTTGATGGATTCCAGTTTTTAAGGTTTTTCATTTTGTCTTGGAAAACTGTCAGCTACGTACCAATCTAGTAAGTCTACCTACGAACTAATTAATATTGTTGTTGTTTCCCCCAAGTTATTAGCATAATATTCCCCTCCCTTTCCCTTACTTACTTACTTACACACATAACATAACTGATGAACAGCAACCAGCCAACAGCACATACATTTTTAACAATGGAGGCCACGCATCGTTTCCATCTTCTTTATCTGCAACTTGACCCTCCCGCTTTGCTTTGGGGAGAGCACTCAGCTCTGATGCGGTGGGAAATGGGGAGTGGAGGGGAGCGCAGCTGAGCCAATGCGGAAGCTCCCTTTTTCCAGTTTCCTCTCCACCTTTACAACACTGCATTATATTCTGCTGCTAATTATCTTCTGCTCAAATCTAATCTTTCAGGTACCGTACCAACACTACGCTAAGGTTTATCGAACAAGTTGGGACTTGCATATCGACTCAAATTAGTTAGAGGTTCAAAGTTTACCCGGTACAAAATTGTTCAGAAAAACAGGTTTTGGCAACAAAAAAATAATAATTATTATTATGGATTCATGATCGATATGAAAAATTAATACTAATCCACAAAATTTACACCCCCGCGTCTATATATTTAAGAGCACAATCAATAGTCGTAATCTACAAATTTCAGAGGAGATAACGAGACTTAAAAGAGGCTAGTAGTAGGGGGTGTTCAAACGGGGTGGTTATAGTGGTAACAGTTTTAATCAGTAGTATTTGGATAATTTTGATAATTGATTTCGTTTGGTTAAATGTTTTAGCTTATTTAGTTAAGGTGGGTTGGTTTGATTTCAGACACTCCTAACCAATCAAACCAAATTAACCAGTTAAGTAATTAGTCATATATATCTAATATATATTATAAACACATATTTAATACTTTTCATAACCAAATCAAATGTTCCTCCTTTTTAGGCTCATAAAAAATAAAGCTCAATATTGTTCCTATACTATATATTTGTATTTGTGGAGTGTAGACCACAAGGCACAACATACGGACGCCTAATTTAGATAAAAACCCATATATTATGTTAGATGAAAACTTAAAAAGAATGTCTTTTTCAACCTAGCCATGATAATTGCTAAGAGATTAAGTCAATTCATGAACCTCATAGCATTGCATATATTCTTGTTAGGCTAATACTTCTATTGAGTGTAAGAAAATTGTATTAGTTGCATGTATTTATGTTAAGGGTTAACTATAATTATGTGTTGATTGTTATATTGTATTCATTATATAAATTGGAAATTGATGCATTAATGAAAATTTTGTCCCACTTAATGATAATGTGATGTTATATTTGGTTAATCTGGTTAATCAATTAACCAAACCGATTAGACTTTAGTTTGGTTAATTTGATTGTTGTATTAGTTTGGACGGTTTTGTTATAATATTGTATATCTACGGTTAATAAAATTTATACTTTTCATGTACGTAGTGCATGTCATAAGGCATTGTGATGCCTATTTTATTATCTCTAAACATATTGCTATTGGTACGAACTTAATTTCAGACCAACAAAATTATTGGAATCCAACTTTTTTATATGTAATTAATCAGTAAATTAAATTATCACCTAGCACCTCTCACTGTGCTCCCATCATAGCTAGGATGCTGCATATCATACATACCGTTTGTGCCAATTGATCGTGTGGAATTTCATCTTTATTCTCTCTATGGTCAAGATAATTAAAACAAAGCAAAGTGGATTAGACTAGCTCCATTATTGTACTAGAGAATATCATTTTACATTTGGTACGTAGATCTACATAAAAGATGTAAGCACTAATGCACTATGTTCATGTATTAGTGTGTGGTTCAGTCTATCGTATGTCTCACATTCGAGCCAATATATACATCACCTTAATTAATGTGGGGCACTGTAAGAAAGTGGTTAAGCACTATACACGGGCTTGTATAAGATCCAGCATAACCCTTCTCCCAACAACTCGAGTTATTGGGAGCAACTGGTTCTTGACATGGTATCAGAGCTGGTTTGTCCTTGAGGTCACGTGTTCAAGCCCTCACGACCCCCAATATTAACCGTTGTCTTTCAAGCACATGGTAGGGCTGGGCATGTACAAACTTCAAGCCCATGAGTCGGCTTTCTTTTGAGGGGGCGTGTAAGGAAGTGGTTAAGCACCATACACGGGCCTGTATAAGATCCAACATAACCCTTCTCCCAACAACTCGAGTTAGCATCATCCACTTGCTATCACATGAAACCAAGCAGAAGGTGACCCTTCTTGATTCATCATCCAGGTGGCATCACATCAACCGCAACATCTCACTAAGTGTGTTAATTTGTTTCCCAGTGAGAAAAATTGTGTTTGAAATATGATTATTACACCTGGACTTCTCGGACGGTAATTCTAAGAGATGACTCGAATGTGACAGACATGTTTTTAACATGTTGGATGAGTGATAGTTACTTCGTCAACCGTCTATGCACCCCTCTTGGAGCCGACACGAGACTCGGAGCATAGCTCTCTCTGATATCACCTCATGCCCTCTCTAACCCTCGCTTTGTGTCTTGCGATGATTTAGCTAGCCTCATGTTGTGGGAGAAATCGTCTTGTGACCACAGTACGTCTCACATCATCTCATCTCGTGGCTTCGCGTCGACTTGCCCTCGCGCCCTCGCGTAGTCACGTTGACTTAACCTCGCGCCCCGAGATCTCGTGTCATGTCCTGAATTCAACGATCATTTTGTACCGAGCCTCATGTCGTGCCCTCGCAACGGCTCGACCTTTTGTTGTGCCAGATATCGCCTCGTGTCGTATCAAGCTTCTCATCGGACCCTCTCTATGTCGACTCGTTTCATGTCTCACATCATGTATCTAAGGTCTCTTGTTTTGGTGCGCCATGAGGTGGTGCTCTTGTGACATGGCTAATTGATGGAGAGACCATGTCCTTTGTTTCTCAGTAGTTTAAGGTCTAAGAACCTAACTCCATCATGCCCAACTTAATTTACATTAGTTACTAACACCATTAGAATGACCTAATAAAAGCATCAAATGTTTTATGAATAATCAATGCGAATAAACAATTGGGCATCAAATTCCATGTCGTTGATTGGCAACAAGAAAGAGCTTCTTAGGTGACTTTACCTGGGATATTTGTTTATGTTGAGAATATCTATGCTATATTTTTTTATTGTTCATTGGCAACGGTTCCCTAGCACAAAGCCACTAACAAGTACGGTCCCCGTGTAGAGGACCATGCTAGGAGAGAGGCCTTTAACTATAGCCCATTAAGGTCTACGGCTATGGACACTATTTAATTATGTTGTTAGAATTAAATTGGAGTATGAATCGGGGTGGCGGACGATTTGTACTTTATTGGTTTAATCGATATTAGACTGCTAAAAATCATTAACGGATCAATGCCTCCTAAACATGAAAATTATAAGTATTCCACACATATAACACAGTGAAACATGATTATATAGCTACGTATGAAAGGCATAACCTATTTTTCTAATTAAATGAAAATTATCCAATGATAAATAATTTTTCAGAAATAAGAATTATAAATGAGTTCAGATATAAAAAAAATTATGGACATTTTAATTTTTGTATAACCAAAATATGAATTATAAATAACAAAAAAAAGTTTCATATGATTGCCTAAATAACAAGCAATGCAACTACTTTAACTATCAAGAGGTGAGGGCTTCAAAATCCCTTTTGGTCATACATATTTATGGGTTTTGATCTTTGAATCGATTGTTCAGTTCATCTATGTTTTGTGGTTAATCGCCCAAACCATTATCCGACTTAATGATTTGTAACAGACAATTAATAAGTTATCGATCTGGTAGTCGCGTTCTAGTTTTATCAATGAACCGACCCGTTCAACTCGATTTTAACAACATTACTATTTAAGCTATGACTGATTATTTATTTTTTAACTAATCTTTTGTTTCGTTCAATAATAAAACAAAAAATAATAAACAAATATTGATCTAGGATAGTAGGATCTATAGAAAGAATACAAGAAATTGCAATTTTCACAGAGGCCCATCCAAAACACAAAGTTCAGAACCCAAGACGCAACCACACAAGTGCTTCTCAAAGCCCAAGAAAGTGGATCGAGCCCACCAAAAACCCAAGTGACTAAATTGCAATTTTCACTCAGTTGTCGTTGCTGACTGCAGATCAACATGTTCAATGTAACAGCCAAATGATGCGTGTAAAATTCTAAACACGAAACAAGAATTTTGGAGGGATTTGGGATTAGAGTGACTAGAGGATTTGAGGACAAAACCGAGAGGAATAGAAGGAAGAACGAGAAGAAGCAATGAGAGCAAATTAAATAAGTAGCGATGGCAAACGCGTGGAACGGGCGGTATCTAATTATTCATACTCGCTTTATACCAAATTTGGATTGGGGAGGGTAAAAACTTGTTTGGATATGGGGCGGGAGAAGTTGACTCACTTTTATATGTTATTTGAAAAAAAATTAACACAAAATTTTATTTTTACGATATCTTTTAAATAAAAAAATAGTGATAATAGAATGTGTAATTGAGTCTAATTAGTTGAAAGATCAATTTCAACTAGATACATAAAAACCAAAATAGGAGAAATACGAATAGATATTGTAGGAAATTGAGTTATAATGGGTCAAGAACGGGGAGGGACAAGACAGGTCGGAAGTAGATATTCATGTCCCGCCCCACACTACTATGGATCAGGTAATACCTGCCTCATTGTGGGTCAGGTCGGGTAATGCCCAGTGGGACGGGTTCAAATTGTTATCCCTACAAATAAGGGATTTAGTGGGTTCAATTTTATTCATAATCAAACTAGGACAACTCACTTTTTTAGAGTAGAACCCGAAAAATCTAATTTTGTACTTATTCGACTGCAAGCATCATTCCTTGCGTTGCCTAAAACAAGGCAAGATACCGCCCCGTGGGTAGCACTGAAGCTAGGATGTAGTCTTAAAGACTACACTCTAATCCAAAAAAATTTGGGATTCGTGGATAGATGTCAAAGACTGCATCCCAACACTATAATTTCTACAATATGCATCCACATGCAAATCTCTACAAAGGCACACTCTACTATTGAAAACATCCTTGAGGAAGAGACAAAGGGTGATGATCCCCCTGCACTGGTTATTCAAAGTTTGACAAAATCCTTGTAGCCAAACATTGGAGAAGAGGACACAATGAAGGGGAATTCACCTAAGGATGATCAACCTCACATGGATAAAGAAGGTGAAAGGCCACTAGAGGAGCAACCATCTCGACCTATCCAATCAAAGAATGAGTTTCAAGAGAAGTCACCTATCAGAAATGTTGATGACCAAACCAACATGGAGTCCAACTTAGAAGAAAAGCAAGATGCCCACACCATCTAAGAGATCATGGAGGAGTTCATAAAAAAAGGATATATAATTTATCTCAATGGAGAAAACTTCAAGCCACACCCATCAAGAGTTCAACTCGAGTTGGGCGGAGGACATTGAAAAAGACTGCAACTTCAGTCTTGGAAAAGAAGGGACCTCTACAACATCCTCTACACCAATGGAAGAAGAGTAAGGAGTAACAATCCCACCTACTCTAGATGATGTATCCCTATTCACAGAAGAACCAATTTTGGAAATGGATGGACCCCTTCAAGATCCCTTATCATCTTCTCAAGGTTATGAGCAAAAATTTGAACAAGAAGAAGTAAGGGTTGAGCAAGAAGTGTTCACCATTTACAAGGACCCTCTTGATAAAAAGATGGAGGATGACAATCAAACATTTGGAGACCATGAAGAAAAATTCAAAATCTTGATGGAGATGCATCATGTAGTCAAGCCAGATCTCAATCGAATACTTGATGAGGATCCCTTTGCACTATTTCTAGAGAGCCATGAGACCGTAGGAAAATAAAACGGAGAAATGGAGCAAGGAGATCCAATGGTGCCAAATTTGACGAGCACCTCAAAACATGAAATACAAACCTATAAAATGAGGAAGGAAGAGCAGTGGGGGTTCCACCCATTGCAGCACCGCTGCTAAGATACCCTATTCAACTTACGCTAAGTTTTCTTCTACAACACGAAGATGGAGTCAAGACAGTCTGTCTTCAACAAGAAGAATGACAACGGTTCGAACCAACGCTACCCATCCCTAACACCTGCCGCAAAGTTTCTGTGACTACACGAAGAGTGACTTGAAAAAGTCTTTATCCAAAGAGGAAGCATGCGGCAGTGCCCCCCAATGCCCACCTGTCGTTCGCCTATAAAAGAGAGAGCACCCCTCGTCTTTTTTCTCACATCAACTCACGAAGATCTAGAGCATCTAAAGTCAAATTCGATGAAACAACTCGTTGGAGCTCAATTCCAATAAGATTTTTAAGGAAGGAGTTATGAAGACCCATTCTTGTGAGATGGTGGAGGAGAAAGATGAGGCATGATAAAAGATGTTGGAGCCTACTCAAACCCATACAATAGAGCCATCTCATGCCATGAAGGAGGACAAAGATGATGACATAGCCTCGACAAAGGAGATGATCATCCAATAATAAGCATCTCGATACCCTCTAATGGTGTGAATATTGTTAGAAGCTTTAGGAGGAGAAGAGAGTGTCATGCCATTTCTGGAGAGCATTGAGTACACATAAAGAGTTGGTGGAACGACTACTTGTCTTTGTCCTTCTTCTCCAACCATCGTGTGTTGAAGATGTTAAAGATGCCCATTCTTCCTCCGAATCAAAGTTGTCTTCCTCTACGTTATCCTTATCTTCCAATGGTTGCTCGAAATGGGTGGGGCTTTAGGGCTCTTCTTCTTTTGGTCTGGATGCTCCTTCATTCGTCTTTTAATATAAGGAAACTCGATGCTTCTCCTTTTAGAAGTATCTCTTCCACGATCTTTAGATTTTTTTACTTTTTTTCTAGTAGCTATTGTCAAGAGTTAGCAACTAATCCAACCCCTATTCTCTTCGCATTCCTTTTTACTTCTCTCACTGATGTCTTCGATCTTTCTCGGTGAAGCTTGCTTGCTTGCTAGCTTGTTAGGGTTACTAATCTTCCCAAGTCGACTTTGCTCGTTTTTCAATTATTTCACCCAATTCATCCAAAAGAGAACAGACAAATACCCTGATTACCCTCCATGACATAAACCCTAAAGGCTTCACATCTGTCAAATCCATCTTTCCATACGTGATTGAGCATTGCAGGGTTCTCCAGGTTAGTACTTCCCTACGATCACGCATGGAAATCGATTCGTCATCTGTGATCGAATTCATTAGAAAAGAATCCCCAGATTGGGACGACGAAGTGATCGCCACGGCCCGGTTCAAGGCATTTAGCGGGCAGAGATCCGATTGGGAACCCAAATACCAGTTTTGGAGGGAATTGATTCTCAGAGTTGCCCGCCATTTCGGCATCTTCATCATTCAGCCTCGCCAGGTATTTCCAGTAACACCTCTCGCTTCCGTTTAGAATCTCATCGCAACTTCTCCTTTTTGCCTGATTCCTGCCCTTCTCGTTTCCCTTCGTGAAGGTGAAAAATGAGTGGTTCAATCGAGGAGGAATCACGCCTCTGTGCCTCGACCATGTACTCGTAAGTAAAGCTTCTAGCCATTGGATATAGCGGTGGCTCGTGAATGGGTATATGATTTTGTGTCTCTCCCTCGTTTTTTCCAGTCCTTAATGCACAATGAAGGTGATATTGTTCCGATTTGGAGTCTCGTGGATCCAAGGAGCTGGCGAGTGTCGCAGTTGTTTAGAAAAGTGAGGAATGTGATGGGCAGAACGACTCTTAATGTGGATATAATGCTCGAAGATCGTGTCGTTATTGTAGCATTGGCCAAGGTGTGTGCTGCTTGGTTTCTACATCCAATCCCGGATTTCAGCTGGGCGTTGATTGTTTTTCTTAATTAACTTTGGTCCTGTTCTTGGCTAGGATAGAGCTACAGAAGTTATCAGTCTTTTATCCGAAACCCATTGGACATCTGCGTGTATTGTGACTATGAAGAAGTTCCAAGATATGTGTGGTGGACCAAATGAAGGCTCGGCTGTCTTAAGTTGTTTAACTGTAGATGGAAAAGCGCGGTACCTTTCCACGACTAGCAGAAAGGAATTTGTAGAGGTGAACTTCACAATTCTACGAATGCTCTTCTCAGGTTTCTTTAGTTGGACATGAAACTAGCTACAGTCTCTTTGTAATTATGTACTTGCAACTATGTGCGGGAATAGCTTATGGCTGAATGGATGTTTAATCAGTTCTGATTGGTTAGAAATCCTCTTCGGGTCATAGGTCTTTACTAGTCTCGATTCTTACTTTTCAGGGAATCAAGGTTTCACTTTCAACTGAAGCTGCAGCTCCCATTTCTAGTTTGGATTATGATGTTCTGCAATTGATTTGGACAGCAGAAAGGCTTCAGCAACAAATTTCTGTGATTGATCAGCGCTACAAAACGTAATTTCTAATCGATCTTGTTGACATGCCTATATGTGCTCCATGTTGAATTGAGATTCAATAACCATCAAGCATATCTACTTGGATTGGAACTATACCTGCTATAGCAATTAAGTACTAATTGGAATCAGAACTCAGAAAGAAAGAAAAAAAGACGACCCTCTGCTAACTCGCCTCTGTTTCTTTTAGGCATGAACAGCCAACTCCCTTGGCAGTCTTGCTAATCATGAAGGGTTTAAATCACAATAACTTATGATTTGGTCTGATCCCATAAGATTCTTCTTAGATTTAGGCTTTAGGAAATAAATGTGTGTCATTATAATTGATGCTCCATGTCCTTTGCAGGTCGAAAGAATTGGCGTTGGCTTCATTGAAGTCTGGAAACAAGAAAGCTGCCTTGAGGCATGCAAGGGAATTAAAAATGGCATCGGTTAGTGGAGAAAAGTGTGTTTCACTTTTAAACAGAGTGGAGGAAATCCTTGAAGTTATTGCTAATGCAGAGTCCACCAGAAAGGTAGTTTGCAGTAGTTAATGAATTGTGAAACCCTTTCCTGCTACGATGCTATATTCTCCTTCCATCCAGTTGTGCATTCATTACTAGTCCGTTTGGAACGATTGTCCAGTGTAACATAGCTCTGTGCTTCATTTGCCAAATTGCGATAGCCAATATGAAGTCTTTTTTACCCATAGAAACATCAGAAAAAATTCAATGCATTGACATTTCTTTTATCAGGTATCTGAGGCCATCCAACTAGGAGCTCAGGCGATGAAGCAAAATAAAATAACAGTGGAGGAGGTTGAGCTATGCTTAGAACAAGTTGATGAGGCAATCCATTCAAATATGCAAGTTGAAAAAGCTCTAGGTAGCACCTCTTCTTCCTCTGAGCACAACTTGTTTTAGTTCTGGCTGGTGGAATTGAATTTTGTTATTTTGTTGCTCCTGTATCTAACTTTAGTTCCTTTAAATCACAGAATTGACTCCATCTTACACTGGTATTGAGGATGAAGATGTTGAAGAAGAGTTGGAGAAATTAGAACTTGATATGAAAAGAGAACATCATAATGTTCAAGTTCCAATAGCAAAAGCGGGTACTGCGGAATCCGCAGATTCATTGAGCGATGCTTTGTCAAATCTCAAGCTTCAGGATGTTCCAGCCGAGGAAGGTGCAAGTCAGGGTTCGGCAGCATTGAAGCAAATGAGCAAATCCCAAAGCAAAGCACTTGAAGCAGCGTGATTTGAGCATCACTGTTGTACTACGTGTATAAACCGTGTTCAGTTGTGCATATTAATAGTAGTTCTAGTTCTGCTAGGTTCCTTATCCATTGTCTACCATTAACGAGCTTGTAAATTTTCAGTATAGGACTAGTCTTAGACATCAACAATATTAGTACCTTGAACAAGCTATAGTAACACCATTTCTTACGAGAGATTGTAGCCATCTTAATTTGCATAGATTGAAATCATAGATCATGTCAGTCAGTCGAAGAACTATCTTTTTTTGCCTTCAATATTCAAATGGATACCAGCACAACCGTGGATTCATAAGCGGGCATTCTCTAAATCTACAAGCTTTAGCATGTTCCAGCCATGGATGGTGTGGAATCAGCGTTCTGCTGCCTTGAAGAGGATGAACAAATACCAAAGCTTAACACTATATCAAGATAAGTTGAGTATGATCTTCATTGTGTGCGTAAGATGTGTTCAGATATGCATATAATAGTTCTACAATGAGCCTTTTTTTTCCTATGTCGAACGAGCTTGTTAGATTTACTTGCACTGAGTCTTATACATCAACGATATTGATACAATAAACTAGCTGCTCTAACTTGTATTTTGCCAGAGATCGTGGCCATCTTGATTGTTCAGATTCTGAGATGGTAGGTCTCTGTCGGGGCAAAGAAATGCAGTCCTGAACAAGTCTTTTATAGGTCTCTTTTCCTGGAGGTGTACACAGAAATCCAAGGCCATAAAGGATTTGCTCCTTGGCTGCTCAGGCAGAATCTCTTTGATTTCTTTTGCCAGTCCCAGATCCTTTCGCCGAGGATTCAGTTGTTCAGTAAGAAAACTGAAGATCGAGAAACACGCAGCAGGCAGAAGCCTCTCTGCATTTGTTGAAACCTATCCACATTTCCATCAGTTTGGCAAAGGCTACTCGATGTTAGAGAAGATAATTACACCTTTCAATCCATGGGAAGTGCCTATTGATTCGTCACAGCCGGTCAAACCGGCAGAGAGGCACTTTACCCATCTTTCTGGTCTTCCATATTCAGCATTTCAGGGTTAGTGCCCTGAAATGCAGCATCTCTTGTACCCACAAAAGGAGGAGCAGATCCCATGAGTTCCATTGCAGGCATAGGAATTGAGGGTGTAGAGGAAGACCCTCCAGTAGGCATGGCACTGAATGGCTGCAGCTGTGGCATTGTCAAAGGTAGCATTTGTCCCGGAAGGCCAAGCAGCGGTGAATTGGTGAGTGGAGTTGGGTTGCACCCGAGACCCATTTGCGTATTCATCCCCATTGCCATCCCCATCCCCATCCCCATAGATGGAGGTTGTGCCATTTGAGGAGCTTGGAATCCAGGTAACATCATTGATTGCATCATAAGGCCCCTCCCCATTGCCATTATCTACATTCATTCGTAACTCAACATCCTTTAGGAAGTGAATAAAACCAATGCTTTTCTATGCAGTAGCTAGGAAAGACCATAATAACCAATGCTTCTAGTTCTACCTGTAATTGAAGCTGAAGACCTTTCATATACTCAATTGCCTCATCAAGCAACGATGCTTTGTCTATCTTGTTCGCATTGGGTATCATATCTTGCAGCACCTGCAATTTCTTATTGATTTTCGCTCTTCGTCGCTGTGCAACAATGTCCACAGAGAAACGAGTTAAATTCCTGAGAGGGGGGGGCTCATTACGTTTGATTAGTTTACTTTAACACCACCACCTTACCTTCTCAGACTGGTTGTGAACTTCTGCAGATCGCCTCTTCTTCTTCCTGCCTCGTTGTGCCTGTTCAAGATACAGCAAAAACCATCTCAGAACAAAACTGACCAAATAACGGAACTTTGGCAGGCAAAATGAGGAGCTGAAGAGTTTTATTTTACCGTCTCGGTGGTATCCTCGTGGTGGGTATTCTTCAAACGCTCGAAATCATTGGATGCAGCAAGTGAGCAGCACGCCGACTCTTTTCTGTGATCAGGGTTTTCATCCCCGCCGGCGGCCGCATTCGCCTCAATCTTCGCCCGCTTGGCTCTGGTGTCACTGTCGCGAGAAACAGCTTCCGATTGCTCATCCGGCGGCGCCAACAAGTCGAATCGCTTGACACTTTTCGACCCACTCTCCACCAGAGTCGACTCGACAGGAATGCTGCTCTTCCCTCCATTGCTGCTCCTCGTCAGCAGATCGAGCCTCGAACTCGAATTGGGACAATTTGTCGAATCCGTGGAACAACTATGAGTGCCCTGCTGCTGCTGCTGGGGGCTCGGATTGTCCATGAGCATTTGAGCGAACGGTCCCCATCCAAGGTTGAATTGGTAATCGGGGACTTTGGGTACGAGCTCATTGTTGAATGCTGCTGCTTCCCCTGAAGATGGATGGTGGTTGTCAAGGTCTCTGTACTGTGGAACGACGTGGGGCTCGAAACCCGTCTGATCGTTTGCTCCGAATCCCAATCTGGGGCGTTTCAATCTGTGGAGCTGAGAAGGGCGGCTGCGGCTTGGATGCCGGGCCAGAGGCTGGCCACTTTCCCACACTAGCTCGGCAACACCTTCTTCGACACCATGAATCCTGCCCACCAAAAAAGAGAAAAGGGGGTTAAGAAACTGAATTACTACCCAATGTCAAAGTTTCGAGCTTTTTAACAGTTTTTCAGCCCAATGGCGACGGATGGAAGAGAGCGGGCGTACATGGGGAGAGAAGCTAGCTTATGAGGCAAATTTGAGTCTTCCGCCATTGTTGTGATGATGGTTTCTTTTCTTCAGTGGTTTTGGTTTGGAAGTGGAGAAAATGAGTCGAGGGAGAGGAAAGGGGGAAAGGGATGAGAGGCAAATTTATAGTGGGAATCGTGTGGCGTAATATCTGATCCAAGGTCGACCACGTAAAAGTGATAAGAGGAGCTGATTGAAATGAAAAGAGATGGTCCCAGAAAATGAAAAGAGAAGAAAACATGGCATGGGCTGCCGTTGCCACCCCATGAGTACACAAGGAAAAGAGAGCAACAAGTGCTTTCCACAAGCAACCATAGTATCCATTCTTCTTTTGATTCTGTTTTGGAACCAATATATCGAAACTTCCCAAGAATCATATCCCATGCCATGTTTTCTTTTGATTCTATTTTAAGAATCCTCTAATCACTTTCAAAACGTAACTTGTTCTCCTGGAATTGCACGGGTACGAATCACCAAAAATTTCGTCCAAACTCTGTAAAGCTACTCATCGTGTGAAAGTTGTGTGTATCCTTCTGCGTCATGTTAACGGGGAAGAGGCTACTACAATAATCAAAACCTCGGGATTTGAATCTTGGGAAGTTTCGGATGCCTCTGGATTCACTAGAGGGATCTGAGTGCTTTGGAACAAAAGAAATTCGTCTTAGCCTTGATATGCTATCTACATCCGCCCTAGGAAAATATGTAAGAATGTCTGTCTTACATGGTGGATTGTCGAAGAACACCTTCAAGTACATCTTTGAAAAGATTGATAATAAACTCACTACGTGAAAAGGCAAAAAAATCTTTCCCTTGCTAGAAGAGTTACCTTAGCAACCTCAATTCTTAATATAATTCTGCCTTATCAATGCAAACTAGGCAGCTCCCAACCACAGTTTGTAATGCAATAACATGAAAAGTAGGTGATGGGAAGATACATCTTGTCTCTTGGAACACATAGTGCAAACCCCAAGGACCAATGAGGGTTAAGGCTGATATCATCGAGGAATTTGAATATGATGTATATGATCAAATTGGTATAACAATTAATTATAGATTTGGGTGTAGGCTTCAAGGAAAATACTTTAAACATAAAGACGATCCATTGTTTTGATGAAGATGAGTAACCACTCGAGTTCCTGGAAAGCAATACTCAAGGCGATGTTGATGATGAAAAGAGAAACAATCTGGAGTGTGAGAGATGGACTCAACCTTGGCTCGACAATGAATTCATCCTCGAGAACCACCTCCTTGATGCCTTCTTGGTATGCTTTAATGATTTTCAAGGTATAAAGTAGCACAAGGAAATTTGAATTAAGCATTGAAGAACTCTAGAGGACCGAAAGAGCTATAAAGAGAAGAACATGGAGCTTAAAGATGAAGTCCAATGACAGAGAGGCCTGCTATTAATCACAATATGAGTCGAAGAAAATCTTAGTGGGAGAAGACTCAGCCCAAGCAGAAAAGAGAGAGGGAGAGAGAGAATTGTGACAACTAAAGACTAGTTGCGCTTCTTCCTCCCCCTTTAGAAGGCCTAGCAACTGATCAAACTGTCGTTGGAGGAAACTTGGTCAAGATACGTCCAAATAATGAGAAGATTTCGTCCAGGGGCCAAGGAGTCCAGCCCATGAAGAAAAAGAACGGTGGTCCCAATCGCCGCCCTACCGTCGCTCGTGCCCTAGCTTCTAGAAACCTTCCTTAGCAAGGTACTTTGTCCACAAGTTGAAGGAAACCGACTCCAATTAGGACAATGAAGGTTTTGGCCGACATCATAATGAAAAAGACTAGAAACCCCCTCTCTCTTGTAATATAAATAGGTGCTCAGAATTCAGTTACAGAACAACTTTGACTCCTAAAAAAGTCAAGCTCTATCGAATTAAGGAGATAATGATTCCATCCATGCTTTTCCCTAAATCTCACATGGCTAGCTAAACTCTTTGTTTTTTGAGGTGTTGATTCTATGATGTCTATTGTATTGCTTTCTATGAATTAATGAAATGCCCTAGAGCATCGATGGTCCTTCTTGGAGCATCGATAATCTAGTTCTTTGTATGCTTGTTATCTTTCTATGATGCATTACTATGTGCGCTGATTATACTACTATCATGAGAGACAAGGAAACTAATCTCTTGTAGTGCACATAGGGAACGTGGAATACAACCATCGAAAGACCTCGTGAAATACAACCCGCGAGGCATCTCCAAGTTCTACATCCAACCCATTTTCTCATTAGTATTACTCAATCTTACCTCAGCCTAATACGAAAACAGGAATATAAATATTTAAATCCAATCCATTCCCTCCGGCCTCGCCCATCACCATCACTAGTCACAATGAGAAAACGAACACCGCAGCATGTAATTGAGAGGAGAGAAGTGGAAAAGTAGCAAGCAAGCAAAAACAACAAAAGAGGGAGTGGGGTCGGGCAGAGGCAGGCGTGAAAGCTACAGGCAGACACACCAGGCAATATATCACGTGAACGGCCATGGGGCTGCACGTGAACTACACGCTTTTTTTCCCGCACCATCCTCTCCTCTCCTGAGAAGAAAGAAACTCGGGATTATATGATTTGATCTTTTGATTTTGATGGGCCTTTCTGGACTCTATCGCCACTTGGGCTCCACAGTCCACTAACCCTCTCGTCGCTTGACTTGACGGGTCGTAGGAGTGCTTTCTTGTTCGTCTTTTGTGCGGGCTCTCTTTGCCACCTGCCACGTCTTCGGTTTCCTTTCTAACCCAACTCTCGTCACCCTATATCAAAAGTCAGTGTTATGATATTTTATAACAAAATCATGGTTTAATCGGTAGTTCAACCATTAGACCGTTAAATAAGTCACTTTAACTTTCGTGGTTGATTCATCGGTACGGTACGATTTCACGTTCCATGCCCTAGAGCCCAACCGTGGTTCGTTGGTGGTCGCATTCCAAGTCAATAAGTCATTAGTCAATGGATTTAACAAACCGAACCGATTTCATGCGCCAGTAGGCATTAAATCCACTTTGTGCATAAATCACAATCCTCCGCCACAATGCAATCAAAATTGCAATTTTACGTAATCTAGAATCATAATATTGGCTTTTATGTTTTTTTTTAAAATACCAACATGTTGCTATATCAAATCACATTTATTACATTAAAAGCGTTTTGAAGGCCCGATGGATACATAAAAGCTGCATAGCTTTTTAAGTTTTAAAAGCGCGATTTTAACTACAAGAGATCGTGCATGCATAGGAGTTATTATCTAGTTATCAGCATATCTTAACTGGCTTGACCTCAACATCCCAATCATGGACAGTAGCAGGTAGGTAGAGCAACAGTTTCTAAGAAACCAGACAGAAGAAAAGTCCTTCCTTTACATACTAGAACCTCTCACGAAATCATGAGACGCCGCCTTATATTGGAGCAAAGCAATGGAACCAGTAGCAAAAAATCATGTTGAGCCACGGAAGACATCCTTGATAGATTCGGCCACGACGTACCTCAGTTGCACCACCTTTTCCCTTCCCGTCTGAATTTGTGCAACAATGTAAGGAAAAAAGAAGAGAGTCAGAATGTTTCGAAGTTAACAATTGGGTTATATTTAGGTGAGGGGGAACTTGCCTTCCGCACGGCTTCGATCTTCCTCTGCGCGTCCACGAGCAGCTTTTCTACTGTTTCTTCGGCTTGCATCAGACTCTTTTGGTGGATGGCTTCTGCATTTTGGCGAAATCAACCAACGACAAACAACGATGTGTCAACGATCATTATGCATAAGATTTTAAGATTGATCTGGTCTGGGGGGAAAAGATATGAAGGGTCGAATTGTACTTTGCTTTTTCATTGTCCCCTTCAACTCGTTCTGGTACGACTCTAGTCCTTCCACTGCCAAATTGTAGTTCTGGAGACATTGATGAATGTCTTGCTCGAATTTCTCGTGTATCTTCTTCAGTTGCTCTGCTTGTTCTGCAAAAAAAAAAATGGTGGGGCATACGGACAACGAAACTGTAACAGAACGCGAGAAAGGTGACGCAAATAGGCAATAGCACAAGGCGGAGACAGAGAGAAGAAAATGATAGCAGGTAACAGCTAAAACTCATAGCAGTGAAACACAAGAAGAGTGCTGCACTTTTTGACCAGATGACTGCAGCTCTAGTCTTAGACATGACCATTGAAAAACTCAGAACCTTGAAGAGGCAGTTATCAGGTTTCACCATAAATAGGAAAAGGAAGAGTGAACTAATGACAGAAGTTCACACTCGGAAATAACTGCTAAGAAGGAAAAAAGTATGGCAAAGTGGTGGTTTTAACTTATTTTCATCTAAAACACAATGTATAAAGAAGAACGTGCGATGTTGTTGTCATCGGCCATAACCATAAGGAAATCGAAGTTCAGTAGATTAACAGACTGGATTATATTTGTTACCTCGCAAGCTTGACTCGACTCTTTTTCTTTTCGATGTGCTGATGCTCGTCAAATTCGCCCTACAATATCATGCGTGTGAAAAAAGTTACACCCAAAACACAGATAGCATCAGTTCGATGATGGGAAATGTTTTCAGTCTCAGAAACCATACACGTCCTCTTGGGTTTGCAGCTTGATATTCTGCAACTGTTGATCTATATCTCTGGAAACGTCCATCATAATCTCCGCGGACTTGGACGAAGTTGCTGCCTTAACTTTCTTGACATAGTTTTCCACGGCCAATGCAACGAGCATGATAACCCTGAAGCATCAAATATGTTCAACAACAACGATCAATAGGGTCTTAAAATATGCAACAACCAGAACTTCCCCTGAAAGTTAACAGTTTAGGTAGCAGCTGGCACCTGTCACCATCATCCCCTCTGCAACTTTCTCCAGGTTCCTGGGTCAACTCGTCATCATTGAAATCTATAGGTGTTTTTAGCTAAAAACGTCAGAATCTAATCTATAAAGAAAAAGATTGCCGGAGGAAACAAATGTAGGTTGGAAGAAGAAGTGCCTTTTCGATAAGATAAGGAGGAACTCGGTTTGCTCGCTCTTTCGTCAGTGCGAACTCGTTTAGCTGGATTAAACTCAGATCTCCCACTAGCTCCCGTCTCTGTAATAGGGGTTCCGGTGTGGCCTGCATAGAACAATTATCGAACCTTAGAAACCATCCCATAATGAGGAAGGAAAGAAGTGATGTACCAAATGAAACAGCAAATGTATAGCTGACAGAGTTTTGGTCACAAATTAGTCTTCAGAATATACAACAACAAGAAGTGGACTTAAGACTGTCGAAGAATAGCAAGTGTTTAAACCCGATACTATAACCCTCACGAATAGTATGTAAGTTCAAGATGTCCGAAAATCTTCTGTGATATTTTATCAAAAAAGAATTCTGCTGTGAATTTAGAGGCAAAATCGATACCAGACCTAAGACTAGCCAAGGTTAATGTGCAAAAGTTGCCTATTCTTGACGTTGCTTTTGAAACCAAAGAAACTTGTCATAGTTGTTTCTCAAGTGCATTGCAATGTTTGACGAGCAAATATTAGCTTCAGTTTGATCGTTACCTGTTGCTACTGGTGAAACATCTTCAGAGCTCTCAGTTTTCTCATCTTCAGACAATGACTGAGAGCTTCTGGATCCATCTTTCCCCACCTTTTCTGGTGATGATTGCACTTCTGGAGAATCTTTCATTCCTGCTCCCTCATCCTCCTTAAGTTGATCAAGGAAATCAACAAGCATAAAGAGATAATTTATGAACATCCAAGCAACCTCAATTAACTTCCTTCTAATTTAGACCCATAAATAGTCAAGGATACAGATGCATCTAGCTCAGAATTCGCAGCACAGCCGCCAGGTTTTGATGCTCCAGAAGTTATGAAATGAAAGATGTTTCCCACTGGGCTGCTGCTTCTCTCTGATAGGGCAGGACTCTGAACTTCCTTCGCTGGCTGCTCAGCTTTTGGTGAACTAGTGTATGGACTTGACACAGGAGAATTCATTTTTAGTGTTGGACTACCCATGCTGTCCTGTGGACTTCCAATTTTGCTCAAGGGAGAATCTAGACCAAAGTGTTGCGACTGATCTCTATCTTTTGGTACTGTTGGATGGGTAAACCCCTCATTCATAGTCAATCCTGGTTCCCCAACAGAATGATGGGAATCTTCCCTCTGAGATTGATGGGAGGCTTTACCTTGGCAGCCGCCTTTCTGAGCTTGCATATTATTTTTCAAACTTCCCATCTTAGACATATGCGAGGATGTCTTTGCAGTGGTTGCAGGCACCTCATTTGTTTGTATTACTCCTGGGAAATTATCTGAACTACTGTTACTAATGAAGCTTATCTTACGCGGCATGATGTTAGCTGTCTTCTTCTGGCCCTTCCTCCTGGACCTGGTTGATGTGCACGGATTACCATTAGCAGCAACATCTACTTTGTCTGCCAGTCCCTCTTTAAAGGTAAAGACATCCTTCCTTTGTACCTTCCGAGTCAAAGCAGCAAATGGGTCTATTTTAGGTTTCAAAGGCTGTCTTTTGGTTGAGACTCTCTTCCGAGTAGAAGCACGTGTCAATGGTCTCTTCATAGAATGAGCAGGGCTTTCAGAATCAGTTTCAATGGGGTCTGAATTTTGTTTGTACCTGATATTTGGATCATCATTGCTGCCATCAGTTGGCTTTGAAATGTTGGCACCTACATCAGGACCCTTCAGATTGGAAGGCTGACTTTTTGGTGAAGAAACGGCTCCTAATACCTCCCACAGTTTCATCCTCAAATTGTCAGTCTTAGGCACTGCTATATTACCTGCCTTTTCTTTATCTGTTATAGGGGCCTCATGTGCAGTTGGAAATGTGAAGTCCTGTTGCTTCTGTGAACTCTCACTCTGGCTTCTCTTCCTCGTATATGTTAGTCCATTGAACAATTTCTCCTTTCCGTCATCAGAATGCCCCGAACTTTGATTTGCAAAATATTTCACGGAATGAGTTATAGTTTGATCCTTCTTGTTGCTAAGCTTCCTCTTTGATCCACCAGCTGAAGCTAATTTGGAAGTTTCCTTCCCATTGAGAACATTCTCTGATGTTTGTGCTGTTTGGTTGGCTGACTTGGTGGTAACCCATGGGGAAGTGACCTGCTCCCGAGCTTCTGATATCTTCCCTTCATTTCCACCAACATCTTCCCCTTTATCCTTCTCTCCTTCTGAAATTCCCTTTCGAGGAGTTTCCATTTCTTCATTCGGCAGAGCCTTATCCTTCCCCCTAGCTCCATATCTTTTGTTTGCTAATTGATCTATGAGAATTCCGACAGAAACCTTCCGGGACTGGCTGGAGTGATGATAATTGCTACCAGGACTTCGACAATCACTGATTCCATCCTGAAATGGGTTTTACAGGTCATTAAGCCCCAAATCCCCAAAAGGCCAAAACCATAGCATAAATCAAACAACTGCTATCTTTTACAACTTACATCTTGCATTTCCCGCAGGGTGTCAACAACCATTTTTGGCAGTGTGCCCAGTGGACGCTAGTGAAAGCTCGAAGGAAACCTAAATCAGTTTACGAACAAACAAGTTCAGCAAAAGGAATATGCAGGCAACTCACTTGACCCAATAGGGCAAAGATCAAATTCAAACTACCAGTTGAACCCAGAAAGAACGATATAGTGCTAGTTCTGCAGTGTTTCCCCCCGGATTATTCCAAAGCCCAAACACAATTAATCGACGTAAACAGAACGAGGAGTCTGGGATATACAAAGCGGATCAAAACGGCAGCAGTAAGTTTCCCACAAGATTCGCTGTATCAGAAATCAGCAAAACCTACAGATCTGCGATTCTCCTCCAAAAAATCATTTGTTTATCTCTCGTTCAACTCTAGCTAGATGCGTACAAGAATTACTTAATATATCAACGAGGAATTTCAAAATCAGACTCTGCTTGACCTAAGAGATCATTTCCCTGTTCGGAACTAGAGGACGAGTTAGTCACAGAACTCGTCTATCGAAATCAAAATTACGGACAGGAATCCGGCGACGGAGCCGTCGCAAAACCTTGAGGCCTCCGAAGAAATGTTCGAGAAGCAGCAGAAGAAGAAAATTGAACTGAACTAGAGAGTAGGTTTTAAGAATTCGACTGAAATTCTGAGACGGAAAGGAGAACGACGACCTTACACTGGACGGTCACCGCCGATGGGGAATTTCCCGGAATTCGCCTCGCGTCGAGCAAGAGAGAAAAACCGCGTGAAAGGAAATCTCTAGGCGAAGCTTCAAGCTATTGCAATTTGCAGTAGCAGAACGGGAGAGCGGATTTTGAAAAGGAAAATTGGACGCCACGAAATGTCGCAGGCGGGAAAGGAGAATTGCTAATTTAGTAATTTGCTATTTCATATTTGAGTGGCACACTTTAGTACCGATTGACGGATATACCCCTGCAGGCTCGTGCCCTATATTCTCATCTAGGGCTGTTAATGAGCCAAGCCGAACTTTGTTATAGCTCGGTCTAGTCTCGTTAATATATTTCCATACTCGGGCTCGGCTCGTGTTAGTCACGAGTTTTAATATGCAATTTCAAGCTCGGCTCGTTTTTGAAAATGAAAGTTCGAGCTCCGCTCGCCAAATAAAATAAGCTTAATGAGCCCAAAATCGAGTTCAACACATAAAATGTTCATTATAGGTCAAGATTGGGCTAGAACTGAGCACAAAATTACATTCAAACCTGCAACAAAGTCTAGCAAAACAAAACACAATATTTATCCCAATTTCAATACATAAAATCTATGAATTCCAATCCTTTCTAATATCAAACCGTTAAATGAGCTTGTTCGCGAGCTTTCGAGCTGAACATGTTATGGCTCGAGTTCGGCTTGTTTAGTTAACGAGCTTGTTTGCGAGTCGACTCGATTAAGATGAATCGAGTCTCGAACGAATTTTTCTCGAGTCGGACGTCGAGCCGTTCATAAACGGGTTGGTTCATTAACAACTCTCGATTTCCAGATTTAAGACAAGTGGTAATACCACTAGACCAAGCTAAATATTTGTTAATTAATGGATAACCAAATGAAAGCCCTTTTCATCGTTAATTATGTAACACTATAACACTTTGGTGACCATAGTGCTATTTACTCAAGAGAGCACAAGCAACTAGTTAGCGAATGCCACGTCACTCAAGTTCCAAAATCAGCTTTGTTCAGCTAGAGAAGATAACGTTGGCCACTACTTTTCGTCCAGATTTTCTATCACCCGGCGACTTCTTTAAACCACCGAGATCGGTGCATCTTCTCTTCCGGTGCGCCATGGCGAATCTCTGCGGAATCTCCATTTCCCGGCCGACTCACTCCCTACTTCCACCACCGCTCTCCACTTCCGGCCCGAATTCGTCTCGCCGTCCCTTCAAGCTCCGGTGCTCAATAACCGAGCAGCCCTCCACGATCCCCCCTTTGAACCTCGATGGCGAATCGCAATCCAAGGCGTCGCGCTCCACCACTGCCGATTGTGTCATCGTCGGCGGTGGGATCAGCGGGCTCTGCATCGCCCAGGCGCTGGCCGCCAAACACCAAGATGTCGGTCCGAATGTCATCGTCACCGAGGCCAGCGGTCGCGTTGGCGGCAATATCATCACCGTCGAAAGAGATGGGTATCTGTGGGAGGAAGGGCCGAATAGCTTCCAGCCCTCGGATTCAATGCTCAACTTGGTGGTAGGTGATGAATGATGCTTCCTCATTTTCAATTCAGCCTTTTGACATTTGCGTTTCTGCATCGAATTAAGGTTGATTCTGTTTGGTTATGTGCTAGGTGGATAGTGGTTTGAAAGATGATTTAGTGCTGGGCGATCCTAATGCGCCACGGTTCGTGTTGTGGGATGGGAAATTGAGGCCAGTGCCATCCAAGCCGGCTGACTTCCCAGTCTTTGACCTGATGAGTATTGGTGGGAAACTCAGAGCTGGCTTTGGTGCCCTCGGATTGCGGCCTCCTCCACCAGTTTGTCCTCCTGGAACTTTTGTATTCGTTAGTTGGGTAGTCTCATTGCTGTTCTGCAACTGTTTCTCGTCATAATGTTGGTCTTTTGACAAAGGTGACAGGGGCGCGAAGAATCGGTTGAAGAATTTGTACGGCGTAACCTTGGCGATGAGGTTTTCGAACGTTTAATCGAGCCATTTTGTTCAGGTATATAAAAATGCACAAACTTGTAGGTTTCTAGAATGTGATGAGGATAAAGGATGTTGAAATGGTTCGACAATACATTTGCTAAAGTTCGAAAGATGTTATATTATAGTTTATTAGACTCTTCGAAAGTTTTTGTTCTGCGCAGGCGTTTATGCTGGGGATCCCTCAAAGTTAAGCATGAAAGCTGCCTTTGGAAAAGTTTGGAACCTTGAGCAAACAGGTGGTAGTATCGTTGGCGGGGCTTTCAAGGCAATCCAGGAGAGAAATAAAAATCCCAAGCCTCCTCAAGAATCGTAATATTATCTTGAGCCACTTTCTGATGTTCAACACGCCCCCATTTTCTCATTTCAATCACTCAATATTTGTTTTCTTCCAGGCGAATGCCAAAACCAAAGGGCCAAACAGTTGGATCTTTTAGAAAGGGACTTGCCATGTTACCTGAAGCACTTGCAAAAGGGTAAGTTGTTGGTCACCTATTTCCTGTTTTGACATTCTGTTAGAATCCAAACTTGTATCACTTTTGGTACATGAACTATTCCGGAGCAGCACTTTCCTGGATCTCTCGTTATTTATTTGAGAGCAATTTCAGTGGCATCCCTTTTGCATCTTTCATATTGTTGATAAGTACCTATTATTATGAGTATTGCAGGCTGGGTAACAAAGTTAAACTGTCATGGAAGCTTTCAAGTATCAGCAAATTGGAAACTGGAGGATATAGTTTGACCTATGAAACACCTGACGGATTGGTAGCTGTACAGAGCAAATGTGTTGTACTGACTGTTCCATCCCATATTGCAAGCAGTCTGTTGCAGCCACTTACGGTTGGTGCTTTTGAACTGATTACTTAGTTGTGTGTTCAATTTGTGCAAGTAGTTAGGCATTCTCAAGGAGTGTGCTCTCTGATGGTTTTCTGCAGAAATACCGGTTGAGAACTGTGTTAGAATTATGCTCTGAACTAATTGATGTGAAATGTAAATGGAGGAGGAAGAAGAAAAAATGAGTAAAAGAGATACCAAATAGGAGAAATGGGACAACGGTTTAACCTCAAATTGTCATGTCCAACTTTTAGTTGGTTGTTTTATCTTCTCCATAGTACATCCCAGTAGTTCATTGTGGGTCAGTGCTGCAGCACTGTTGGAGAATGCAGTCATACCAGACCATGTCACCTCCTTGATCCAGAATTGCTTGGTGTTTCCCTTCTGAAAACACCTTACATTTTACTCCACATGTTGAACAGAAGCTGTTCTCTCAACCAGGGCAGAAAATGAGAGGTCCTGGGGAGACAAGGTTGAGTAGGTTATCTGCCTTAGCTGAGAGAACACCTATTGAAGATAGTTTTATTTATATTTATTAGTATTATATGTATATAAGATGGAAAACCTCAAGCACTTCCGGACCAATGAGGTGACTCGATCTATCGGATGTGACCAGTTCTCCACTGGTGTCACGGTACTGACCAATGGTGGAATCATTGGGAAGTACTATGGAAATGATTAAACGACCCAGAAACAATTGGAGGAGGTCAGGGTAGATCTGAGGTGAAAACTTTCCTCCAGGTTCACCCGATGTTAACTTCGGGTTCTTTTCTTGGCGAGTAGATGTGAAATCACAGAGCATAATTCTTAGAAAATGTCAGGTCTCAATGCAGTAAGCACACCCAAAAATTAGTTGTATAAGTACTGATGGCTTGTACAGAAATAGCTGACTGAAGCCTGTATGCATGATTGATGAATCCCAATGTAGTCACTGTGTGCAAACCTATGTTTTGCAGGCTGTTGCTGCTGAAGAATTGTCGAAATTTTACTACCCACCTGTCGCTGCAGTAGCCATTTCATATCCAAAAGCAGCAATTCGGCAAGAGTGTTTAATCGAGGGGGAGCTCAAGGGTTTCGGCCAGCTGCACCCACGTAGCCAAGGGGTGGAAACTCTCGGTAATAACACTTTTGAGCATTATCATGTTTTCTGTTTTGCTTGAAGTTTAGAGTTGAAGAACGATCCATGCATTGGTGCTCCAAATCCTAACCAAAAGTTCGCCTGTTTGTGGGCTTTGCAGGAACTATCTACAGTTCATCTCTCTTTCCTAATAGGGTTCCACCAGGAAGAGTTTTGCTCTCAAACTACATTGGAGGAGCTACTAACCCTGGAATTTTATCGAAGGTAACTTGAAAAAAAAAAAGTAAAAAAGACAACCCATTGAAAAGGAAAAACAACATAATAATCCTCTATCTACATGGCATGAAACATACTTAGTCAAGATGTGTGCAATGATGAATTTTTGCTTGTTCTGTTATTTTCAGACGGAGAGCCAACTCGTAGAAGCAGTTGACCGTGATTTAAGAAAGATGCTCATAAAGCCTGATGCAAAGGATCCGTTTAAAGTGGGCGTCAAGGTGTGGCCACAAGCCATCCCACAGTTCCTGGTTGGTCATTTTGATATCCTGGACAAGGCAAAAACTGCTCTCAAGGACACAGGCCTGAAAGGGTTGTTTCTGGGAGGAAACTATGCCTCTGGTGTGGCTTTGGGGCGATGTGTGGAAGCCGCTAACGAGGCTGCAGCTGAAGTAACAGACTTCCTCTCCCAGTATGCTTACAAGTAATGTCCATGTCAGCCGCGGCTCATTTCTGTGTCCTAAGTCATATAGAGGCATCCCATGCCCAAATGCGCAGAGATGGGAGGAGAGGTTTAGGTCGGACAATTGGTTCTTTATGTAGTCATGTAGAGAATTTCAGGAGCTAGTCCTGTATTTTTTTCTTGTAGAGCTCTTTTCTTTGTCAACTGTAGTGAACACTATTCATGGCCTTCGGTGGGATGGAAAAGTCCTGAGAGGCGGCTTCTGGTTTTTGCTCCGTAGGCGTAGTTCTGTAACTGGTATTTACTCGAGGTAAAAGTCTTTAGAACAAGCAGTTGTTTTCATGCAAACAAAGGGCCATGATTTTGGGGTACATAACACTCCAGGTTCAGTGGCTGCCCTTGAATTTATGCATGAGTTTCTTATGAAACAACCATGCCTAGGGATATTGAGTGATCTTAAATTTACAGCTGCATCGGAGTTAATATATATTGTATAAGATAATAAACTTAAGTATTATGTTTGACAAAATGGAGGCATAATGTCTTACATCGAGAGTTTACAAACGTCCATATCGGAGATGTCAAGATTAGATAATTGAAAGATCATGAGTGGATATGGTATATGCTCGAACTTTTCAACATAGGCCTAGAATCTAGATAGACATAACAAACCATCTAATTATTTATTAAACATCTTAACTTAGAAATATATATGTTGTTTATGAATACTATCAAAATAGTGATTGATTGTTGAGTATTTTGATTGAGAACTAAGTCTATACTCCATCTATATATCTCATAAACCTATATGAATAGTAGGATGTTATGACAAAACAAACCATTTCAGAAATTGAAGATAGTAAGGTACAAAGATAAGTTCTTTTACACCAAATGAAATTGTTCCGACTAATGGATAAAAATGTTCTCTACATAGAATCACCCAGTCATATAAACAACGATTCAATTCGATCTTCAAACCTTGAACACAAGTATAGATATTTATCAGTCTCTATATACACTTTGCAGTTTAGCGTGCATTTATACCCAGTGTGGTTAAGGGAAGAGGAAAGTTGTTTTTATTCGTGTTTGACTCTTAGTAATCTATACCTAAAGTGGGAAATAATCTTTCTAATAGTATGACCATCAACAATAACTTTGATAAGTTTATAATCACTATAATTATTTTGATTATCTTAAATTACAACAGTTTTGTTTGCCATCTTTGTCATAAATTAATTCACATAGGTCAAAGTTGAAGAGAATTAATCAACCATTGACAAAATTAGGAAGATACAATATGATTTTCATATAAGCCAAAAGCATAAAGAGATCCAACTAAAGCTTTTTCGAGCATATGATTCACTAAACTTGCATTTTAAAATTACATGCATTATTTAAACTATGATTCTAGGCATAATGTACAATTTGGGTACATGTGATTGATTGTGAAGGTTATTCCATGGTAGGACAATAAATGTCATTCTGACAAATGTCGGTGATCCTCTCATCTTAATCATAATATTTATCTCATAACATAATGGTAAAAACTATATATTTTTACTTTATTTGTACATCTATTAGCTAAATATTTGGTAATTAATGGATAACCAAATTCACAAATGAAAGCCCTTCTCATTTGTAAATACCTTGTTGTTGATGAATCTACAAATTTGGGAATTATTGACTTCATGTCAAGGTGAAATTCGTGTAATTTAAATCTATGTATTTTGTTGTGTGTTATAAGTCAGGAGTTTCAAAAAAATAAAATAGTTTTACAATCAAATTTTTTTGATAATAAAAGTGATGCATATGCATCACATTCTCTAATGAGAGTCAAAGCTGAAACCCAACCACCAATCAATACTAAAATATTGCAAGAGCTTAATGAATTGGTGCGAGTAATAGAGAAGATGTACATATCAGTTGCAATCTAAATACTCATTTAGCAATAAAATGCTTACTTTTTGCTAATATTTAGAGAAATTTACATTCCATCCAATGCAAAGTTGTTAAAAGTGAGGAACGCGAGGTGTTATGCTTAATGCGAACACTGTCCACAAAAAGGTGAAGAAGACTTCTTCGAGTACTTTTGTGGGATTTGTAACGACAACAATGAAGCCGACATCAACTAGGTAACAATCTAAACTCAATGACTCCATTCGTCTTAACTCGAAATTCATTCATTTATGATGGGAAAACATCATACCTGCTCAAACATTTTTTTTTAATGAAGTAGCAAATCTCATTTTTCATTTTATAGGTTCAAGATCCACGTATGATAACCCTATAAGAATTGCACCATATATCCAGTTCCTACTTCCTACTACCATCCATCATTCATCCACCAACCGTTAGTTACTATTTAATTGTTTGGGTTCCTTTTTTTTTTTAAATTATGTAAAATATCAAAAAAATTGACCAGACAAAGTGAGTAAATTGCAAGGAATGGAAAAAGGGTTCCTTTTTATTCGATTTTGGTCTCTCTTTTTTTTTCTTCATTCTTTACTACGTACGCAAGTCAGATATCGATTTCATGGTGTCTCCAAACCGGAATTGATTGCATGTCTCCTGCCCAGCAGGCCAGGATTCCTCGCCGCTCCCATTTTCATTCTTTCGTGTCGCAGCAAAAACAACCCAACACAGCTAAACATCATGCTACCAAAAAATTTTGGGTTCCAACAAACAACGATAGCCTTGTTTTTTCTTTTTCCGACGTGGCTTACAGCCATGAAAGACAAAGGCCGATGTAAAAAGTGGTGCAAATCAGGCAAAAAGGGGGAAACCTCTCCTTTTCTCCTCCTAAAAAGTGAAACCCAGCAAGATTTGCTTCTTCGTTCAACACATCAAAAGGAGGAGGCCAACCTGTTCTTAGTCCTCGCAAAATCTTACCTTTTTTTTTTGTTTGTTCTTTTGATAAAAAAGTAATTATGCCAGCCGGTGGTTAATGTGACGTAGATGGTAAGTATATATATGTACAACAACTAATTGGGTTGTAGTAATACGGGTGATAATATTATCTTAAACTAACCCGTATTAATAATTCAAGTTGTTGGAAAAAGTTGATGACATGTGATTTCAAGGAAGTAGCTTTAGGGATGATCTCGGGTCGGCGACGACAGATGGTGCATATCCATTATCCTACCCAACGTAATTCGGGATAACCTATACTCATACTCATACAAGATTAGGGTGAAAATCAAAACCATATCCATATCTTATCGGGTTTCAGCTATCCACAGTTATCCATAATAATTTTTCTTTAATAACTCCAACCAACATGTTAACACTTACACATATATTGACTTTACACGAGAATGAGAAGAAAAGTACGATACTATAATGAAGAAAATTGATTATAAACTACATAATTTCATAAAAAATATTATATATACATAATAAATATCAAATATGTTAAGATAACAATGAATATTTCTAAACAAAATATATATGCATGTGTATAATCGGTCGGGATCGAGTTAGATAATGAGAAAATATGTCTATCCATTACGTATTCGAATTTTACCCATGCCCACTGAAAATCCTTTGGGAACGGGTTTAATCCTACCCGATTAGGTTGGATTCCGGTGGGTATCCACGGTTCAGGATATTTTTGTCATCCCCAAGCAGCTCTGATACATGTCATAAACCAACTTGTCCCAATAATTCCAGTTGTTGGGTAAGATTCATGTATGATACTCGACCACTTCCTTATACGCCCTCTCAAACGAAAGTCGACTCATGAGCTTGAAGTTTGCGCAGGCTTGTCATACCATGTACCTTAAAGACAACAATAATATTAAGGATCGTGAGTACTTGATCACGTGATCTCAAGCACAAACCAACTCTGATCAGGGGCGGACCCAAGTGGAGGGTGGGATACTCTTAAAATTTGAAAGAAAATTAATGAACCCCCAATAGTAGTTTGAGTATGGGATAAGAAGAAAAAAAATGTGGTAGTATATGTGATTCGAATCTATAACAGAGTAGTTACTCGTTGTTTGAAAGAGACACCCTTGTATAGAATTCCTTGATTTGCCACCAACTCTGGTACCATGTTCTAAACTTAGCACCCATCTAAACGGATTAAAAAAAAAACTTACATCCAACTAATTAGGGAAGATTTAAGTAAATCCTATGATTACATGAGCACTTTAGTTTTCACACACCGATTAAGAGAATGAAGAGAGAAAAAGACAAAAGGGAACGCAAGCCCAGGCAAACAAATTCGTGGTGCACGGACAGAGAGGCTTCTTCGTCTTGGCAAAGCTACAGAGACAGAAGGGATTAATGAGTGCGGGGAATTCTTTTAATGTTGATGTTGTTTTCTTTTCTATAAACCAAATCCAAGGCCCCTCATGCGGTTTTGGTACCCACTTAACGATGCGCTTTGATCCATTGAACGAACACTTAAGCAACGTAATGGCCCTCCTCAATTGAATCACTAAACACCATCCATCATTCTTAATTGTCGATGTGGGCAAATTAAACAAATTAGTGAGCTCTTCAATGCCAATCTGGTTCTTCTGTTGGGTTTCAAAGGGTCATCCTTTCCCTTCTCCCAAAGCTGTCTACATTCATCCCCAATCCCATCCCATCCCTGCAAATATTTCATCATGGGGGAGAGCAAATGTACACCATCATTATTATAAGAAAATACAGTCAAATCGTGATTCTACGTAGTAGTAGTAGGGTAAAATTGTAATCTTGAATTTAAAATATTTAAGATCACTAGATTTTAAAGTTCATATGGAATTTAACGTTTACAGACACTGGATATTGTTAACAAAGTGTGTCATGAATAATACTCGAACTAGTAACACTTAATTGCTTTTGAACGCAAAATCACTCAATCTAGTTATTACTAGTTAAAACTGAAAAAAAAAACATATTTTAAACACGGGATAGTGTTAACAATGTGTATTCTGATTAATACTCAAACTAGTAACACTTTTTTTTTTTTTTTTTGCATTGATGGAGGCCGAGGCCAAGAAAAGAAGATTACAAGGGTAGGGGGTTAAGAGGAAGCGAGCTCTTGGCGGGGAACAATCCGCCGCTCGAAAGACACTCCTTGGTAATCATCTCGCAGAATGGAAGCTAAGCCTGGTGGTTGGTTTGCAAGCTCATGCACACCGTAGGGATAGACGAGACTATGTTTCGAAAGACAGTCCGCGCCTCTATTCCCTTCGTGGTACACATGAGGAATGCTCACCAGCCAATCTTGACTTAATCTCTTACCAATAGAGGCGATCAAAGTGGCGTAGGGACGAACCGGGTCTTGTCTGTCCTTGATCAAATCAATAGCCAGCTGTGATTCGAACTCAATCTGAAGGGTTCGACATCCTGATTTCCAAGCTAACATCAAACCATGGGAGAAAGCCCACAGTTCGGCCAGCGCAACAGAAGCTGCTCCGATATTAGCCACCAAACACTGCTTGATAATCCGAATATGTCTGAAATCAACTTCCGCAAATAGCAGATCATTTGCAAAAAAAAAGAGATGCGTGAGAGGGGGGACCATCCTTGTGAAGTTTTGACGGCCTTCCATTGCTTGATGAAACTAGTAACACTTAATTACTTCTCAAAGGAAATCACTTAATCTAGTTAACGCTGAAGATTGAAAATCATATAAATTCGTTGAATAAAATATTAGCATTTAAGTTTTGAGCATCATCATTCTCGTCATCTCCCCATCTTCATCAACACCGTCATCCTCATTGAATGAAATCGGGGATAATTACCCACCAAATGTTTTGTATTTGTATTTGTATTAAGAACAATTGTAGCTTTATTGATTTCATAACTTGTTGATTTCTATAAAAGAAGTTCCATTTAGTATTATAATTTATAACTATAGTTCTACATGTCAAAATCGAAGTAAGTAATATTTAAAATACGTTCTACGTATTTCTCACGGCTACCTAAATACCACGGTTATAAAATGGAGTTTACAAATCCTTTCCCCGCATGAATATGGAACAACCAAACAGATACAAATCCGATTATTTAAAAAAAATATAATTCACAAAACCCCACCTCATTCACAATCACAATTATACAACTTCTTTACATGAATTAATCGTGGCCCGCAGTTTACCTCACTTTCCACGGACAGGACTAATAAATTAGCAAGCTCCATTCATTAGATCGAAAAAGCAAACAAATCAAGCAATTTCTCAAAATAAAAGTAGAAAAACAATTGAATTAATTAACCTTTTTTTTCTTTCTTTTTTCATTCCTACGCTTTATCCTCTTTTTTTTTTCTCCCTGTCCCCCCACATCCCCTCCTCTATATATTCAAACCTCAAAGCTGGCGGCTTCCCTTGACCTCTCCATCTCCATCTTCGACACACAAAAAAGTGCTCCAAAAGAAAAAAAAAGGCAACACGTAAAAATTAATGGGCAGAGGAGCGGGTGGTAATAACAACAATCATCATCATCACAACCATTACTCCTCACCCTCTTCTTCTTCTTCTTCCTCTTCCTCTCTGTCCCGCCACATGAGGAAAGCACTCAGCACGGATCTCAGGCTCGGCCTCAGCCTCTCCGCCGGCAGGCCCCCCGCCGCCGCCGCGGCGGATGAGGAAGAGGTAATAATGGATGAGAGGTACGGAGGAGGGCGCGGCGGCGCAACTTTCTTCGTGAAGGTGTACATGGAAGGGATTCCGATCGGGAGGAAGTTGGATTTGTGGGCTTATGGTTGCTACGAGGACATGATCACCACTCTCGATGACATGTTCGGCACCAACATTCTCTGTAAGAAACCACCACCACCACCACCAAACCTTTCCATTTGAGATCATTGTTATAGCAACAAAGCGAAACAATGAATATGCTCATATTATTTGAGATCATGTTGGTCGAACTTCATCTGACTGCTGTTTTTCTCGATTTGGGAATTGGGGGGCGCGCAGGGAACGAGAACAACTATAACGATCAGCAGGTGCAGTACCACGTCTTGACTTACGAGGACAAGGAAGGAGATTGGTTGATCGTCGGGGATGTTCCCTGGGAGTAAGTTTTTTCTTCATTAGTTTTCTTTTTGCTTATTGGGACCAATTGGTTTTCGACGCGTAAAGAAGAACGATGTTGATTTTTAATATTTTTATTTAATTTTGACGCAGGATGTTTGTGTCAAGCGTGAAGCGACTGAAGATCACAAGAGCAGACAGCTTGTGATGATTTGATTAAGGGTCCTGGTTTTCCTTCCCCGGCAACGTGCGTACAAACAAAATAAGAAAGATTTTTGTTTGGGCTATTTTGTAAAATTTAGGAATGCTGGTCTCTCTGTCTTTTTTTTGTTGTTGGTATTTTTGTTTTCATTATTATCTCTGTATATTTTGAAGCTTTGTTAAAGGAAATATGGTAGCCTTTTGCTTGCTTGCATTGCATCAGATTCCGAACCGGGATATTATTAGCCTGCAAAAGAGTAAATGGACTAGTGCCCTTATTTGGGAGACATTTTTCTGGGGGATGGGGAAATTGGTGCGTCTCCCTGCGACAATTTCAGGTCCTTTAATCGAGCGTAGCAGACAGTGCTATTCAATTGGTATAGGCTGCCGTCACTACTGTGCTGTCAGTCAATAATTTTGATTTCGGGGTTTTACCCAAATAATGACCCCAACTTTGTATAAATAGATAATTTTGCCCAAAGGTCACATAGCATGATGGTAAGGAAGATGGATGGGTGATCGAGAGGTCCCAGGTTCGATCCTCATCGTTATCATGGTGTTCTCGGAGGCACCCCGCATTTGCCTGGACTGCTGGCGGAGGTCCCGGGGTTTGGCCCGACTACGGCATCACCAAAAGTGGTGATCGTGGAGGGTGTTCCTCGTCATAAAAAAAAGAAGAAGATAATTTTGGCTATAACTTTGATAAAATGCTACACACATGTTTAGTTCGTCGCGAGATGTGTGGAGATGAAAATATTTATAATGATAGTAATTCTAAACCTCCTATTCAAAAATTAATTTGGCTTAAGAGACTCCAGCTAAACAATAAAAAATAAAGTTTTTCATAAGTCCAAATTATTTTTTTAATAAGAAAAGTAGAAGGACCAATTCTGAAGTTTATAAAATGAAATATTTTGTCAACTTTAATGGAATGCACTTAATAGTAAACTTAAGTGGTACCGTGTGCACATATAATAGAGTTCAGTGGCACGCGATGCCTTATTCTACTTAAGAGGTATAGCTCTCTCAATTCTCATACTTTAATGGTAACCGATGTATTTTACCAAAAAAAAAAGAAGGATTATAGGTATAATATGCTTTTGGACCTAAGTCACCATAACTTAGAGAAAACAGTCGACCTCTTCCATTAAGTTGTCGACCACTGTCAAAGAAAATGGTCGACCTCTTCCACCAAGTGGTCTACCACTTGAGTCAACTGATCTACCATTTTCGGAAATAGGTCGACCTAATGACACACTTACCTTCAAGTGGTTGACTTCTTCCACCAAATGGTCGATCACTTTCCAAGAAAATGGTATACCACTTCCACCAAGTGATCACCTACTTGAGTCAACCGGTCTACCGCTTCCGGAAATGGGTCGACCTGAAGACACACTTACCTTCAAGTGGTCGACCTCTTCCACCAAGTGGTCGACCAATTTTCAAGAAAATGGTCACTTTACCAAGTGGTTTACCACTTGAGGCAACCGGTCACAAGACAATGATAGGATAAAAAAACAAGTAAACTTAGAATTTGAAGGAAAGATGAAAGTCCTATATAGTAAGTCAAATATAAGAAACAAATATGCAAAACATTTTCCAAATTCACGGGAGAACAATCATTCGAGAAACTTGTGATCTATGCTTGCAGCCTTGGTACTAATTTTAAATCTCTTACTAGCAAACATATATATTATTATTGAACTCTAATTATTTATGATTATTTCACTAGCAATGGTTCATCAGGTCCACCGGTTATTGAAGCGGTGGACCGCTTGGTGAAAGAGGTAAACCACTTGATGGAAGTGGTAGACCGTTTTCTTGTAGAGTGGTCGACCTTTTAGTGTAAGAGGTTGGTCGTTTGTTGAACATAGCAAAAAGGAAAATAGTACATCTGGTCGACCATTCGAGCAAACATGTTAGTTTGCTATTTTTGTATTATCAAAAAACCCTTAAAGTTATCAATCATGCCCTTCTAATAAAATTTCCATAAAAAACCGTTAACCATGGTTGAAGCGTGGTTTGGGAGACACAAATATCTAAACTACCCCTGTACTTTGGAAAATTATCAACCATACACTTCTAGTAGCATTTTCATCCAAGAAACCATTAACCATAGCAGAAGAGTGATTTGGGAGATACATATGTCTAAAATATCCCTAATAATTTTACTTCAGCTACACTTAGTATTAAATGGAGGGGCAAAACTGATATTTCATTTCTCATTTTGTCGAGATCGGGTAGTTCGAAGTTCAAATTATGGTTGACAGTTTTTGGATAAAAATGTTAACAAAATTAGATGTTTGATAATTTTTTTGAAATGCATGAATATGTTTTTTTTTTGTAAAAAAAATTAATAGAGCATTTTTAATAATAAAATAGCATGTTTAATAAAAATAATCGACATGTTATAGCTATAACTTATGACCAAAAGAAAAACCTCATTTGATTCTATTATAAAAAATAAAACCCCCTTGAACTAGGTGCTTTTGAATTTCGAAAGGGGAATGAGACCGTTGGAAAGGCCAACTGACCAAGTCTGTGACTCAAGGTCTCAATTCTCAAGTCTTCCACATCTCTGATCTCCTCCATCTCCCGGAGAAAGAACAAAGAGAGAACACCAAGCTCTCTTCCAGCTAAGCCATTTTTGGAAACTCAGATTTCCAGAAACATGATCGCACTCACCATGAGGCGCCACGGCTGGCAGCGCCCTCTCCACCCTCTCCAGGTACTCTGTTTTTCCCCCTTCAATTCACTTTGCTGTCTCTGCCCGAAACAAATCCCAGTTCGTTAATTCACCAGCTTCGTACAACGTTTTCCATTTTGAATCCAGTTCGTGGGAATGGCTATCTACAGCTTCCTCGTTGTGACCTTCTACTCGTTTCTCGGACTCCTACTGGGAAACAGAGTCGCCGAAACAACTGTCACAACGATCTTCTCCGTCGCGGTAACGAATCTCTTCGTGAGCTTGTGCTTCGAGTTAGTAGTCCGTAGAGAGAGAGTGATTTTCATTCTTTGGTTTCCATTGGACCCGATTGCAGGCGGTTTCGGTCATGTTGCTTTTTATTAGGTGTACGGCCATCGACCCGAGTGACAGAACCAGCTGCAGAAAGAGGAAGCGAGCGAAATCGAAAGATGGTGGGCTGCCGAAATTGAGATATGGATTCCTTTTTGGGCAGATGGTGAAGAGGGTTTTCAGGAGGGTGGAGAGGAAGATCCTCAGGACTTTCATCAGGAGGAAGTACTTAGATCCGCTCAAGGTCGCCGCTCAAATGGAACCATTGCTTCCTTTCCCTCTCGTAATGAAGGACGATGCTGCTGTTTCCCCCGATTCCAAGCTCGATGACATATCTTATTGTTCCCTGTGTGATTTCCAGGTTTGGGCGATAGATTCCCCTTTTATGGGTTTGTCGTTAATTTTCCCGCTCTGTAATAAGGGCAAATAAAGTTCTAAACTTGGGCATTATGAATGTAATGGGTCTATCTAAAAAGCCTTAATGGTGTGGTGTTTCCCAGGTGAAGAAACACAGCAAGCATTGCAGGACCTGCAACAGGTGTGTTGAAGGATTTGACCATCATTGCAGGGTAAGTAAGTGGGCTTTTGCTGCTTCTTCTTCTTTCCTTATTTTGAACCCACCTGCTTTGGAGTGTTAATCCGATTTCGGTCGGTGAAATTTTGTTGCAGTGGCTGAACAACTGCATAGGCAAAAGGAACTATACCACATTTTTCATGCTCATGACATTTATCTTGTTAATGGTTAGTGAAATGTCCCTTTTAGTGACTCAGATGTTTCAATTTGGATGGAAAATGAGATGTGTGTGTGCTTACTTGATCCGGTGACTGTGGATGCTGCCTGTTGCAGTTAATTATTGAAGGAGGAACCGCCGTCGCCATATTTATCAGGTGCTTCACTGACAAGAAAGGAATGGAAATGGAACTTCAGACAAGGCTGCATATGGAGTTTCCAAGGGCTGTTTTGGCTACAATTGCGGTACTTAACCTTCATATCTGATTGCTCTTTCCCTTGCCCTTTCTTCTCCAATGGCAGCTTCTTTTCTACTGCTGAAATTTAAAATGGAAAGAGAATGATTCGGCCATGAGAATGGCATCCTAATGAGTTGGCAAATGTTGCAGGTTCTGCTGGTGTTAATGACAGCTTATAGTTCAGCAGCGATGGGCCAACTCTTCTTCTTTCATGTGGTTCTCATCCGCAAGGTGACTAAATCTTTCCCCCTTGGATCCATGTAACATAAAATGGCCGCGACACTAATCGTGAATGCTGTGGTATGCTTCAATCTTTGGGCAGGGAATGAGAACATACGACTACATCCTGGCTATGAAGGAGGTGAGTGAATTAGTGGAATCGGAAGATGACCCATTTGATGATGATTCAGATTTCTCTTCAGATTCTGATTATGATTCACCCCAAAGGCCAAAGTTCATTTCCAAACTCATCTGTGGACAACATCAAGGAACTCAGGTAGATGTGATTCAGCAGTCATTTAGTTAGGATGTTTGCTCTATTAGACTTTTGAAGGGTTTGAGAATGAAGCCATATCTTTTGTCAGAATCCAAGAAGGTTGTCCATCAAAATAGACAAGGTCCCTGAGCCGTCCAGCTTGAACAAAAAACAAGGCTTCCATGTAAGCATCAATCCGTGGAAACTGCTGAAGATGAGCAGAGAAAAAGCTGTGCTTGCTGCTGAGAAAGCCAAAGAAAGGCTCAGGAAACAGAAGCCAGTGGATCACCAAGATGAAGAAGATTCTTTGAGGCCATTACCGCAGGAAACAAAATGTGGTCCATCCATGAAACCAGACAGGAACATGACTTCTTCTGCTGCCCCACTCATTCCTAAAGCCACGACGGTCATCGCGTCTTCATCGCCACGAAGGATTTCGAGTCCAAGAAGGCGGTTTTCAGGTTCTCCAGGCGTGTTCACAGCGGCGGCAGCAGCAGCAGCAGGAATTGTTCCATCTCCAAGGCAAAAGAAATACAGAAGCAGCTTTGACTTGAAGCTGACAGAGGTTTCCAGGGAGCTTGAGACCTATATTTCCAAACAGGTCTTGTGTTCTGTTATCAAGAAAGATGCTTCTGAGGCATCCCCAAGCTGAAGATATATTATGATTTTCATCAGACTCAACTGATGTTTGGCCGTCTCAGGCTTTGAGAAGGAAAAACAAATTATTCTTAGATCAGAAGTATTTAATTTCTGGATTTGTACTTTCCGTTGGACTTGTGTTCCAATTGAACATGTAAACAACTCAAATGTTGTAAGGGTATACGAATGGTCCTAAAAACAGAATAGGCCGGCATCTTGTGGACTTGAAGGGGAGGATGGTACCTTCTTAGTTTCTGGAATTGGTTGATAATGCCAAAAGCAATGGAACCGCAGTTTGATTCCAGTACATATTCGATTGTCCGAACTGTCAGATGTGGCCACGTGTACTTGATTGGGAATCTCAATTGGAAATGGGAAGTTGCAAGGCATGCTTTTTTCTTCCTCATGAATTGAACAACATGAATGGGCAATGCCAGCTTTGGCATTGCTGACAAATAGCTTTGGCATTGAGAGGTGAAAGATACAACGACAGCTGAAGTCTTTGGATTAATTGAGCAAAATGAAGACACAAAAGAATCACTGGACTTATTTGCTACTGCACAACATGATGATACAGCAAAACTCACTTCCCCACAAAGCCCACTAACTTAGGCCAAATTCCATTCCCAAACTTTTCATATCATACCTCTGGCCACCAATTTCCTCTGCAAGGCAAATGAACAGCTATGTTGAGAATTGACAAGAAGCAACTCGAGCTTGAACCGGAGAAGCTAACTGGTAACTTAACTTACCAAGACAGCCACTGTTTGCCTCTATTTAGTCTGCTACTCGAGTTCTGTGAGTAGATATTATAACAATCAGACCAGTGATCGGGAAAGATTTCCTCCCTGAGAAGCTTACAAGCTTTTGGGGTGACCAAATCTGAATAGCCTGCAATGTGAGCGCAGTCCCATGGAGGCTTAGATGTCACACTTAGGGTGATATTCAACAGGCAGATGTCTAGAAACGTGTCTCCTTCGATACCCTCCAGAACTCCTGCGTGTGTAATGTTATCTCCTCTCACATTCTCGATGGTTATACGTTCAACTACAGGTAGTGCATTCGGATCATAGTCGTCATCAGGATGCTCCCCATAGTGACCAGTTAACCTTATGGTTGCATTTACATTGGTCAAGGTCATGTTTGCTATGTGGATGTTTTTGACATAGCCACCCCTTCCAGGCGAAGTCTTTATCCTTATGGCTGAGTTGGTACCAAAGAAGTGGAGATCTTGTGCATGAACCTCTGATACCCCTCCAGACATCTCGCTGCCTATTGCAATTCCTGCACTCGATCGACTTTGTCCAACAAGCCGGTGAATGCGAATGTTCTTGCAAGGGCGACCATATGATATACCATACTCATCCCACCCACTTTTAATGGCAATTAGGTCATCACCAGTACTAATGTAGCAGTCCTCAATGCAAACATCGCTAGAAGAATCTGAATGCATATTTAAAACCCACAATAAGAGTAATCCCAAGAAAGTTATAGAACTAGTGTGGTTGAAAGATAGAGACATGATGGATTAACAATATAGTGAAGCAAGTATATTATTTGCAAAGTCGGAAAGAAAAATATGAGGCCTAATCAGGTAAGTAGAGACAGTCACCTGGATCAACTCCATCAGTGTTTGGTGAATCCAGAGGAGCAAGGATTGTGACATTCTGAACAACCACTTGGCTGTTAGTACAAGAAAAGAATAATATTAGCTGTCATTTCTTAAGAAACACCACATTTTTACACATAAATCTCAAATGCTGATATGGGAGTTGGAGAAACCTGCAATAAACAGGATGAATTGTCCAGAAAGGCGAATTTCGAAATGTCAAGTTTGAGATGACTACACCAGTAGAATTAATTAACTCAACCAAGTGAGGGCGCGTGTAGTTAAGGGTTTTGTCGTGAAACCAATTCCACCAAACATCACCTTGACCATCAATAGTTCCATTGTTGCCTGCCACAGGAAACCACAGTTATTCAACAAAACAAAAAAAACAAACTAACGAACACAGGAAGTGAGTCTTCATTTCTATATCACCAACCTGTTATAATGACATCCATCAAATTTGAACCATAAATGAGGCTACGATGCCTCCTACCAGGCAACTCCCTCCCTCGGCCATATGATGGTAGAGGGTCAACGACTGGCCAATCATCAGAATTCTGGAAATTACAGGTTGTGGATTTTAGTATATTGAGGTAAACTACTCTAGCTGTGCCCAATATGTAGTTAGACTAGCGACACATTTGCCTAATGGAAATCAAGGCTCAACCTGCACAACAAACTAGCAGTGACAAACCAACTAATCAAAGAATGTTCTTGCTAGTTTAGTTGAAGCGAACACCATTGAGCATTTATGTGCACAATATTTCCCCAATACATAACTAAATTTCTATATGGTAAGCTCATTTTCTGGGTAATGACGGCAGTAGCTTCCCTAACTCCTATACAAGCTCCTCTCTCTACTGACTATGCATTGGCATGGAAGCAAAAGGTCTTACCGTCGATCCAAGAATGACTGCGTCTTCATCCAACGACAGTGTCAGATGGCTAATGAGATCAAAACTTCCAGTCAACCACCGCCCAGCAGGAACGAAGAGTTTAGCTCCACCTTTGTCAGCGAAGGAATTGATGTAGAAGATGGCATTCTGAAATGCCTTGGTGTTTAGTGTCACCCCATCTCCAACTGCACCAAATTCAGTAATGGTGACACTGTGAGGCCGGCTGATATCTGGGGTGGCTCCTTTGCAGTATGAGCTGCCACCATTGACAGCCCAAGGAGCAGGGGAGAGGAAAGCAAGTACCAGAAGGACATCTGCTAGCTGAAAACAAAGTGATATAGGACGCTGTCAATGAATTACTAATAGATTCATAAACCTCAGAAACTGAAAAGCTAAACCATTTGAACAACCATTCAAGGAAAATGTACTTAAACACAGACAAGCATAACATGAACTAAAGCTGTCAATGAATTACTAATAGATTCATAAACCTCAGAAACTGAAAAGCTAAACCATTTGAACAACCATTCAAGGAAAATGTACTTAAACACAGAACAAGCATAACATAAACTAAAGCAAGTTAAACACAATTGAACACTCCCACTGGATACATTTTACTGATGAAAAACAAGAAACAAAACTTGTTCTATGATCCCTGAAAGAACAAAAGAAATTTCTACACATTCAAACGGGGATGATACAGCGCAGAACTAACTTACAGCAAAAGGTATCCTCATATGATACTGCGCAGAGATCCAGTCCTTCCCCCTTTTGAAGCTCCAAGAGGAAAAAGCAGCAGCAGCTTAATTTCCTACCCCTTTCCTCAGCAGAACAGGAATAAATTTTGCCTCAACAAACAGAAGGGTTCTGATGATTATGAAGAAGAACATGGGCCTGGAATACTAATTACAAGAAACCTCCACCACATAAAGGGGGAAAAAAAGGACAAGGGAAACAGTTTATTGCAGGCCAGAAAATCAAGCAGTAGGACCCTCTTGTTCCTCCTTCACTTGCTTCTCCATTACCACTGTCTCCACTTTTCCTTCACCGAGGTAATAAAACGCCAGTAGAATGAAAAGGGTGAAAAAGGGAAACCGACCCAGAAAGCGAAAAGGCCGGGGGGAATCAGACCGCCGGGGAGAGAAAAGCTCCACCGACGGAAAACGGAAGTGGGTACAATGAGAATTCTCCAGCAGCCGACGGTGAGGAATCCAACGATTTCTCAAAGGAAAGAGACGGCATAAGTGGGGAAGAAGAAAGGAAAGTATACTGTTGCTGCTGCTACTGGCAGCTCCGCCTGCGGCTGATATATAGCTGCGAAGGTGTGGCGATTGGAATCATCTGTTATGTCTCTTCTTAACTCGGAGTTGTTTGGGCATCCTCCCTTCGCCATCTCGTTCCAAAGCATGTGACCCCTTTCACATTTTTCACATTTAATTAAGGTTGGTTGATAAAGTCGTTAGGGTCCCCTCTCCAATGCGTTATTGTAACCGCACTCAAAACCAAAGGTTGTAGAAGAAGAATTAATTCCAGAGCAATTCTACTATGCTATATAATATTGGTGTTTTAATGTACAACTTGAAGTTGTAGCATAACATTAAATGTATAAGTTCATATTGTACCATAAAAGAATTTGTACTAAAAGTATAGGTACAATCTGAAGTTGTACCATAACGTTAAAGGTACAATTTCAAGTTGTACCATAAAGGCAAAAAACCTATAGCACCAATACTATATAACACTGTCAAATTCCTCTGAATTCCATGGTTATAAGAACTAAATCGGATCAAAAGGCTGGGCTAATAGAATCGGCAAAGGGCAGCGGTTCGGTTCATTGCTTGAACGATTATTTATGGACCAAATGGTTTTTCACGGTTCAAAATAAAATCAGATAAACTACCATGATTAAACTGGTCTACAAGTTCACTATTTTAACCACAAATTTTTTTTTCACGGTTCAAAAATAAAATCAGATAAACTACGATTATTTATGGACCAAAAGGTTTTTCACGGTTCAACTAGAGGGACGTATCCTTCTCTGGAACAATCGATCAAGGCATTCTACACTAGACTCCCTCTATCGAATGAGGTTGTCAATCGATACATAACAAGGGACTGACTCGCTCTCGTGTTATCGATTGCCTACTTTTAATTAGTAATCTCGACTAAAGCAGAATTGAATATCAAAACATGCATAACATGAACTTAAGTGTAACAAGAAAGAGTGCTTGTACTATCATCCAATCTAACAAAACATGGCCAGGGTTGCTCAAAACCTAAGTGAAGGGAAGTTACTCCATATAGAAGAGAAAGAACACATAAATCTTTTGTAGATCTTCAATATCCATCTACAAGCTTGTTCTTTGAGCTCCAATGGTGAAGAAATTCTCCAATTTGACACCAAGAACGCCCCCCCAAGTCGCTTTGTCTATCTATCTAGGGTTTGTCCCTTGGGTGTTTGGGTTCCAAAATTTAGATCTTCATCTTCCCCTCCAGAATTCGCAGAAAATCTCTTTTATACACGACAGTGAGAAAAACACAGCCACATGACACGATCATGATTTATTAATGTTTTTAGTGATATGGGCCGACGACTAGGCGAATTTAACAAAACTTTGGATAGAACCGGACGGAATGAGCATTTCGTTCAATGTTCAATTATGTGTTATCGAATTGTACAAAATAAAAGTTATGTGAACATTATAGGGGTCGGATACTATGCTAACCCCTAAAGGGGTAGTGATTTTCGACACCCCCTTTATGATTGGCCAATTTTTTTTCCAATCATTGGCAAGTATTAATTAAACTGGTTTTTTATTTTTTTTAATCTTGTAATTTGGGGTCTCTCACCCACATTGGAAAAGGAAAGAATATGGGGAATCAGAAAAAAGCTCCCCCCCAAATGTGCAATTAATTGCCTTTTTTTCTTCCTTTCGTCTCCTTCTCTCTCCATTTGGGCCCTCTTTCCATTTTGATTTCATTTTAACCATAACCCTCCTCTACTCTGAAACGACCAAAACCCTCCAGCGCCTTCCCCCACCACCATCCTCCTATCTCCAGCTGCCGCCATCCTGGGATCGCCTCTGACCTACCAATGGAGTGGTACGTGTATCAGTGGAGTGGTACGTGTACCAGTGGAGTGGTATTTGTATCATTGAAGTGGTACTGCATTGTTGCTCCGTGATTGTTTATCATTGTTATGAAAAATATCATTGCACTGGTATTGTTCTCACTCTAACCTACCTTGTGGATTGCTCGCACCAGTGGAGTGGTACGTGTACCAGTGGAGTGGTACGTGTACAAGTGGAGTGGTACGTGTAATTAATGTACCAGTGAGAGAAATTAATTATGTAATTAATGGGGGTGATTTCGTTTTTCCCCAGATTCTTTCTATTTTCCAATGTGGTGAGAGACCCCAAATTACAAGATTAAAAAAAATAAAAAACCAGTTTAATTAATACATGCCAATGATTGGAAATAAAATTGGCCAATCATAAAGGGGGTGTCAAAAATCACTACCCTTTAGGGGTAGTCAAGCTAACCGATCCCCATTTTATACAAAGTTCAAAGTTTAAGTGATCGTTTATGCTAATTACAGCAATTCAAGGGCATGTTCGTTAATCCATTATAGTTTAGGTGGCATGAACGCATAATTAATTCAACAACTGGATAGTGGATAGAAGAAAGAAATTGGTCTGGTTTGGCTGGATACGTGGTAGCCACCTGTCCTTCCCTTCCTTCTAAACCTGCTCTGCTCTTGGTGATGCTGCGAAGCTTTTCTTCCTTCCCTTATCTTCCGCTCTGCTCTCGACCTTCTTCCTTTCGTCGCCATTTCCACAACCAAGCAACTTACCATTATGCAAACGTTTAACTTACTGAAGAAGTGAATTGGGATTACGTTGAATGGTCACAGCTTCTCTCCAGGGGCGGAGCTAGGAATTAAAGTTCGGGAGGGCCGAAGTTAGTTAGTACATAACTGCGAAAATATTTTAAAAAAATAAAAATTTATAACGACATAACATTAGTTAAAATAATCAAAATAGAATTAATTTAAAGTATTCTAGTATGCTATATTCAAAATAAATGATTATACTATGAAAAAATTGTCATGCATTTTAACATGTAATTTTTTCAATATTATTATACGAATTTATGATTTTATTAGTGTTTATATGAATTATTATTTAATTACATATCCAAAACACATTCATGAAATATTAATGTAAAAGTTGAATAACTTGACTAACGTTATTTGTAATCATCGGATTTATAAGACCAAGCAGGAAAATTGAAAAATTAAACTGAAAATAAAATAAATAAATAAGTTAAAATAATAATAAAAAGTTGCCTACAAGGCTCGAACCTGGTACCTTTCTACTGCTATTCAACTACAAATCCACTAGGCTATATGAAGATTATGTTAACATTGTGTCACTCGCATTTTAAATATATTTAATGTTGATTTTATACGTAATTCTCGAAAGTTCCTAGGACTTTATACGTAAGTCCCTGCTTCTCTCAATCACTTCTCTCCCATATCTTCGTTTGCTACTCTTCAAATCATCCCGAGCTTCACTTGAAATGGCGGCTCCACTACTCCGCGAGCTGTCTCTGGTTTCCTGCCACCAGTTTCATCCGTCCGTCCCCTCCGTCTCTCCAGCCTCCAGCTTCCTTCTCCCCCATGAGCACAAGCTCCACTCTTTCGGTTCTCCGCCGCTTCAATCCCTTTGCTCTGGTTGGCAACCCAGAGCTAGGGCTCGTGTCAGGAGTCGGAGGAATATGCGCGCAATGGCTTCACTTAGTGGCTTCCTTGGCGGGATTTTCAAAGGGACCGATACCGGGGAATCCACCAGGCAGCAGTACGCTTCGACTGTGGGATTGGTCAATGGGTTGGAGGCCCGGATTTCGTCGCTCTCTGATTCCGAATTGCGCGACAGGACTTCCGCTTTACAGGAGCGTGCTCGGCAGGGCGAGTCGCTAGACTCTCTTTTGCCTGTAAGTGATTCCTTCAATTGACGTCCTTTCCTTTCAGCTCGATCCTTTTTGTTTTCCTGGAAGTTGGTTTGGTCAATTTGGTATCGTCTTGCTTTGGTTTCCTGTCTAGGAAGCATTTGCACTGGTGAGAGAAGCTTCCAAGAGGGTTTTAGGCCTCCGTCCTTTTGATGTGCAACTCATTGGTAATGCGTGCAGCCAACTTTCGAGGCAGATTAATGTTCTGTTTCGTGCCATGAAATCATTGCTTCTCGTCAATGTTCATTTTGTTTGCCCTGGCTAGTGTAGGTGGCATGGTTCTTCACAAGGGGGAAATTGCTGAAATGAAAACGGGAGAAGGGAAGACCCTTGTTGCTATTTTACCAGCGTTTTTGAATGCCTTGAGCGGGAATGGAGTTCATGTTGTTACCGTCAATGACTACTTGGCTCGCAGGGATTGTGAATGGGTTGGTCAAGTTCCTCGTTTTCTTGGACTGAAGGTTGGCCTAATCCAGCGTACGTCCTTCCTTTGTTTCTCAATCATATGCCCATGCCCGTTTCCTTTCCAGTTTCAAGCTTGCTTTGTTTTCTTTCCTGTAATTCGCAAGGTTGTCGTGCTGACTGCTGCGTGTTCGATTGACAGAGAACATGACTAGTGAACAAAGAAGGGAGAATTATTTGTGTGATATCACTTATGTCACAAACAGCGAGCTGGGTTTTGATTACCTGAGAGATAACCTTGCCACGGAAAGTAATTCTTGCTCATTCTTGTACTCCTGCTTACTTTTCCATTTTCATTTTGCATCATTTGGTTGCATTGCTAGAAGCATAAGCTTGATCATTCCTTACCTTGTTCAATGTATCATGTATACAGAGTGTTGAAGAGCTGGTCCTCAGAAGATTCAATTACTGTATTATCGATGAAGTTGATTCCATCCTGATTGATGAAGCAAGGACTCCCCTCATCATATCTGGACCCGCTGAAAAACCTAGTGATCGGTACTACAAAGCTGCAAAGATCGCTACAGTCTTTGAAAGAGACATTCATTACACTGTGAGATCAATATTTGGTGCTATTGCTTCTTACATTCAGAATTATACCTTGATATTTGGGTACACCAGAACCCTCCTCGGTTTCTTATGACAAACAAAACACTATTTTTATGGTGTCAATGAATTTACAATCTTACAGTTTATAGTCTATGATGTATGGTGCAAAAAATGTATTAAGACCTACTAATAGTCCCAGGAGTAATTGCCTATAATTGATGCTAAGATCGTATGTTATTTTACCATTTTTTCACTCATGTTGTGTCGATTCGCATTTGCCAGCTGGATTGCTCAATCTAGTCGAGGAGAAATACCATCTCATTTACCTGTAGACTAGTACCCATTTCAGTCTGCTGCATTATCAATATGTTTCGCATGTTTCATTTTGCATTGGGCTTTTTAGATGGGTTATCATTTTCAGGTTTGTTCTTGCAGGTCGATGAGAAACAGAAAAATGTTCTTCTCACTGAACAAGGTTATGAGGATGCTGAAGAGATTTTGGATCTTAAAGATCTGTATGATCCCCGCGAACAATGGGCACTCTATATATTGAATGCCATAAAAGCGAAAGAGCTGTTTCTTAGGGATGTTAACTATATTGTACGGGGCAAGGAGGTGCTTATAGTGGATGAGTTCACCGGTCGAGTTATGCAGGTGATGTCCTTCTCTAAGTGGTGTAATTTATTGTGGTTGAACAGAAAGTATGTTGTATGGGAAACTTAATCCACATAGCTCATGTTACAAAGAGTCTAGAATTGTTACCAACTCACGGAACTATAAGTTAGAAGTTACCTAAAGCAGTAGTAGAACAATCATTTGAATCTTGTGCTCTCAATCAGGGTAGAAGATGGAGTGATGGACTTCACCAAGCTGTTGAAGCAAAAGAAGCTTTGCCTATTCAAAATGAGACTATAACGTTGGCGTCAATTAGTTACCAGAACTTTTTCCTTCAGGTCTGAACTTGGTATTTATCCACTGGCTCATTAGTTCTTATGAAGTTACTGGTAATTTTTTGCTCAAGTTTCTAATGTTTCTTGCCAGTTCCCGAAATTGTGTGGTATGACTGGGACAGCTGCTACTGAAAGCACTGAATTTGAGAGCATATATAAACTCAAAGTGACTATTGTGCCTACAAACAAGTCCATGATAAGAAAGGTTTGTTTGGTTATGCACACAATACGCCTGTTAGATTTTTAAGTTAAAAGTGTTTCCCTTTATCTAAATACTTTTTGCTGCTAGATCTGAAACTAACCCTAAACACTGTATTGTGTGGGCTGTGTCCTCTAGGAAGGTATCAATATTAACCAGATAATGTTTTCTTCCATACGTTCAACGAGAGTTATTTGTATTATCAGTGGTCTGCAGATTCCCTTATCATCTTGATAACTTTACAGGATGACTCTGATGTCGTATTCAGGGCAACTGTGGGCAAATGGCGAGCTGTTGTTGTAGAGATTTCAAGAATGTATAAGACAGGGAGACCTGTGCTTGTTGGCACAACAAGTGTTGAACAGAGTGATGGATTATCTGGTCAGTTGCAAGAAGCTGGGATTCCTCATGAGGTAAGCCCTTCATTTGATGGAATGAAATTATTGTTGACTCAATTGAGTCAATTCCCACTTATGCCCATTAGGCACTTCCTACATTAATATATTCCAGGTCTGATTCATAAGACTGGCAAACAAAAAATTGATACTCATAACACTGACTGACAAATTTAAACTGCAATGCTTAGTTTTGCTGGGGAAATATCCCCAATCAGATATCCATGCTAAACTGGTATCAGGATGCTTGACAGCCTCATAAGCAGAATGGTTTTCGTCTGCTAAGGTGCCGATTAATCGTGCAAACATCTCAAGCAATGATTAATTGATGGATGATGTAATTAGCATGTGAAGTGGGATTGCTGTGCCTTTTTCGGCTAACCACATGTTGCAGTTCTATCCTGCTAACTACTTCTTTCATCTTAAAAACTTGTTTCTTTCATCAAGAAGGAAGATACTTGTCTCTTTATAATAGTTTCAATTTTAGCCAGAAGATTTTATCTGTAAGAAGTCAATCATAGCTGTGGCGAGACTCGCTTGTTCTGAAAACTTAATCAGCAGTTTTTCCTTTGAAGGTTCTCAATGCAAAACCAGAGAATGTTGAGAGAGAGGCTGAAATCGTAGCACAGAGTGGTCGCTTAGGGGCAGTAACGATTGCCACAAATATGGCAGGTCGTGGAACAGATATCATTCTTGGAGGGAATGCAGAATTTATGGCCAGATTGAAACTACGTGAGATTTTAATGCCAAGGTGCTCATTCTCACACCTACATCCACCTGTTGTTGTGTTGAATTCCAGTATCAAGCTTATTATCATGCCAAGTCTGGACCACTTTTTTCTCAGATTACTTAACAGTTTACTGTCTGAAGAATCGAGTCTTATTCCCTACTGATACATTTACCATGAAAATTATATCTACAAGAAAAATCAATTTTCATGGCATTTCCCTTTTAGTTTCTTGCTATGGGTGTATCCTACCATAATCTGGAAGTAGTTTATATGTGAAATGATTTCCAACGAGTTTACCTTATTCTATGATCTGAAGGATCCTTAACGTGCAGAGTTGTGAGACCAGATGAAGCTTTTGTATCAGTGAAGAAAGCTCTCCCTCCAAAGAAGTCATGGAAGGTTTGGTTTCCTGCTGTCAACTGTAGACCGGAACTTGACATGATGAAGTATTAACCGGTAGTTTATGTATTTACTACAGTTTTTGCATGAACATCTCTAGGTGAATGAAAATCTATTCCCCTGCAAACTATCTGATGAGAATACCAAGTTGGCTGAGGAAGCCGTTCAGTTTGCTGTGAAGGCCTGGGGTCAGAGATCATTAAATGAGCTGGAAGCGGAGGAGCGACTGTCTTATTCTTGTGAAAAGGTTTAGTAAATGGATACCTGATAGATTATTCACAAAAAAAAAAAAAGATACTTGATAGAGCCTGCTACTGACCTTGTGGTGATTCAATTCTTATCATTTGTATCTCTAGGGCCCTGCTCAAGATGAAGTAATAGCAAAGTTGCGCAATGCCTTTCTAGAAATTATGAAAGAATATAAGATATACACCGAGGAAGAAAGGAAGAAGGTACTTTTATCTCAACAGTTATTCACATATTGTTTATTAGTGTTAGTTTACTTTCAGCTGATGTTATTCTGACTAACTGCAGGTCATATCAGCAGGTGGGCTACATGTAGTGGGGACAGAGAGGCACGAGTCACGAAGAATCGACAATCAGGTGCACTTCTCAATTCACTCTTCTTTTTGCTGAAATTCTTATGTGGAGGAGCATAAGCAAGTGTTTGGCTTACTGCGAGTCATGATAGATAATTAATATACACAAGCTAGCCTAATCAACTTTTGTTAGTATCATCCCTATAATGATGGTTTGAAGTTTGAACCTAGTAGTCCATATAAATGTATACAACTCAGACTGATGATTGTAACTATAATAACAGTCAATTGCATATTTCAATGTAAGAGAAGACCAATGTACGATCTCTTGAAAATCGTAGGAATGAAAAAGGGCAAGGCTAACCTGGGTGTCAGGGTCTGGTTTGACGTTGATTGGGACTGAACTTGTAATTTGTATCTGCGCAGCTTCGTGGCCGCAGTGGGCGCCAAGGGGATCCAGGAAGTTCACGCTTCTTCCTTAGCCTGGAGGATAACATCTTCAGAATTTTCGGTGGAGACAGGATCCAGGTTTTCGACTGGCTTCATTTTATTGGACTCATAATGCTACTCCAGGATATGTTCTTGTAGGCGAGCGTAGTTTCTTAATCAACTTCCTTTTCTAGGGCTTGATGAAAGCATTTAGAGTCGAGGATCTACCCATTGAATCTCAAATGCTAACGAAAGCACTGGATGAAGCTCAGAGGAAAGTGGAGAACTATTTCTTTGATATTCGGAAGCAATTGTTCGAGTATGATGAAGTTCTCAACAGCCAGAGAGACCGGGTGTACAGCGAGAGAAGACGAGCCCTTGAATCTGACAATCTCCAGTCTCTCATTATTGAGTATGCTGAACTAACAATGGATGATATCTTGGAGGTAACATATGTTGTGGATCCACTTGTGTGTATCAAACAATGCACTTTCCAGTAGTATTAAGCAGCTTGTGACACTGGTTTTATACAGGCAAATATTGGTTCTGATGCACCTACAGAAAGTTGGGATCTTGAAAAGCTGATTGCAAAAGTTCAACAGTAAGTAGCCCTTCATCTTCATGCACAATCGTTGGCATGAATGAAGCCATAGTCTGTTCTAAAGAATTATAAGTCTACATTCATTTTTCACTTGGTGCACGTAAGTTTTATCGTTGACATCCCAGATTCCTATCAAATCTGTCTCTTGTTCTTGTCCATTAGATCTCCCCCACAATTCCAAATTTATTGACAGTGTTTCCTGTCACTTTAGGTATTGCTATCTGTTGAATGATCTCACCCCAGATTTGCTGAGAACCAAGTGTTCGAGTTACGAGGACTTAAGAGACTATTTGAAGCTGCGAGGTCGCGAGGCATACTTACAGAAAAGGGTTAGTATTATAAGGTTTGGGTGGGGAATCTTGAGTTCCTGTGAAAATCGATCCGTTCATGGACTTTGTATGCAAAACTCATTTTTCCTTGTGACTTTTGTGTTCTAGGATACCGTGGAGGAACAAGCACCAGGATTGATGAAGGAAGCTGAAAGATTCTTGATTTTGAACAACATAGATAGGTTGTGGAAGGAACACCTGCAATCAATCAAGTTTGTCCAGCAAGCGGTAGGGCTACGTGGGTATGCACAGCGTGATCCACTGATCGAGTATAAACTTGAAGGCTATAACCTCTTCTTGGATATGATGGCTCGGATTAGAAGGAACGTCATATATTCCATATACCAGGTTTATAATCTAAACCTAAACAGATGTCCTTGTTTTGGAAAGCCTAATTCCTTGATTGCTAACACACTTCCTTACACATTTCGATTTGGGAAAATCCGAACTTTGCAGTTCCAGCCAGTACTAGTGAAGAAAGATGAGTCGAAAGAGAAACCTACCGAACTGGTGAACAATGGTCGGGGGCGTAATAAGAAAGATCCAGTTGGCGCCACTGATATATCCTCAGCTTGAGGCCAGGCTCCAAAGCTATTGCAGGAGCTTTCCTATGCGGGCATCAAGAAGAGTTGTTGCAGCAACCTGTTGTCAGTTGTAACCTCATTATTTGGACAAATTTTAAATGTGTAAAGGCCACCAAAAAGTTTCTAATAACATAATAGTATAAGAAACCAAAGAACTTGGATTTTGTTGGAGACCACGGATTCATTGATCCATTAACGGCAGAGTGCAGAATCAGTTGCTCTGTTTCGTTGCTTGATTCCATTGCTGCAGCTCCATGCATTGATTCATAGCATTCCCCTTGCTTAGCCATATGGGATTGCAATCTGAAGCTACTAGCACAGCGTGTTCACCGCAGCAAGGAACATTTGAAACAAAATAATAGGGACAGATGGATGGGGTTTTATAGGAGGATAACTGTACTTTGTTGATATGGAAAATCTGTACTTAGTTGTGAGATAATTGCCCATTGTTTCCTCAATTTTTTTTGGGAAAACCAAAATTGCTCTAAAAAATATAGTAATTGTTGTTGTTGGTAAACATGATTAACTACCCTTTAAGTTAGGAACTGAGTAGAGGGAAGCAAACTGAATCTAGCACACTACAAGTGGGCTTAGATCATTCATTGATGCAAGTCATTGTTGAGGATAAGAACATTGGGTGATTACTATTTGACAAAGCAAAAGTTTATTATGTTTGTTCTTTGTCTTTGTTGGTAATCATTATTTGACGAAGAGAAGGGGGAAAAAAACTTGGGACAAATAAGAGGTTGGGTAATCATTTTATCATGTGTGTTCTACCCATATGCCCTAACCCGTGAGTTTAACCACAATTAGACCCAAACCTAGATTTACACTTAATAAGAACATTAAGCATACAGCTCTTGGAACCCTAAAACAAGTAAATACATAATCTAACACATACTAGAAAATCCCATCACCGTACTATTCTCAGACCATTTCGTTCCATTTTACCCATAACACGTTTAGTTTCATACATAATGAATTAAATTGATAATTTAAACATTATTTGTACATTTATTACTATTAACACATTAATATATGTACCATGAGTTCAGACAAGAAGTAAACTATAACATACTTTACTAACTATACCTAAAAGCAAGCATTTTCCACAAATTCTGATGTTAGGTTCTTTAGCCAACCCAAATGGATCCTTGAACGCCAAACTCTTAACAAATTACTAGACCAAGAGAAAGGATGTAGCGAGGACAACATGCATTTCCCAGTAAACCATAAGTAGCAATCTCTGACGTGCTCAAATTCTGAAGCAAAATGCTGCTTACTTTAGAACAACAAAAATGCCCGTTTTAGACAACTACAACTGCTAAATAAAAAGACACTGAAGCAGACAAGAAGACCGCTTCACAGTAAATAAACAGGCCCTAGTAACTCCTGCCCCAATAAGTCCACTTCTTCGCCGGCTTACCTGAGGCAAAGCATATAGTCCCTGCACAAATTTGACAAAAAAACTCAATTATGGAGGGGGCTCAAAAGTACGTTTCTTCCCACATATTGCCTAGTGATAGCAAATCATACATACCAACCCCAGCAAAGGACCATTAATGTGAATCCAAAGAAATTGAGAAAGCATGGCTGATATGAGTAACATTATCAGTGACATGGAAAGAGCCACTGACCTTCAGGGAGTTCTGGCTGCTCGAGTGGAGAACAAAGACTCTTAGCCGCTCCCATTTCACCCCTTGTCCGCTCTTTAACATCCTTTTCCACTTCCTGCACATAAATACAACCAGCTTACTTTCCAAATAATTATAAACAGAAACACAAAAGAGAAGAAACCACCTCTCTCACACACACACTCAATGCCATGCAAGCCAATCCTCCATCCAGTCTTATATAATAAGAAATATCCTCTATTCACAGTCACACATGAGTGAAAAGAAAAACTTCTTTATCATTTGCCTTGTACCTCTTCATCACACCATGGAGCTAATATCATTTTCTTCTGGGCAAGGGCATCTTTGAATTCATCCCAGGTCTTCACAACTTGAACAGAGGCATCTCTCTTTTCTTTAGCAGCATCGAACAGGCTCTGCTGAATGTTATCCAGCAAGACGTTAACTTGCTCAACCAGGTTGTCCCTCGTTATATCTTGTTTTGAACCATTGTCACGACGAACACAGCGGACCTACAATCAAACAACATGTGATCAAAAAACAACACTCTGAAAGGCAGGCATATATACATACAACTAACCCCCAGTCCCTCACCTGATTCTTTTCTAGGTCCTTTGGCCCTATCTCAATCCTAAGTGGAACGCCCTTCATTTCCCAGTGAGAGTACTTCCAGCCAGGTGAATAATTATCTCTGAGGTCACCCTCAGCACGGACACCAGCCTCTAACAAGGTCTCAACAGTTGCAGCACAAGCATCAAGAATTCCTTGAGTATCAGCAGTCTTGAAAGGTACAGGAACCACAACAACTTGAACTGACGCAACTTTAGGTGGCAGAACCAATCCTTTGTCATCTCCATGAACCATTACCATCACTCCAATCTACAGACATAAAGCTCTCATATGTGTTTCAAATACACAACAAACCAACAATTCAGAAGGCGGTTAAATAAATGACACTTTTAGAAATGATGCAAGAATTATCAATTAAGTAGGTACACAGTAAAATTAAGGATCGAAGCCCAACAAAGAGAAACAAAGATTCTATATGATAAAAGAGCACATCATAGTAAGTAAATTCACTAGCAACAAGTGAAATAGAACATCCAACCAATTATGATAACCACCAAAGAGCTTACCGTCCGAGTACTGTAAGCCCAAGAGTTCTGCCAGACCATACCCTTCTCACCCTTCTCATTTTCAAAGTTTATCTCAAACATTTTTGCAAAGTTCTGTCCTAAGCAATGTGAAGTTGCACCTTGTACACCACGTCCAGTGTTAGGAATAAATGCCTGATACCCAACATTTGAAGAGTTTCAATAAAATAAATCAATAGGTATTACCAAATATAGGAAACATTGTCTCAGCCAAACAATGACATGTGGTGTCTATTGTTTACCTCAACACTAGTTGTGTAAAGCCCACCAGCAAACTTCTCCATCTCACTTTTTTTGCCCTTTATGACAGGGATTGCCAGAAATTCTTCATAAATGCGTCTGTATAGCTCCAATACTTGAAGGACCTGAAATAACAAGATCCTAACCAGGTTTCTTCATGTGGAAAGATTAAAATAATCAGGAGAAGCCACAACATATTCAGCTACCGCAAACATAAATGGCGTGAATACATAGATCTCAGCTTCAAACCTAAAATCAACATCTGATATTAACGAATCGAATAGAACAACATGAAGGAGAAAGCATCATCGGGAACGTCAAATGGTTAAATATTTGACAGGCAATGACACAATGTAATTCTTTTATAGTAAGAAATTTAAAATTAATGTACACATACCTCTTCATCTGCTTCCTCCTTCGTAGCAAAAGCAGTATGCCCTTCTTGCCAAAGGAATTCACGGCTCCTAAAGTTGAAGGATGTCATTCCAGGCAATGGCACAAAACACCAAAGTGACATAACAATGGATCTAAAGAAACTGATTCAAAAAAGCCCCAGTGTAACACGGAAAATTAGAGCACCTGATAAATGGAGTAGGATTGCTGAACTCCCAGCGAACAACATTGCACCACTGGTTGAGTTTCAGAGGCAGATCACGGTGCCCTCTTATCCACTTGGAGAAGTAGGGATACATCACAGTTTCACTAGTGGGGCGAATGGCGATTGGAATTTCGAGGTCAGATTTCCCAGATTTTGTGACCCATGCGACCTGAGATTTACCACAATATGAAATATAAACCAACATTACAAGTGATAAGAGTTGAGGTGTTCTTCTCCCTAATCTCTTTTTTGTAATAAAACCATTTCTATTCAAATGAAAGAATCATGATAACAAGATGGGGCATGAAATAAACAAAATTGAAGTTCCTCCATCTTTCAAATAGTAGGAACAGATTTACAACTCACCTCAGGAGCAAAGCCCTCAATGTGATCTTTCTCTTTTTCTAAAACACTGGATGATACAAAAAGAGGGAAATAGCAGTTTTTAATTTTCATCTTCTTGATCTCTGCATCAAAGAATACCTACAAGCCAACATAATGGAAGATTTCGTCACATAAAACCAATGTAAACACTGAAGAAATAAAATGATCAACCAACAGAAACAAACACCCATCAGAGAAGCAACTATAAACCAAAAAGCAAGTAACGGGAAAGCTCTCCAACAAGTTAACACTTGATGAAAGAACAAAAAATTTAGCTAGTATCATCTTTAGAAGAGTGTAATCACATCAATAGCCCCGTATTAATCGTCCAGGCTGTTTGAACAAAATAGGCCAGGAATGAAGAGGCCTGGACAATTCTCGAGGAAAAAAGTGCAGCACAGTATCCTGGGAGCATACCCCAAAGAGAACACAAAACAAAGCTTCCAGAAAAGAGCAGTTTGGAGAATGTCCCTTACTTGCATTACTTCCCATATACCCATCGACCATGGCCTCAGAATATAGCAGCCAGAAATATCGTAGTACTCGATCATCTCGCCACGGACAACCACCTATTAGCAGCCAAAAACAGCATAAATTCAGGCTAAAAAGGATGAAAAATCATAAGTTGCGCCATGTTATTTGAGCCTTTCTTCTATCCAGGAAGATATAATCATATGCTCACTTTAACTGACTAAAACAGATCACTTGAAGGATAACCAGTAACACGAGGGCTAGTAACTAATCCCTGCTTTTCAATTGAACTGTGAATTGAAGGACATAGTTCATTCATCTATTTATTCTAGGATATCGTTCAATAGACGGAAAACCCACTTGCACATATATCTGTTTAACAACGTTGACATTTTATTACAAGACAGTATCCAAAAGTCGAAGCTCACAAGCATACCTCCGAGTACCACTCTCCGAAATTTGCATCTTTCTTAAAGGATAGCCCTAAACCAGTCTCCTTCTTCACTTCCTTCTTTTTACCACCTGAACATAATAAACAGTTCCTTATATGCCAATTCCACGAGCTACCAATCCCAGAGTGTAAAACAACAAAGAATTCAAGCATGATTGTAGACACTCACCACCCATTTTCCCAAGTTAATTTTGAAGCAGAGTAACTGTGAAATGCAAAATGCAGAGTCAAACAACAATCAAAATATCACAATATCAGTATCTATTTCATCACATACAAGCCACTTGGGAGCTGAAACTGGATTATCCCAAAGCATTCCTCTTAAGAAGATCGACGGGGAACAATACCCGGAACTCGGAAAGCAGCCTGCCGTCCTTGATTCTGCTCTCTTCCTCAGACAAAGAACGAAGCAGCCGCCGACCCACCTTCAATTCTCTTCTTCGCCGCCCTTTTTATTTTGAGACGCAAAAGGCTAAGGCAGCAGAGGTTCCCCTATAAAAGTCTCCTCACGCAGAATATAGGAAGTGCGAGGCCCGGCCCGGCCCGATCCGACCCGACAGTTGGATTCTCGATTTTGGTAATATTTTTTGGTTTATTAATTAATACCAATATAATAGTTAAATCAGTCGGGTGCAATATAATAGCAATGGATTTGATCAAGTATAGTAATTAATGTAATTAAAATCGAGTCTGTCGATCGGACCGATAAAACCGAGACCAACCCGTCAACTCGATTAGGATCAATGAAAATTCCTTAAAAAGAATCGACCTTTGACGAGCGAAGTGAACGGTTAACTGTTCAAACCGTTTGAACCGGCTACGGAATTCGGCCGCATCATTCAAATGTCTCACCCACACAATTTAAAAAAAAAAACTAGACTTGATCTCGTCAAGGAAGCTCGACGTGGGACAGGAAAAAAGAAAGCCCCAAATCAACGAAACTTGCCTCAATCAAAATTGCACCAAGTTGATACACTTTCCATTTTACAATCTCATTCTCCTTTGTGTATGAAGAATTAAACCAGGTTGATCCGACCTGACCTGACCTCTTATAGGTAAAAAAAAATTACTCCAGGTTGATCCGACCTGACCTGACCTGACCTGACCTCTTATAGGTAAAAAGATGACCCAATCCTGTTTAAACCATGTAGACAAACTGACACAGCTTACATTCCCACTCCTTCCCATGAAAATCCATCTTAGGTCCAGAGCAGTGAGATCATAAAGTGAGAAAATAAGACTATTCTACCTAGGGATAACACAACCGTATCACAAATGAAACAATCAGCCTAGTTTATCCCAAATGACAGCAAAAGGGTACTCAGCATATGGTCATTACCAATTATTATGTTTCAGGCAGTCTCACAAAGTTCCATCATTTTCTGTTAGCAGAAGTAAACCTCTCAATCCCAATTCGCCCACAGCGCAGCGCATAACAGTTACACATGTCGAATCATTATGGCACAACCAAGAAAACCGAAACGACATCAGTAACATTTCCATTTGAGACATCTTTCGACGTTGTCCATGCAAAACGGCTCAAGCAGGGAAGTAGCAATCCCATGCAGTGCTCCCTCGAGTCTTCCCTTCTCTTGGAGGTTACAGATTATGCCAGACTTCGGTGTTGGCTTAGTTCCCTTGGTTAGCTTGGCTCCGGTGGCACGACTTTTAAGCTCCGTATCCATTCGCAGAAACTGGGATCATCAAAGTGCAGAAAGCTGCTTTTCAGCTTTGTCCGCTGTTCCATTGTCAAAGTCTGAAGCTGCGGGAATCTTGCCTCCTACAGTTATACATCATCACAAGCGCTACATCATCGTCTGGAAGTAATGCAGGTTCCGTCAGCCAAGGGCATGCAGCTCTCGTTTTTAAAATTCTTACCTGTTCGTAAGGAGGATCTTTGTGTGCTGGTATCAGTCGTGAGACAAAATATCGTGCCTGGGAGCTCCCTTCCTGTTATTAGCAAGTATAGAAGACACCATCATTTGAACATAACCAAACAATAAAACATAAGATGTATAGGGATTAGACTGAGAAATCAAAGGTGAGAAAAGCTGATAAATCAAAGAATAAGAACCTTGAAAGCAAGAATCCTAGGAGCTGGAAATCGCGATTCAGTGAGCTCTTCAGCCAACGTTCTGCAAGCTGCTAACGCTGCTGCACTTCTACCTTCGTCCACAGCTAGTTCAGCACCCTGTCCTCAACGATTATGAGGGGGCAGAAAAGTCTTTATTATGGTGGATATGATGTAAATATCAAACAAATAACTGCCTACATACTTCCAGAATCAAGACAGTACCAGTCAATCAACCGTTAAATTACAAGGAATAACATGTTACTAACGCAAACTTTTTCATGAAACCAGCATTACTTAGAGATATGCTATGTTTGTAGCAAGCACATGATAAAATTGGAACCACAGCTTGCATGCTTAACTACACATCAAAAGTTGAAGAACTACTCTTAACTTCAGCATATATCAACATTTTCACCAAGGTCAGTTCCTTACAGTCAAGCAAAGCAGAGCCATGTATGTAGAATTAAGAGATCTCCAAATAATTTGCTTTCCCACAAGCTATTACCATGGGTATCACCTCAGGACAAGACCTAATTATTACTCTGGTGGCTAAAGTGAATAGAAAGGCCACCAGACCACCAAATTATAACAAATATAAGGCATTTGTAACAGACCAATAGATTGTGAAGCACAAGAAGCTGATGTCATACCAACCAAATGAAGATATCAGTGCCATGATCAAGAACAACAGCTGTGTCAGACTGCATTGCGAGGTCATAGGCTGGCAATTCCTCGAAAGTGCCTCCTTCTCGGTGCATCAGACATCGCGGTGCAACCATACGGAGTGAAAGATCAAATGATGCATTCAGAAACAAGTTCCTCAACACAGAGCGTTCATCCTCATGGCCGACAATGCTTCCCAACAATGGCCCTCTTCTGAGATGAAAAAGGAGCTCAGGCAGCAAGGAGAGTTCCTTGGGGAATCTTCGAAGTTTAGACTTTGGCACTTGAGCACCAAATTTCAGAGTGATATCCTTGATACGCTCATCGATCGATGCCCGCATATCAATTGCATCGGCAGAGTTTTTGGCTCGCAATAGAGTCCTCTTAGCAATCAGGATGGCAGCCACCTCATCATGTACACACTCAAGATATGCCGAAACACTATCTACAGTAGCTAGTCTAATTGTTATGACCCTCGAAATATCTGCCTGATAAACATTTGAAAATTGTATGACGAACTGGAAATACACACTATCACTCTTGATGTCACCTTTATTTTCCATCGACAATGCGAAGCACTGAGATTCTTCAACACTTAACATCTGAATAGAAAGAGAAGAATCACTCTTAAATTCACTGCTGTCTTCATATTGTGCCGCTTCCCCAGGACCGACGACTTGCGTAACAATGATATCATCAGAGCATCGAATCTCCAGAAGACCATGAGAGCCTGATGCCCTGGAAGCTGCTCTTTGCAAGTTCACACCAAAGGCTTCACCAAAGTCGTCGTGAAGTACCAGAACACCGCCAGAAGATTTAGCAAGAGGCTGCAGAACTGGAACCCTAACTGGGCAAGTTCCTGCACATAGAATATCAACCACTGTATTGTGTCGTTGAGCTTCACGACCCAGCTGTTCCATCCATTTGAAGGCTGTACTTTCAAGGTGAGCATAGTTTGGGTGCCCAAAGGAATGAGGAACAGATCCAGGACCATAGGTATTTGGCCCACCAGCGCATACAATGATCCTAGTATTACCCCCTGGCCTCTTGACTACACCCCGAGACATCTCTCCCGATGGCCCCTGAATTATAGATAGAGCTATTTCAACAGCAGCACCCAGGCAGCGTTCCCTTGAAGCTTCTGCGATGTCCAACTTGAATGGTCTCAATGATGAGAATATTCTATGTGCTACTTCTTTTGAAGCATGCATTGGCGACAAATACACACCAGTCCCGTAGATTAATCCTTTCAAGGATTCTGGAGTGGGTGATTTATCTCCTGGAAGCACGTCGGCTGAAGCAAATGATTCCTCTGAAAAATCATAAACAGATACTACACGGCCGTATGTTATGATTCCTATTCTGGATGTAGGAGGAAGAGAATCAACAAATGCATGTAAGGAGCTTTGTAAGTGCTGCAGGTGTGGCTCATCCAAGCAGTCATCAATAACAAGAACGACAGGTGCAGACACTCTAGAATCAGAAACTGGAATGAAACCAGGTCTCTTATTCCCAGGTTGAACATAGTCAACTACTGGAGACGAAAGTTCAGGAAGGTTGCGCAGATCTTCTTTGCTTGGTGCTACATATTCCCTGTCACTTCCATTTAATGACATGCAAATCACACATTGCCACTGGCCCGAACCAAGTAATATTTTGCAATACAGATTTGCATAAGCTCCACAGTTTTGGCAGCGATGGGCAACACGTTGTACAATTTGGGGACCTTGTAAAATCTCTCGACCAGGGGAAATCAATGCCCCAAAACCCAAACTTGCTGCATTTGCCAGTTTTTTCTGCTTCAAAACCTGCATGAAGTTGAAGGAGGTAAATGAATGAGGGACTGTAAGAAACAGTTTACAAGCTTTTGATATCAGATAACATGCCAGTTTTATTGAGAAATCAAAATATTTCAAATTCAGCTATGCATATAACTTGATTGATCTGTAGCATTGCAATAACTAGGTAAACAAGTAAAGGGAGAGAGATACCTTAGTTGACGAGAATAACACACATGGTGATTCCTCAACTGAAGAGTTCTCCTCCATTGCTTGGGGAAGCTGGGGATCCAACTGGGGTGAGCCATTTGAGAAATTGGGAGGAGATGAAGTGGGCAGCGATGATCCTGATGAGAACGCAACTGGTTGCGGAGTTGATGGGGAAGTCCGGAAAGGCACTGCAGCAGGCCGCACAGGTGAAGTGAACACCGGAGGGCCAGGTGGGGTACTCAAGTGAGGAATTGGGCTTCCACTTGAAACTGCATTTGCCGGTGACATCAAGGTTGGGGTTTTCACAGAAGGGGAAAGGTGATCATGTTGCAACTTAGGGGGAGGAAATCTGGGAGGTCCAGCTAATACTTGAGGTGAAGAAGTAATATGACTTCTATCAGGTTGAGGGATTGATGCTTCAGGGTTGGAAGGACTAATCGCAACAGAGTACCCTCGGGAAGGTTGCTGTGGACTAGCCATTACAACTTAAATCTCTCTACTTGCAAGCAGCCAGGAAGTTGGAAGAAACCAGCTCAGACGTTCACCCTTTCAAAGTCTTAACAAGAGGACCAAACAGATCAATAAGGAAAAAGGGAGGCTCAACAGTAGCCGCTCAAGGGAAGTTCCACTACAAGCATTTCCAGAATGATTAAGGTGCCCGAGGACTATAAGCCCCCATTAACAGCAGAAGAAACTGGAATTGAGGTCCTAGATATACCAGATTGCAACACTAAAACCCCACAAGGAAAAAATGGATTCGAATGAGACCCCAGTTCAAGAAATCCCCAACCTACCAAAGAAACGTCCACAAAGCCTCAAACTTTCACCTTCAATCACAGAATTGAGATCACCTACGGCTTCCACTTCTCTGCACAACCGTACCCCACAATCCTTCCTTCGAAGACAGATGAATCTGAGTAATGAATAATTACCGAGAATAAGAATCGGGTCGGACGATCTAGGGTTCTAAAAATGTAAATTAGAAGACGGACTGTATAATTCGCAACCGGCGTACCTGAGAGGGAAGGACGGACCAAGGGGAACACGATGCGAGATGACAAAACCAAGAAAGGAAATGAGCCCTTTTCTCCTCTATTCTGTTTATTTATATAATGCTCAGAGGTTTCTCATACTTCGAGTTTAAAGAGTTGGGCCGTCTTAGAGATGAAGAGTGAAATCACTCTTTCTTGTCTTTCTCGCTGTCTATCCCCCGTCTGGGAACTGGGGGAAGGGGGGACAGAGACGGAGAGATGTAACTTTTTTTTCCTAATCCAGTTGCCTTCTTTGGATTTCTTTCTAAAGGAACTTTATTTAGTTTTTATGGGTTGTTTGGGTGAGGAAATGTTTTTTTTTTTTTTTTTGATGAATTTGGGTGCATAACTGCATATTATTCGCTTAAAATATTAGGTATTTGGTGTGAGAGATTTGGGTTAATATAAGAAGTTAAAAAAGATTAATTTCACTATAATATTTTTTTTTTGTGCCTGATCGAGTTGTTGTTGATGCTACCCAGCAAAAGTGTGTTAAGTATCGGGATTGTGCATGACGGCTGGTTACGGTTTCCTGCCCTTTTCTTTTTATTCGCTAGAAGAGTTGGATATGAATGTCGTGGCTTTGCTCAAGCGGATCCATAAATTATTCGTGACTCAGGATGCAGGGGCTTGGGCGGTCGCGTGCATTTTTACCATGCTTAGTTTTGCTATAGCTAAGGGAGTGGGGACTTATATTGTATCTCGGCTACCCACTAATTTTTTGTAGACATTTGTTTGTTCTGATTCCACATTGATAATAATAATAATAGTATTGACAGTACTGCAAAAATAATAATAATAATATTTAAAAAAAACTATTGCTCCAATCCCTAACAACTCCATTTCTCCCTGCCATTACTAGTTGCCTCATGTCGCTTCTCTGTTTCATCTAGTTGGATAAGAAGGTTGAGATTCATGAAGAATCATTTGATTTTTGTCTACACGACCACTCCTAGAATCGTCGATGCCATAAGTTAGACTTCAATCCTCTTACCAACTCAAACCTGCCTCCCTCATTAATCGTCGTCTGACAATGGGCGGATGAGGAGAGGAAGAGGTGGCAGAGGCATCATCGAAGTTGTATTGCTTGTATATGAGTGCGGGGAAGGCAAAGGAAAATGATTGATGGGACTGGTTGAGGGAATGGGAGGAGAGAAAGGATTAGAGGGAGGAGCAGGTAGCGGAAATCTGGGAGACAGTGGAGGAGGCAAGGATGGCGGGTGCTAAGTATTGGGAATTGGAGATATAATCGAATGGTCTTCGAAGAAAACAGGAACAACAACGCCTTTTGCCGAGGGAAATTGTTGGGTTTCATGGCAGCTCCATCGCCCATCATTAGAGGATCAAGGCAACTATACTTCCCTCTCTCAGGTAAACTCCCCACTGCCGTTCTTCATTGTTGATGAACATAGGTACCTAGAATGTTTGTTTGTTGGGATGTTTGTCATGCATGGTGGTTGTTGTCACGTCAACATTGCTTGTGGACCCTAAGTAAAACAATTTATGAAGCAAAGACACCCTCACTCTCGGTGTCCATTACTCCATGTCACCTTGGCCACCCCTGGGGTCAATCACCACAACCACCTCACCCCAAGGTCGCTCCGGCCACACCTAAGGTCACCTCGGCTAATCCAGAGTCACTTCCATCATCCTCGGTCTCATCAGCCATCTCGAGATCACTTCGGCCACCCCCTATGTCCATAACCCCATGTCATCTCGTCGCCCCGGGGCCACTACGCCCACCCCTAAGCCCGAGGTCAATCACCTCAAGTCACCTCAGTCATCCCAAGGTGACCTCCGGCCACTCCAAGATCACATTGGCCACCCCAGGATTACTCCACCCACTCTCTGGGTCGGGCACCCTAGGTCACCTTGGCCACTCTAGCCACCCTTGAGTAGCTTAGACCACCACCAGGGTCGGTAACCCTAGGTCACCCGAAACCTTTGGCCACTTACTCCCATGACGTGTCTTTTCCTTATCCCCGAGCTCCCAAAGGAAGACATGTACCCCTTTATGATTGTTTGATGACCATTGGAAAAGGCCACCGTTGTATCCAAGTGAAGATAAGCAAATATCCTCATGTCTAGACTCGTAAACTCTCGTTATGATTAGTGAAGATATTCACTTTCAACTCCCTTCCTCATGTTTCTTTTCAATGTCATATTCCTCTTTTTTGGGGAAGGCAAAAATTCGCCAGAGAGATTCATGGAGGATGAGACAACAAGAAGTGGGGAGGAGGTAGAAGGCAACACTGGTATTCCTTTTCCAGGTCTAAACCCAGAAAGTGTCGAGGGTTCCAGTACACCCCATTCTTCTATCCTTTACTCTAACCACTCCACCAGCAGTCACCCCAGTTTGCTCCGGCGTCCAACGTCCAATCTTCGTTCCTCTCCCTCCAAAGTCCAATCTTCATAGTCTTCCATTTGTCGTGCTCATCTGCTTTAGCCTCCAAGACTCCAACATTTGCCTTCCTTGACGGTCCGATCACCGGTACCACCCTCAAGACTAACTGAACTAAAAAGAATGTTGATTGGGGTGCTTAGTTGAACGCGACTATCCACAATATAATAAAAAACTGTAACATTCCTTCTTTGGATAACCGAATTTCACAATGATATCGATGATGGGTTGTTGTTCGTAATACTAATTCAGCTTCGAGTAACCGACTAATCCGACTCGATTAACCGAAACCGAACGGAATTCCAACCTTACACCGCATTGCAACCAAAGTGAATGTGGTGTACAATTTTATCTTTTTTAATAGTGCAGTGCGCATTTTCCATCTCCTCCCCTGTGGCCTTCTCTTGTCTCCATCCTCGCCGCAGAGCTCACTAGCCGAACACCGCTATCCCCCATCCAAAACCCTAGAGTTCAGTATTACTCGTCCCATTTCCATAGTTTCTGCTCTGCTCTCGAATCTCGTCGTCCATGGAAACCTCAGAAGACCATGGCAACGGCGAGCTCAATCACCTCACCAAGAAGCCGCGTCTCACTCGTTTCATAACCGAATCCGCGATTGCCGACGAGTTCGCTCACCACCAGCCAGGCGTAGCCCGAATCAACAACGGGAGTTTCGGGAGCTGCCCCGGATCAGTGCTCTCTTCGCAGCGGGAGTGGCAGCTCAAGTTCCTCCGGCAGCCAGACGATTTCTACTTCAACGGACTCCGCAAAGGCATCCTTCGCTCCCGCACTCTCGTCAAGGACCTCGTCGGTGCCGCTGACGTCGAAGAGGTCTCCCTCATCGATAACGCCACCACGGGCGCTGCCATCGTCCTCCAGCAAATCGGCCGCGCCTTCGCTGAAGGCAGGTTCGATCGGAACGACGCGGTCTTGATGTTCCACTGCGCTTTCCAAGCGGTGAAGAAGTCTATGGAAGCTTACGTCCGGCGGGCTGGGGGGTCTGTTATCGAGGTGCGCTTGCCGTTTCCGATTCTGTGCGATGAGGAGATAATTACGGAGTTCAGGAAGGGATTAGAGAAAGCTAAATCCAATGGTAGGAAAGTTAGGTTAGCGATTATCGATCATATCACGTCGATGCCATCTGTTGTCACTCCTGTGAAAGAACTCGTTAGGATTTGTAGGGAAGAAGGAGTAGACCAAGTTTTCGTCGATGCAGCTCATGCTATCGGCAGTGTTGAAGTGAATGTGCAGGAGATTGGGGCTGATTTCTACGTGAGCAATTTGCACAAATGGTTTTTCTGCCCCCCATCTGTTGCATTTTTGTACTGTAAGAAATCAGGGTCGTCTTTGGATGCTCATCACCCTGTTGTTTCGCACGAGTATGGTAATGGACTGCCGACAGAGAGTTCATGGATTGGGACGAGGGATTATAGTTCGCAGCTGGCTGTTCCTACAGCGTTTGAGTTTGTTAATTCCTTTGAGGGAGGAATTAGAGGGATAATGAAGAGGAATCACGATGAGGTTGTTAAGATGGGAGAAATGTTGGCTGAATCGTGGGGGACCAACCTCGGTGCTCCACCGGAGATGTGTGCATCCATGGTGATGGTAGGCTTGCCTTCGAGATTGTATGTCACCAGTGATGATGATGCTTTGCGGTTAAGGTCACATTTACGAGCTTATTATGGGGTCGAGGTCCCAATACACTATCAAGGTCCAAGAGACGGTGAAGATGGTGTGAAGGATGAGTACGGGATTGTAACAGCCTATGTGAGGATTTCCCATCAAGTTTACAACACATTAGATGACTATTGCAAGCTTAGAGATGCTATAAATCAGATTGTTGACAACAAGAAAACCTGCAAAACTCTTCTGATAGAATGAACAGGTATTCATGCAGACAATTTGTTTTTCAGATATGAGTTCACTAAGAAAAATCTTGCAAATTCTGTACTGGATTCCACTTTCAATCGCATCTATCATGTGTGTGTGCCTAGCTTTCCCCATGAGGATTGAGGAGTATCGTTTGAACTCGTCATGAGTCATGACAATGCTGAGTTGATCAGATATGTATGTGGTTTGTGGCACTATCTGCTACATTCTTACACCCTCCATTCGATTATTTTTGTCTGCTAACTCCTGGTAATCCAGGCAATTGAAACGACTTTCAGAACATTTTTAATTAATCTGACCCAGCTTGTATTATTATTTTATCAACCTCTTCTTTGAAGCCTTGAAGGTGGCTTTGCAGATTCATAGTAGTTTGAGTTGGTTAACGGTGCCTTTAACGTGTTGACTCATTTAGAAAAGAAAACCATTATACTTTGGCTGTTTTTTAATCTTCTCCAGAGCTTTAACTTTGGAATAATATAGAGCCTGGATAAAACATGCTTTTTCTCGTAGATGAATGGCGGCCTTAAGGTTTAGAATTAAGATGGGTTGGATTTCTTGATGAACATGCTTTTGCGGATTACAGTTTGGATGTAGTAAGCATCAAAGTAGAGTGGGTGAAGATCATATCATGCTGAACGCTAGTTAGGCATGGCGGTTCCTGTTCTGTTTGACAATGCTTAAGCTAAAGGGTTGCATTTAGTTGGAGTTTAGGAGAACCTTCGGCATTGAAGACGTGTATCTGATGAATTGATTGTCACGCTAGTTGCTTAGTTGTACTACTTCTATCCTGAAGTTGAGATCCTAGAGTCAGAGGTGCTGATGGCTTTGTTCCCCATCGGTATCTGAGTCTGTACTTATCAGACTTGATGTAAGCTCCTATTTCAAGGACTTCAACTATGTCATCATCTTATTCATAAGCATGCTGCTCTGTGCCATTATCCTTTTAGCGGCAGAAATTGATCAGCGGCGCTTGTCTTTACAGTTTATTTCTTTTGCGCCTTCTCTCATGCGGTCAAGTTCAACTGAGTCGTTATCTTCTTTTTTTGCAACGTTGCGAGTAATCTTCTGTTATCAGATTTACCTAATTCTCTTATTTCTTTCTCGGTCAGATCATTGGAACCATCGGAGCAGCTTTTGCAGAGTAACTTTGGAATGACATTGGGAAACCGAACAGCAATCTTGGTGATTGTTGCTGATTACAGTATTCAAACGACTGGATTTTTTCTGGACAACCACTTGACAGCAAATAAGGAAAGGAATAATACTTCCAAGCCCTACAAGAGAGCAGGAAATGAGGCCGAAACTTGACTAGCTACCCCGAGGGCATTTCTGAATCCGCGACAGCACGTTGTTCTGTCCCTTGCCCATGCTTGTAGGAACGAAAGCTCGCTCATATCAGGCATCACTTGGTTCCATTCTATGCTTTTATCTTCACTGTATGGAGACGATTTTGGTACTTGACATCAGTCCTAGAATGTAGCAGAATCGAGAATTCAGTTACATTCTCTTCTCTTGTTCTTTCGTTTTCAACTTTTTGGAAGCAATGGAGATAAGAAGACGATGCAAACAGTAAGTTAAAACTTTTCTGTCCTATTTCACTCTTGTTGGAAGACCGGGAAATGAATCATATAGGACGTAGTTGTTTCTTGTTTGGCATACTGGCATCTGATCACCAGTTTGTTTTTCTGTTTGGTCTTGAATGGTATCTGAGCAATTGTTGGAGGGGAAAGGAATGACGATTCTAGATTGAATAATTGACTCGGAATCTCCATATGTGGTGAATCTAAATCGAGTCGAACCTTACGTTCCTACATCAGTTAATTGATCTCTGACTGCATGGTTGGGAATTAGAGGGTGGAATGCACCATTTCCCGACCTGCAATTTGATATGGCATCACCATATTCTGTCTGCAGAGGATGTTCAGTTCAATGAGTTTTTTGTCATGGAGGTCAGGGATCCAAGCTGCCATGTCGACATTGAAAGAAACAAACAGGAACCATCACCTTGGGATTCAGTTTCCAGAAGATTGGGATCCAGCTGCAGATCCCAATCTTCTTTACCAATGAGACAAACAGGAAACAGTTTTGCAGTTCATACATGTATATTTTTATACAGCACAAGATAAAACAAACGCAATCAGCACAAGAGTGTGACTGATATATACAAATTACAAACGACTGAGAGACAGGTGAAGGAGCAACCAGAGTCTAAGCTCAAACAGACGCTGCTGCCATGGCCGGTGGACTTCCGGTTCCTTCGCCCAAAAGATTGGCAACAATGGCGTCCACATCTTCCAATCCTACGCCGATGCAGAGAAGCTTCTCAGCAATACCATCCAGCTCTTGGAAGCCATCGGCACTGCAACTCGACGATACCCTAACGTTAGGGGCGTTCTTGCATTTCCCCAAACACTTGCAGGTCATAACGGTAGCTTCCCTTCCCACCTTCCTTTGAAATTGATCCATCAGTTCCAGAGCTCCCTGTTTCTTGCATTTGCCTCCCACACAAACTTCAATCTTCCTGCTCAACGCTCCCACAGTGCTAGCAAAGGTCGCGAAAACATCACCATTGCGCTCTTCTCGTTCTTCTTGGAGAACTCCAATAGGCTGAATTGTTCCGATGTCTTGCGTTATTGCAGAGTCGGACTTCTTGCGCTGTGATTTCATCATCATTACCTTCTCGTCTTCACAATCACTGTCGCTCGACTCCGACGACGAGCTGGAGTCCGAGGATTCAGATTCGCAGCAGTCTTTTGGCTTCATTATAGCTCTCTCCAGCTCTTTCTCTTCATCGCTCTTCCTCTTCCTCTCCATCTCCGCCGATCTCAAACCCTCGAGCTCCGCCAGCAAAACCTTCTGCGCTTCCTGCGCTCCATCACAACAAGTAATTTACAGATCACAAAACGAAAGACAAAGCGAAATTCAAATACTCTAATTCACAAACCCTCACCATGATTGCCATCCCTCCGTCCTCTTTCCCGGAAGCGTACATCTGCAGGTCTTCAGACAGTCTCTTCAACAGCTTCAACTTCTTGTTGTTCTCCTTCTTCGCCACCTTCTCTTTCTCCTTCACCTTCTCCTTCCCCTTCCCACCGCCGCATCTCGCCGGCGATGCGTAGTACTTCGTATGCTGAGAATCTGTGAAGTCGCCGCGGAGAACGCTGCCGAGCCTCCACTGCCTTGTCCCGAAGCGAACCCGGCGATTCGGAACGCCCCGACCGTCGGCCAGCGATTCCAGATCGACGGCTATCGCGGCAAAGCGGGGAGCGATACTTCGAGCCGTCGCCATGGAGAGAGATAATTGGAATTTAAGATTGGACGGTGGTTTAGGTTCAGAAGGGAATGGTTTGCCTTGGATTGTCCGATTTGATTCTGCAATTCTCATGCTCGGGAAAACGAAGGAGACAGGAAGGGATAGGAGGACACGTGGAGGTTCTTGGGTTGACGATGATTACTGCGTGATTATGTGGACGGCCGAGATTCAGAGCTAGTGTCCCGCGCGTGGGTTAGTTTTTATGACTCAGCTGGAGGAATAATGGGCACGGGCCGTTGTTTCATTTAAACCGTAGGATTAATGGTGCACGAGATGGACGGGATAAGATCATGCCAACTAAGCTCTCTTCAAATCCTATGTGGCGGATTGTCAAAAAGAAAAATCCTAGGTGGTGAATCGGTTGCACTCTCTTGGGAGAATTTGGCAACGCTGCTGACTGGGTTTTGTGGCAGCAGCTACAGATTTTTTATTTTTAAACTTCCAATTTTCTTTTTACAAACCTTTTAAACAGACTTTTTTTTGCATCTAGTCATTATGATATTTTTTAATATAAAAATTCGAAATTTCCTGAAATTTTATGAGTGGTTTAAACTCCTAAAGGCTCGTGATCGAACAAATTTAACAAAAATATGGGTGGTTTACGGACCCATTTTTTCTGGACCTCTCAATCACAAATGACTTGGGCCATAGCATGAGTGGCCACATTCCCTTCTCGGCACCATAAATTCCATTTGATCAACCCGATCCCGTCCACCATTTCTTGAATTTCCTTCACTCGAACACCAGTCTCTTGCCTTGATTCTTCCATCTTCTGGAGCTTGAGAATGACAATCTTGCAGTCGGACTCAAGAACTATCGGACCCAGCCTCACCTCCTCCGCCATTTCCAGGCCGACTTTCGGCACCTGGAGTTCTGCTAATTTTTGCGATCATGAGTTTCGCTCTCGACGGACTGACGCCATCAAAAAAAGATCCCTTTGTGTTCGCGCAACATATTACATATAATGTTATTAGGCTTTTGAATGCTTTGATGCCATGAAAAATAGAAGTTAGGGGAAGAATTCATACCAGCAAATTTGGATAGAGCTAAAGACTATGATTATGGAGTTTATTGGAGTTTCTCATCCAAGCAATGAGGAAATTTGATTTTCCCGAAAAATGGATTGAGCAAATTTACATGGGTATCTTTTTAACTCGTTAAAACTACACTTTTGGCAATGCTAAGTGAAACAATGACATGATCGCAATACAATGGCATAAGTAATAGAATATTGAATCCACGGGCCTCAAGATTTACTATTACTCAACTTCAGTTTATTATTTAGAAAATAAGATTAAGATAAACTAGCTACAACTACACCAACAAACTAGAGTTAAGGTTAATCCAATTACAGGTTGAGAACTCACTCAACTATTGATTCCCCCTAGCCACTAGTCGAAGTAATGATTGATTATTCTCTAACTTGTTTCATTCTTCATTCACACTGCAATCATTGACTAAGCCTTGAATCTCGATTAAAGCAATTCAGGCTCTCTTGAGTGGGTTGCTTAGAGGGACGTATCCTTCTCTAACACAATCGAAGATGTTTTACACTAGATCCTTCTATTGGGTGAGGTTCTCACTCAATACAAAGCTTTGAATCGACTCACTCTCGCACAATAGATCCTGCACTTCCAATCCATGGTGCACTATTAACCTCATGAGGTTTCCCTCTCATAGAATCAAAACATAGTCAATAATCTCGATTAAAGCAAAATTGAACTTGGATCATGTATATATAGAATATAAACTCAAGATTAACAAGAATGAGTACTCTTACAGTCATCCAATCAAACAAAACATGGCTATGGTTTCTCAAATCTAAATGAAGGGAAGTTACTTCATAGAAAAGAGAGAATGCATGAATTTGATCGAGATCTTCAATCTCCATCTCCAAACTTGATTCACAAGCTCCATTGGAGAAGAAATCCTTCAAATCAGTCCCTAGAATGTTCCCATGTCACTCTTTCCCTCAGGTTCGTCCCTTGGGTGCTTGGGTTTCAAAAATCCAACTCCCTTTATGCAAAACCCACATATGCAATATATAGCCGCAACTAGAAAAATCACCCCAGAATGCACGACCGTGCTTTTGGTTTTCCAGCCCATGCTTTTCCCAAAATGCACCATTTCCATTTCATTCTTCGTGAAAGGCACGGGTGAGCCCTTGGAAAGCACGACCGTGCTTTTGGAAGCTGATTCTCGTGCTTTCGGCCCAGATTTCTTGTCTCGAAGCACGACCTTTAAATGGTAAAGCACGAATGTGATTTTGTGATGCTCTGACAGTACATTCAGTCCAAATACACGATTTGTCATGCCACTGCTCATGGAAGGTTTGGTCGTGCTTTTCTTCCCTTTGGCACTCCTTAGTTGCGAATGACCTCCAAATGACCCGAAACTTGCGCCTAACCTTTCCTTCACTTGATACAGCCTGATATATGTCAAATGAACACAACCTATCATAGGAAAATGAGAAGCATGTTATCAAGACAAACATGTCAAAAAACAATAAAGAGATGAGTGACAAAACATGTATAAATGAACTCGTATAACTCCTCTATTATCTACTCTATTCTACTAAATGGACACGTGGAAATTTCAAAAAATCTCGAGGATCCCCACAATATGACCATTTCTCATCTTATCTATTTATACTTTGTTTTGAAGGCCTAATATATTTGATAAATAAGGATGAAATGGAAGGTAAATTTCATGGAATTCAAGTATGTGAGGGCGCCCCCAGTAATATCACATCTCTTCTCTGCAGATGATTGTGTGATATTCACAAGGACTACACCCCAGGAGAGCAACAACCTCAAGGATATCCTAAAGATATAAAGCAAGAATCAACCCAAAAGGTTAATTTATATAGGTCTAAAAGATATTTAGCAAAAAGATACACCCCCCTCCCAGGAGAAGAAATGAAGGAGGGCTTGATCTTTGTGATTTAAGAGTTCATAACAAAGCCCTTTTGGCAAAACAACTCTAGAGGATCATTCGAAATCCTTATTTTTTTATGGCTGAGATTTTAAAGGAAAATTACTTCCACTCTTCTTATATTTTGCAGGTTGGAACACACTCAAACCGGAGTGTCGTCTAGAAGCTTGTTGCGAGATAGAGAGCTTCTCTTAGAGGGTATGAGATGGATAGTTGGCAACAGATAGATATCATAATATTGAACAAGAAATGGATCCTTAACGAGACAAACCACCCCATATATTAAGCTAAACATAATCAACCCATATGCGGTTGTGGACTCGCTTTATATACGAGTCTATATGACGTGAAGCATAGTATAGATTCGTGTTTGAGAAGATAAAAAGTAGCAATGAACAAAACATAGGCTACTAATCGTACAAAATTGAGATTGGGGATGCATATGAGTGTAATGCAATCCGCTCTCACTTGAAGAAGAACTCGATAAAAGGGTACCGACTACTAACGCTAAGAAATATACTGCTAGCGAACTGATAGATTAACTGAAAGAGTTCTTTTGTCATTTTTCCATAATTCAGGGGACAAAAATGTCATGTAATCATTGAAAATGTACAATTCTTAACAATAAAAAAAATGAAAAAAAATAGGTGTGATTCTTAAAAAGGAAAATTCTAAAACAAGGGACATATTCAAAATTTGAAACTCGGCGATTGGAGGCGCTCCAACGGTCCACTAAACCTATTAGGGTTTCCGCTTCCCTGTGGCGGCCCACACTATATATACTTCACCCACACAAAATGAATCCCTCCATTCCCCATTTCCTCCATCTTTGCCGTTTACTTCAGTTGCAGAAAGGATAAGCACAAACCGCCCCCCTCTGCGATGGAAGGTTTCGATTTCCACAGCCTTGCAAGGAAGGATCTCCAAGCTCTGTGCAAGCAGAACAAGATCCCCGCCAACCTCACCAATGTCGCCATGGCCGACTCTCTGCAAGCTCTCCAACAGGTAATGCTCCTTCACTGCTCTCTCTTCTGTCTCGTATTCCTTCTTAATCGTTTGATGTTGACCTCGAGTTCAGATCTCGCATAATGCTTCAGTCGATTGGATTTCGTGTTCCATTTCTGTGATTCAGTTGATTGGATCTTCGTTCTTTCTCTGCCGTCGGTCCTTCTACATTGATCTTAATCTTCCTTGCTATCTCTGTTCTGCTCTCGTAGTCCTTCTGAGGTCGGAATGTTTAGGGATTTTGTTTTCGCTCCATAGATCTCAGTTTCACTTCGATTCAGTTTGGCAATTTGGAAAAAGACGAATTCGGAAAACCTAATTCTGTCGCAATCATGGCATTCGATTAATTAATTAACCGCTTCATGTTTCGGGAAACTGTTTTGCTATTCTGCAAGGTGGAGGGACTCGATGAATTAATCGAAGCACTGAAGTCTGATCCTCATCGTTCCCCAGGGAAAACTGTCCCCGGAACGCCTGTGGTTCCGCCGTCCGGCCGCCGAAGTACAGTTAGAAGTAAGCCTGCGATAGTTGAGCCAGTGACTCGTACTCGGCGCACTACAAGGAAAACTGCTGCTCCAGAGGCTGGTGCAGTTGCTGAAACTCCGGTGACGGCGGTAAGCAGGAGGAAGGTGCCAGTCCCTGAAGCTAGCAAGTTTAGTTTGGAAGGCGAGGGAGTTGGTGTTGTGGAGAAGACTAAGGCTGCCTCAGTAGCAAAATCTGTCCAGAAAGGTTCATCGTCTGTGGCCACTTCTATCCACAAAGATGAAAAATCTTTCCAGAATGTGTACAGCAGCAGGCGATCAGTAAGGTTGTTGGAGAAGAGCATGGCAAAGATTTGTTTGAATGAAGGCGCTGCCGCTGGTGAGTGGTGTTCTTTGCTTTATGTTAGCATTGCTTCATTCTTACTGGTCTCTAAATTTGGCGCTCCTGACTGTGTTGATGGTAATGCTATGCAGGAGATGATTCATCGATTGCACCAAAGGAGGAAACCCATGTCTCTTGTGGAAACTTGGACTCTTTATTGGAGAATGAATCTGAAATCCAAGAAGGAGTTTCTGCAGATCATGCGAACATTAGCTCAGAGTCTGTTAAAAGTGATGACATGAGTGTAGTTCCAAGCTTAGGTTCTCAAGAGGAGAATGTTGATATGAATTCGGAGGTAGTTGAGCCTCTTCCCAAAGCTGACTACCACAATGGAAAAGAAGCAGCTAGTAATGTGAACAAGAATGAATCCATTGATGAGACTGGTAAGCTAGATCCCTGCCCTGTTTGTTTCTCTTTCCTTTCCTTTCTTAAATGTTGTCTGTTAAATTACTAAAATTTTGGAAAATGATTTAATTGGGCAGTATCCCTAGAGGATGTGGAGAAAACTGTCTCCAGTCTGTCGGAGAATGAAACTGGAATGAACTGTGATCTTCAAGCAGATGAGGGAAACAAAGATGAAGTGGAGGAGAAACAGTACATTGACCCTGTTGTATGTGATAATGTACAAGATCATGAAGCCCTAAAGGAGAGTGGTAAGTGCTACCCATTTTTTTCCCCAGTCATTTCGTGTGATTGGCTTTCTTTTCCCCTTTCATTTTCTCAAGTTAATAGGCTTATCCATTGACATGACAGAACCAGATGACATTCCAATGGAACTCAGCAATCCAGATGCTTCTTCCATTGGCAACCGTTCACCGGACACAGAAACTAAAATGGACGCTGAAGTTCAATTGAATGGCGGCCAACTAGCGGCATGCGCAGAAAACATGCCTGGAAGTCCCAATCTATCAGACTGGTCAGGTGGAAGCTTTGATGAGTGGTTAGCTAAGGAACAACAAAAGAACATTGATGAAGCAGGTATGTCTGTCTGGTCTCTTCTTAACACTGTTAATATTTAAGTTCTACGCACAAACAAATACTGCTTTCAAATCTTCCTGTAGTCGTCTCAATGTAGATAATATAACCATTTGCAGGACCAGCAGCAGTCTCAACTCCAAGACCTGCTCTGAAATCAATCGTTGTAATGGGATCAAACAGCCACCATGTTTCTTCCGCTGCTTTACAAGTGTCTGAAGACACCACCTCTCCTGCAGTCACTGAAACAAAGCCTATGATACACACTGATGAAGACTCGGAGGACCATAATGGGATGAAACTAGATGGAATTCAAGGAGATATTGAAGTTGATTCAGAAGAAGTCGTCGTCACCATCACCCAACCAGCTGCAGCCGGTGCTGCTTCCTTGATCTCGGGCAACATGAAGCTCTCGTCACCTTTCGCAGCTGACGCACTTCAGGGCCAGTTTCCCAGACCATCGTTGTTGTCGGCCAATAAACAGCAGACAATCCAGAAGAATAGGGCCGACATTTCATCGGAAATCAACAAGGAGAACGTTGACAACTGGGAGATCATGAGGAAGGAGGAGACTGGAAAAGATGAAGCGACGATGACGGCGAAGAAAGAGGGTTCTAAAGAGTTGGAGGAGCTGAGTATGAGGCAACTGGAAAAGATGCTGAAGGAAAAGCTGCAGCTTGCTAACAAAAAGACTGAAAAGGTTGAGCACTATATCAGAACATTGTAGTAATTGCCAAATATTCAGCAGAAACTTTCTCATTCATCCGGGGCTCACTCTTACTTTCCTTTTTTTGCAGGTGGAGGAGAAGAGGCAGGCAATGCAGAGGTTACCAGAGAATCGTATGCCGGTTGGCGAAACTGATAGGAAGAACTAGAGATCTTCAGGACCAATTCGTCGAGTTTGAAATGGAAAATTTCATTCTCCACTTCGTTGATGTTCAAGACAAGACAAACCTTCTTGGTTTGCTTCCTTTTTTTTTTCTTTTTCCCTTCTTCTTGGTTTTCAGGTTACAATGTTGTGAGTTTTGATGAACGGTGATACAATAATTTGTCATTCTGGAGTTTGGTCTCCCTTTCTAAGAGTTTGTAAGCCCGTCAATAGAAATGAACTTGCTGTTCAAAAACGCCAATGAGAATACAGCCCAACTTCCATGTTGACCAACGTTTCATGATGTTGTCCTCCGGGAAAATTATATCTCATTCTGTCCAACATTTGTATCATATCCAAGGTTGTCAAACCGGTTTAAGTCATTGAGACGGTCAAGTAAGGGGTTTGAGGTTTAATGGTCTGATCGGGGTCCAGCCGGTTTGAACCATTTAAGAAATTTTCTAAATATATACAAATAAGGTAGTAATTAAAGATTTAATGACTAAAATAAAATTTATCTTACATATATTTATTAAAAACTTATTTTTCACAAAATATAATGTGAGCAGTGATGTATACTTTTTCATTGTTCGGTACATTAGCACTGAAAAGACAAATGACTTGTTATATGAACTTCTTGGCCCTTGATAGCCTCGTAGTTAATGATAATGTCCATGATTCTCGCCACATCTTGTTGATTGGCATTTCCCAAAAACCATTGCATCATCGACAAAAAGGCAATGAGTGAGGACCATACATCGAGGATTAAGTTTAATACTGTAGATTTTTCTCCTCGGTAACCTCTTTTTCAATCAGGAAAGTCAGCGCATCAGACATTAAGATAAAGAGGAAAGAAGATCTCCCTGTCGAACACCTCGAGACGGCCTAAATGGCTTTGTGGCTTCTTTGTTGCACAAAATGGAGAAAATTTATTGCTATGATAAAAGCTCTAACCCATTTGCACAATCGATCGTCAATACCATACTTGTCGAAAAGACTTTCCAAGCAATCCCATTCAACCATATCATAAGCCTTCCTCAAATCCAATTTAAGCATAAATATTAGGGCCAGATTCCCCTTCCCATGTGAATTTATTTAAAGAATCAGAATATAGTTAATTACTCTATATTTTAAAAGGTTCATAACGTGTTCAATAACAAACATGTAGCATATTTGGTAAACAAGTAGTAGAAGGGTAGTGTGAAACTCTGTGAATTTTTGGGTTGTTGTTGGAGTCTTGGACCGACTCCAAGTAGTAACAATCTTTGGATGGAAAGGTGAAGGTGGGCGGTTAAACAAAACAGATAGATTGGATAGAACTTTAGGACTAGGAGTGGAGTATTGGACTATTGGTTGTTGAAACTGTACTTCAATCACAAATCAGCAGCTCTCTTCTTCGCCCACCAGCCAGCCAGCCAACTACTACTGCTCTCCTTTCTCCCCCCATTAGCTTCCTTTCTCAGCATCTATGGAAAATGAGCCATTCCTCTCTACCCAGCCGCAGCTCCAGCCAATCCCAGAGCTCTCCTCCTTCGCTTCTCTCCCTGAGCCTCTCTCCACTCCCCTCATCTTCCATGAAATCGAGCCCCACCCGCACCCGCCGCCGCCCCTTCAGACGACGACGTCATCTTCCGATTCTTCCCCTCCCGCAACGACCCATCTCCGGAAAATCCGATCACTCCAGCGCTCCAAGACAGCTCCGGCCATGGTGGTCATGCGGGACTTGAAACCCACAAAAACCCCTCAGTTGCCCCGACCCAATTCCGATTCCACAAGCTCCATCGTCCGGCGAGCGATCTTCCTTCTCTCCCTCTACCTCTCCCTCGGGGTCATAATCTATTCGCTTAACCGGGACAAGTTTTCCGGGTCGGAGACCCACCCGGTGGTCGACGCACTCTATTTCTGCATCGTCACCATGTGCACAATCGGGTACGGCGACATCGCTCCCTTAACCCCTGGTACGAAGGCCTTCGCCGTTGTGTTTGTCCTGTTTGGTTTCGGGTTCATTGACATACTGCTGAGCGGGGTGGTCAATTACGTCCTTGATTTGCAAGAGAGGATGATCCTGGCCGGGATTCAGATGGGGAAATCGCAGCATCAGCATCAGCATCATCGTCATCACCATCATCGGGATAGGTTTTCGGCGAGGAATTACATCGTGGATGTTGAAAAGGGTAGGATGAGGATCAGGTTGAAGGTTGGCTTGGCGCTTGGGGTTGTGGTTTGTTGTATTGGAATGGGAGCTCTGGTTCTTTGTTCTGTGGAAGGTTTGGATTGGGTTGATTCGATTTACTTGGCAGTAATGTCTGTTACCACAGTCGGGTATGGTGATAGGGCGTTCAAGACGTTGCCTGGGAGGCTGTTTGCAGCTGCTTGGCTTCTGGTGTCGACGCTGGCGGTGGCCAGAGCTTTCCTTTACCTGGCTGAGTTCAGGGTCGATAAGAGGCACCGGAGGATTACCAATTGGGTATTGCATAGGGATATCACTGTTGAGGATTTGCTTGCTGCTGACATGAACAATACCGGTTTCATTAGGTTCGATCCTCTCCTCCTTTTTCTTTATACTTTGTTTCTGTTCTTGAACTAGAAATTTTCGATCGTATTTGGCAAGTCGTTAGCTTTGTTTTCTGGGTTAGTTTGTAGAAGTTGGGTGGTCTGGTTTTAGTATGTTCAGTGGGATAAGTAAGTTGGCCGCTGCGCCTCAAATACATGGCAGAAGTACTTGCAGGACAATAGCAGAAAATCATGGAGTTACCACTGACTAGTTAGGGAACTAAAATTTCTGTTCTCACATTTACTGCAGTTAAGCCATCACAATCGCAAATGCGATATTTGATTGTAGTCTTTCTTGGCCTTTAAGTGCATAGCGTCTGATCAAATCTCATTGCCTGCCTCTTTAGCTATGTTTGTGATGCCTTGTTTGCTAGAGAACAAGCCGAAATAGGTGAACAACCAAGTTAGGTAATCCTCCGAAATCTCGAATTGTAGAATTATGAGAAATAATGTTTGGGTGAAGGCTCAAGTGATGCGCAAGGCTACTAGTAGTGGTGCTCTTTTGCATGTTGAATTACTAGGCAGGAAAGAAAGCTGCTATATTGTTAACGAACGATTCTTGCATAAGACTCTAACCTAAAATAGTGCAAGTGCTATATAATTAAATACGCAATCCATCCCAGGCATTGTTCCTGACTTAGCAGCTTCTTAATAATGCTTGTGAGTCCACAAATTGGCACCTTCAGTTAGGATGCAGCAGCAATCAAACAACGCCACGTTAGACTTCGATCCTCATTAGTCTTGAACAGGCAGTCACTAGCTACCTAACTGGTTGTTGTTGGTTCACATTTATTATGTGTGTATATTATCGAGACTGCTGGTTTCTCGTCGACTATTTGTCTTTCTTTTACAAAGCATTGTTTGATTTTTGCATATCGGTGAGAGAATTAGGGACTTCTGCAGATGTCATTGGTTATCTTAGTGTGGATTATGATGTGAATACTGCATTCCATTGTGGCAGTAAATCGGAGTACGTGATATACAAGCTCAAAGAGATGGGGAAGATTGGGGAGAAAGACATATTGCAGGTCTGCAACCAATTCACCAAGCTTGATCCCAACAACTTGGGGAAGATCACATTGCCTGATCTTTTGGAGAATCGCTTGTGACAAATATACAATGAAGCCTCTGGTATGCATTGCAGGCACTCTGATTCTTCCCTCTGGTATTGGTAAGCAGAAAGTACATACATACATAATGTAGGAGAGGCAAACAAACAGCCTTTTCAGATCAATGTAAGATGGAATTTAGCAAAGAAATCTTATGAACACCTTTGATAGCTAGAGAATTTCATTCTCTCTCTCTCTCTCTCTCTCCCGGGTAGATTTTATTGCATCCAATTCATCATCTCCCTCGAGACAACTGATAGGATCATAATGTACAGTAGTTCGAGGGGATCGATAGTTGTATGTTCTTAGCTAGAATCATAGAACATTTGTACTCGGGTCAGTCGGGTGTATTTATTTGCTACATGGTTGTCACGCCGGTGGCATGCCACCCGGTTGAACCTGGTTCAACCTGTGCCGGTCATGAAACCGGCATGACACCACCGGTATGACCGGTATGATCGACTTACGCATTTTAAGTAAAATGATATAATTTAAATGAGTTTAATGAATAAAAAAATTAATTTATTATTCATTTTATGAATGTAATAGTTAAAAGTTGATGATATTTGTTGGATTATAACTAAATTGTCCACAAATATGTTTTATATATGATTAAATACATGAGATATTAATTGTTTTCACAATTTTTTAAACCGGCATGAACCGGCACAAACTGGTTATACCACTGGTCGTACCATTCCATTTGCCAAACCGGCACAACGGTATAAACCGGTTTGACAACCTTGATTTGCTATGATATAGATATAACATTTAGCTTTAAGCTCTACGATTTGGTCGAATAGTTATTGACTTATTGTTAGTTGGTACAAATTTGACACCGGATGGGATTCAGTGTCAAATGGCGAGCCAAGCTCGAGCTTATATTTTTATAAACGAGCCAAACTAAAGTTGGCTATTAAACTCCGTGTCGAACTCATGTTTATAATTATTCTTACTAATCGAAGTCGAGCTTGAAATTATTAACAAACCGAACTCGAACACTGATAAAACTCGGATCATTAACACCCTTATGGGCAATATATGCCAATTATGGTCCGCCTACCAAGGCCCACCCTAATCCTTGACATATCGGCCCAACAGCACAAGTACCGAATACCGAAACCGTCATTCATAATGATACCGCCAGAACGGCGCCGTTCCTATATGACTAGAGAGCCACCAATCATTTACCCTTTAGGCATCGTTGTTTCGTCCTCTTACAAAATCGCTTCAGAAAATCTGCCCCATCGTCCCTCCATTCTCTCCCACTCTCTCAAAACATCTCTGAGAAAAGAAAAAGGGAAGAACGCCCAAATTTCCCGAACCCTAAAATTTACAAAATCATCAGAAATCCATCGCACAATTTCAATTAGCCACCCAAACTCCAATCCCCCTTTGCAATTCCGACCTCCTCCCTCGCCGCCGTCCTGCAACCTTGACCCCCCCCGCCGCCGCCATCGTTTCCGACGTCTTTTCCCCCCCCTTCTCTTGCCGGTTAGTTTCACTCTCCCGTTTCCCTGACTATCTATTGTTATTTCGTTTTCTTTGCTTTTCTCCTGTCAATATTCTTTTCGTCACAACTCTGTAACTGAAGAGGAAGAATCCCGATTTCGGGTTTTCTCCGTCGCGATTGTATCTAGGGTTTTTTCCGCCGATTCAATTTCATCAATTGCCTTGCTTTCAAACGGACTGATGAATCATGTGTGTAGTTTTTCTCAGTTATGCCGAAGCTGATTGTGATATGTCAGTCGGGAGGGAAGTTCGTCGCGGCGGGGAACGGCGTCCTGTCGTACTCCGGCGGAGAAGCACATGCGCTGAGCATCAGCCGGGAGAGCAAGTTCGACGAACTGAAGGCGGAGATGGCCGAGATGTGGAAGTACGATCCCAACTCCGTCATCGTCAAGTACTTCGTCCCAAACAACAACCGGACGCTCATCACCGTCTCCTCTGACAAGGACTTGCAGCGGCTGCTGGATTTCCATGAGGATTCCGGCACCGTCGACGTCTACGTCCTTGCCAATGAGGAAGCTGCCGCCACTGAGACTGCTCTTACCACAACGTCCACAGGGTAACTTTGTCTCTTCCATCTCCATTGTGTCATTATATCAACTAGTGCATTGCCTGCAATTTTGGGGTTTGCTTTGCTTCCCTTCTGATTTCATCTGTTTATGCGTTTCTTACTTTGGACTTGCTAAAGTAAGTCTGCCAAGGCAAATGCATCGAGAGCCCGAGCTGCAGCTGCAAGACGTAAGCGAATGAGGTGAATATTGTTCTTGTTTGTTAAGTTGATATGCAGTTTGTAGGTGATAACTGAAAAGCTGACAGAAGTTCTCCCGGCTTTGTGCGGTGTTTGTACTGACTGCATTGCCTGGTTAATTTGATATGAATAGTGAGGAAGCTGCAGCAGGCAGAGAGCAAGAGCAGCAGGTAGCAACCGCAGAGCTCGGTCAGGTACAAGCTATGAACGGAGGAGAGGAAGCAACCATGACTGAAGCACCTGGTAGCCCGCTGAACATCACTCCGGTAGCAAGCATCATCACGGATGGTACCCCGGCACCACAGCTGCAGATGAGGACTAGCACGCCCTGTGCTCTTGATGTGATCGGAGAGCAGAAGCTTCAGAAAGTGTGGGAGAATTGCATCACTGGCCTCCACCAGCAGTTCAATCACGTTGGCGAAGTACGTGAGGCTCTTCGCCGTTACTCCCTCGCTCAAGGGTTCACCATCAAGTTCAAGCACAACGATTCCAGGCGAGTGAGCGCAAAGTGCAAGGCCGAAGGCTGCACGTGGAGGATTTACGCCTCCAAGCTGTCCACCACTCAGTTCTTCCGAACCAAGAAGTTCATCGACACCCACACCTGTGGCGTGGGCACCGACTCCGCAGCACGTCCTCATGCATCCAGAAAACTGGTCGCGACCATTGTAAAAGAGAAGCTACTTAGCACGCCCAACTTCAAACCTAAGGAAATCGCCGAAGAGATACAGAAGGAATTCGGGATTGAGCTGAGATACTCCCAAGCTTGGAGAGGAATGGAAGCTGCAAGACAGGAGCTACAAGGCTCGTATAAAGAATCATACAATCTTCTCCCATGGCTGCGCGAGAAGCTATTGGAGACCAATCCAGGTAGCGTGGTCTCCCTCAGCACCTCCGACGACCTGACATTCCGCCGCTTCTTTGTCGCCATGCACTCTTCCATATTCGGGTTCGAGAATGGCTGCCGTCCTCTTCTTTTTCTCGACGAGATGTCGGTGAGGTCTAAACACCAATCGGAGCTGCTGACTGCAACGGCAATCGATGGGAATGATGGAATATTCCCAGTGGCATTTGCCGTGGTGGACACCATCAACGAGGAGAGCTGGTACTGGTTTCTCGAGCAGCTCAAGTCTTCTCTGTCCATCTCACAGTCCATCACCTTTGTCTCGGATCGACAGATGGGATTGAGACAATCTATCGCCATGCTCTTCCAAAACTCCTACCACGGCTTCTGCGTCCGACGCCTTTCGGACGAGCTGCTGAAAGATCTCAGGGGACCGTACACTCAAGAAGTCGTCGACGTCCTCGTTGCCCACATGTACGATGCAGCCAGAGCATCGACCAGGGAAGGTTTCTTGAAATCTATGGACAGCATCAAGAGTATCTCCCCTGAAGCTTGGGAGTGGATAATGCAGAGTGAGCCGGAGCACTGGGCCAACCACATGTTTGTGGGATCCCGCTACAACCACATCTCGTCAGGAATCGCGGAGTCGTTCTACAGCTGGGTTCCTGAGATTCAAATGCCGGTCGTCCAGTTCCTGGACACGATTCGGCAGAAGATCATGGAGCTCATCTACACCAGAAAGGTGGAGTCCGAGCAGTGGGTTTCTCGAGTGACCCCAATCCTGGAAGAGAAGCTCCAGAAGGAAATCATGAAGGCGCAGGCGCTGCAGGTATTCGCGTCCCAGACGGCGGAGAACACGTTCGAGGTGAGGGACTACTTCGGAACGGTGAACCACACGGTGAACGTCGAGTCGTGGAGCTGTTCCTGCAGGGACTGGAGGCACAATGGGTACCCGTGCTCGCACGCCGTGGCTGTGCTTCAGGGGATAGGAAGGGATCCGTACGACTACTGTGCCAAGTACTACTCGACGGAGGCTTTCCGGGTGACGTACAGGGAACCCATCAACCCGGTTGCCACCGCCGATCGTCCTATTCACGGATCGTTGGTGCCGATACTGGTGCAGCCGCCTGCACTGCGCAAGCTTTCGGGACCGCCGAAGCAGCGGAGGATCAGGAATAAAGGGGTGATCAAACGACCGTTGCACTGCAGCAAGTGCAAAGGAGCAGGACACAACAGAGCTACTTGCCATGTTTTCTCTTAGTAAATGGTGGTTTATAGATTGGTAATCAGATTAGATGTCTTCTTAGGCCTAATTTATGGTGATCTTCCTAGGAGATAGTGCAGTAGTTAAGTTTCCATTAAAATGTTTTGTGAGGTGAGGGCAGGACAGAAAGGGAAACCCATTGGAATAGGTTTAGGCTTTTGTCAGATGCGCTTCAAATTGTTTTTTTTTTTGGGTGGGGTAGTAATAGTTGTATGAGTCTGTCTATTCAGTCTTTTTTTCTGTAACCTTTTGGTTCTAAGTTTCCTCTCTTTTCTGTCCTGTAGGTTGATTTCTTCAGGTAATGTTAATGGACAAATTTGGGGTTTTCCCAAATTTGGGTTTACTTTACTGCTACGGTGCAGGATGCTTCTAAACTTGCAATGCTAGAGGTGTCCACTATGTTTGTATGCAATTGCCACTAGGCTGCAAATTTGCAGCAGACAAGTTGAGCTCAATAAGTCATTGTGTCGAGCTGGTTCGTGAGTTTCGGGAGTTTGAACGAAAATTTTGCTTGTTAGCAAACCAGTTGAGTTTTGAACGAGGTTCTCCTGACCCAAACGTCGAACCGTTCTTGAATAGTTCGACGCATTTGTAGCCCTAATTGCCACCCCAGGGGGTAGAAAGGACGACTTCTTGCTAAGTTGAAAGGGGGTTTGCAACTGCCAGTACTAGTGCAGTACACCCTCACCCACCGTTTGAGCAAAACAAAACAAAAAATAGAAAGACGCCTCTGTTCTGTTCTGTTCTTCTAGACCTTGCAGTACGCGAGAAATAAGAAAGGAGGGAATATGAGGAAAGAAATATGAAGTTTGGGTAGTACACAAGAAAGAATAGAGAAAATATCAAGCCGTGGGTAGTACATTACTTATTTTTGTGTACTTCCGTTATGGCCTAAAGTGTCCTCCTGGCCCTGCTTCGGCTGATATTTAAAAGGACAAGGATTGTCATATTCATTCATTCATCCCCAAGTTGCCTAAACAATAACAATATGCCAGGAAAGAAAGAGCATCGTGGAGAAAGAAGGAGGGCAAGCCAGAAGGCAGCGATATCAGGTTCAGGTAAGAAGGTAACTAAGGGAAGATAAAGAGAGAAAAGAATGCTAAAAAAAAGGCTGGGAACAGGCAGAGCATGGATTGAGCTACAACAGCATACACATGTTTTGGCACATCCCATGCACTGCCTCTTCCCTGGCTTTCTCCTTTTTTCTCTCTTGCTTCTTTCATTGAGATTACAAACCAAAAAAAAAAAAACAAACTAGATGATTTGAACTATATGGCAAGAAAGGAACTGCAGGACTTTCGAAGACATGGCGCAACTACTAGTACTACGCAGGTGATAGTTGGCAGAACTGGAAGGCTAATCACATGAGTGATTCACAACCGCAAAGAAAGTAAGACAGAAGAACTGGGGAAGGATGTTTGATAAATCTGCAGCAGTCTCTTCATATCTCCCAAGATAAGGAGGCCGTTGCGATAACCAAACTGCTGCTGCAAATTGCAGCGAAGATGGAGCGGGTGCTGCTGGTAGCGTTCTGGCCATCACACTGCAGAAAGCGCCTGCGAAAGTTCTTTTCGAAGAAAAGCAGGATGTCGAGGCTAGTTGTGAATTCGTGTCGTGACTCGTGATTAAATCCTCAAGAGTGTGTAGCAATCACATGAGTGGCTTGCCAATCAGATTAATGTGATGTAATGTAATCCAGATCAATACAGGCTCTAAACATCAAATCTGTTAGTTGATGAACACAGCTCGTAACAATGAATGTTATCTCCAATTATGGTCACCAGAAAGAAGATAACTATGAGGAAATCGGCATCCTCCTGTGGGGTAATATCCAATTGAAACACCACAATCCCAGAATCTGAAAACTTTCAAATAATGCGCAACTAGAGGTGGCAATTAGGATCCAAATCCATGAATCCAATCCAATCCATCCACCAAATTATCCACTTAATCCAATCCATTTAAATCCAATTCATTTGATCCAAATCCAATTGGATTGGTGGATTCATGGATCAATCCATGGATTGGTGGATTCATGGATCAATCCATGGATCCAAATGGCAAATTACGATTTGGTACCTATATTTTTTATATTTTACATTTTGATACCTACACTTTATATTTTTATACGAAAAAAATCATTGGAAAATTACATTTTGGTACCTAAAATTTTTCATTATGACATTTTAGTACCTAAACTTTTCAAAATTTACATTTTGGTCCAAGCCTTGGATGCCATTTGGATTCATGGATCAATCCACCAATCCATTGGATCCAATCCATGAATCCACCAATCCATTGGATCCAATCCATTTGATCCATGGATCCACCAATCCAATCCACGAATCCACGAATCCGATCCAATTGCCACCTCTATGCGCAACTATTGGGTGCTGTATTGATAACATTTGTTTCTTATTGGCCCAAGGATTAGCCTAGTGCTAAAATACAGAACAAATTCCAACCCAAGGAAGAGAGTGTTCGGTTCGAAGAACCAAGTTGTCGGTTTGGTTCAGTTTGGTTCAAGTTTACAGAACCGGATGCCCATCCCAGGGTGGTGGCAGTGGCCCTGCAAAAATACTATTACTAACCATAGAAGGCAGCTCCACTAATATATCAGCATCTAAGAGCCAGTGAACCTGTTTTAATGATAACTTCGCACTCCACATGATTTTTCAGTCGGCGGAACTGAATGATGCAACGGCATCCATTTCCTGCCGCAAGAGAAGAGCATCTATGAACACATCCAGATCCTCTCCCTGCATAACATCAGTGAGTGCATGGTGGGTGATGCCAACCCTGTGATCTGTCACACGCCCTTGAGGGAAGTTGTATGTCCTTATTCGTTCCGATCTGTCTCCACTGCCTATCTGTGGAAAAAACGAGTTTTAGACAAAAGAGGGGGCACAAGGTCAACCCCTAGAGAGATGAAGATGAGCGAAAAGGCGGGGTTCAAGCGCATACTTGGTCTGATCTAAGTTTTGACCGACTCGAATGAAGTCTTGACCTTTCCATTTCATACAGCTTTGCACAGAGGACCTTCATTGCTTTAGCCCTGTTCTGCGCGAACGCACAAAGAAGGGAATATTAGTAGTTACACACGGCATGAAGTATCCAACTGAACGGCTATTCTGTAGAGTGTGACAACTAGATCAAAATAGATGATGAAAAACATGGTGGATAATGGTGCTGACAAGCAAAGTTCAAGCAGGGTATTAGTGCTGGGAAGTGGGGATGAAATTGAAGACTCGGTGAAATTATATGTATGAAAAGAGGGAAATGTCGGATGGGCACTTCCTCTGACTACTGTTTTCACCAGTTGACACTGCGACCTAGCTGAAATTACTGATTAACATGAATTTACCATATGCTGGGATCGTTCATCTTGTATGGCCACAACGATCCCGGTTGAAAGATGGGTTATTCTGACAGCACTGTTTGTGGTATTTGCATGCTGGCCCCCTGAACCACCAGATCTGTAAGTATCAACTCTCAAATCTTCGTTCTTCAACTGGACATCCACCTGTTGAAGCACACAAATAAAAATCAGAAGATGATCACTTCAGGCGGAACATAACACTAGAGCAAGGTCAATAAGAGGACACGGTAACTTGAAAAAATAGAAACGATTAAATAAAGTGTGTAACTTTTCTTTCCCTGGTCAATATATACTGCAGGATTTTCTATATTCAATACCTCATCAGCTTGTGGAAGGATAGCAACAGACACAGCACTAGTGTGGATGCGCCCAGACTTCTCAGTAACTGGAACTCGCTGCCAAGGTTATGCTGGATAAACATGTCTGCTACAAGAAGTCACTTGTAGATAATAGAAACACAATATTCAAACCTGAACTCGATGAATTCCACTCTCAAATTTCAGCTTCCCAAAAACATCAGCTCCTGAGATTGCTGCACTGGCTTCCTGCAAAGAAAGAAGAGGTGGTTAAAGATTCAATTCACAATTGATATCCTAATTCATAATTCAAAATCGATTCAGAAATCTTCTGGAAAATGAAAAGATTGGATGACAAGTGATAATCTGCCAAAAAAAGGTATGCATTCCAGGTTCGGAAGGGAAAACAGACTATACCTTGTACCCCTTCATATCAGACTCCGCTATATCAACCACTTCGAATTTCCAACCATTCTTCTGCGAGTATCTCTCATACCTGCTTGGAATCTACAAGGTTAACGGGAGAAACAGAAAAAAGGAACTTGAACAACATACTGAACTGTGGCATAGCTGAAAGGGCTCCAAGCACTTACATTCGGAATATATCCATTGCAAATAAAGAAGCCTCCTCGCCTCCAGTTCCTAATGAACACTTGTGTCAAATTCACGAAAACAAAGGAAGCCATATATGGGACCATCCTAGTGAAACGTCCAGAAAGAAATGACCGAAGTTATCTGAACATACGAGGGGAAATGTAGCTATACCTGCTCTCACCTCCAAAATGCAGTCTCTCTCATCAGCATCATCCTTCGGAAGTAACAACTTCAGCAGCAAAGTCTGAAGCCTTCTCTCTTCAGCTAACGCCTGGCTCAATTCCTCATTCGTCATATCAATCATTTCCTTATCCTCCTCACATTCAGACAGCATAGATTTCAAACCACTGATCTCCTACATGGACACCAACAAAAAAATCACATATGGCCACCCATTTCAACAAACTGAAGAACCAGAAGCAAGTTAAATGGTTTCGAATATTAGTGACTAGAGACTAGAAAGGTTTTCACTTTCCGCTTTCTTTTCCCATAAACTGAAACATATGTTGCTCAATCGATAAGAAAGCATACTGTACAAGCAACAAATACGATTGAACTACCTTCTGTTTTGTTCTCAAATCCTGTATGAGATCCATATGATCCCTCAGCTTACGCAGCTCCTTATTAGCTCTTGAAAATTCTGCTGGCGAGGCTTCTGGCTGTCTTCATTCAAACACCAGAATAAGGTTAAAGCAAAAAAATAAACTTGCATCCAAATAGAAGACATTGAGAGGGAAATGGAAGAAACTAGAGTGTACCCGGTTGATGAAGCTCTCAAGGGAAGCACTCCTGTGTTCAATAGATGATAACCTCTGTTCCATGATCCGTACAAGGTCCGGGGACAGCTGAGTTTGGAATTCTGGCATATCGAGAGAAACCCAGTAAGTTACCGGAAAGCAATTCTCAAATTGGAAGCATCTCAGAGCCGGGAAACAGAAGAGCTGTACCGGTGGAGTAAAGGCGATAAATTGACGGGGAAGTAGACTGAAGAAAGGAAGCTGAAATGCGGGCATAAGAGCAAGGAATCACGGGAAAGCACCGCGCTTGTTGCTGAAGCTGCTTCATAGCCCTGGCGGCCGCGTTCATGTTCCATCTCATCGTTCGTTATCCCTTGTATTCTGAAGAGTTCCCTTCCCTGTTCAGTTCCAACTCAATCCAAGGCAAGTTTACTTCGGCGTACTTCTATTTCCTCAACCCATAAAAATGCAACACTGTCGGCGGCGATGATGGGAATGGCGGAAACAGAGGCGGCGATTTTTACGAACAATGAATCTGCTTTATCAGAGGGGCAGAAGGTTTTTCCTCCGCCGGATCTTACACTCCTTCAAAACGCTGCGTTTTCATTAGAGACTGAGACTATACATGACCCTGAGGCCGTGAGGGCAGGTCGGGACGGGTACCTCAATACTCATGTCTCGCTCCATGTTATTGTGGTTTGGGCCAGGTAAAATTCACGCCGGTATAGGATCGGGCGGGTCGACCCATTCTTACGTTATTTTTTAAAAATGCACGCAAATTTTACTTTTTACGATAAAACGAAGGGGAAAACACTTTATGAATGAAAATAGTGACAATAGAATGGGTAATTGAGTCTAATAAGTTGTAAGATTGACTCTAACCAGTTGAAGAAAAGTCAAAGTAGGAGAAATATGTATTGATATTGTAAGAAATTTAGATAAAATGGGCCAAGAACGGGGCGAGCAGGGCAGAGTGGGTCGGGTAATACCCGCCTCATTGCGAGTCAGGTTGGATAATACCTGTGGGGAGGGTTCGAATTGCCATCACTACCTGAAGTCCTGTTCACTTCCCATTCTGTTTTCTGTTACAAAAAAAATGGTTTTCTACAAACCAAGAGACTGGTTTTCTCTTTGTTTTAATGAGGTCGGGTCTTTGAGAACTAATGTAACATCCAGAACTTTTTTTCTAGCAAAATATTTGTTCACTCTGAGCCTCGACACTCACGGTTTTTGACTTACGAGTGGTCTTCAAAGCCATGACAAAGGTCAGATTTGGTGGATTTGCATCACTTCTCGGTGGGCGCTGCTAGACGAAGGCTTTAGCAGCGGAGTTGGGGTTGCAACTCGTTCTTCAATCTCATATCACTTATCCGATCTCGAAACGAAAACCACTGTCTTACCTTCACTCATAAGCTGCTCGTGGCGGAAACAACTCACAAAGAGACATGCACAATTTATAGGAGCATCCACGGATACACGAGAGATGGGTACTGGGTCATGGTAATTTACTACTCAAGAAGGCAAAGTACAACTCATATCATTTCTCATTCCAAAACGAGATGGAACAAGAGGGTGATCTGACTTGATAATCCTTGTATTTTTCTCATTGTCAATTGATCAGTTAAACTTGAATGATATTACCGCCAATTCTAGTTGATAAAGTTCATAAGATCATAAATAATAAAAAATAAAGCTACAATTTTTTAATGAATTTTTTGTTTTTTCAGGGAAAAACTAGAATTTAAACATCAAAAGAGGGGAAATTTATTTGCATAAATGGCAGGATCTAAAACAACAAGCCTCTTCTTCCCCGGAGTATTTCAGTTTCTCCTCCGCCATGTTACTCCGTGCCCAATCTCGCCGCCGTCTATCCGAAACAACGGCCACCGCGCTCTGCGGGTCAGTAATGCGAGCGTCCTCGTTCTCCTCCCTCAACGTCGATGCCGACTTTCTGAAATCTTACACTGTGACGCCGCCGATCAAGCCCTGGCCGCAGCAGCTCTACCCAAAGCGCCTCGTCACCATGATCACCCGGCAGCAGAATCTCGACCTTGCCCTCCAAATCTTCGATTACGCCGGGAAATACCACCCCGGCTTCTCCCATAACTACGACACTTACGAATCCATCATACAGAAGCTCTCGCGGGCACGGGCATTTGAAGAGATGGAAGCTTTGCTCACTCAGCTGCGCAAATCTGACACCAAATGCGGAGAGAATTTGTTTATCAATGTCATTCGGAACTACGGGCTGGCGGGGAAGCCGAAACTGGCCCTCCAGACTTTCATCCGCATCGAGGATTTCAAGGTGCAAAGGTCCGTGAGATCGTTGAACACCTTGCTCAATGCTTTCGTGCAGAACAAAAGGTACGATCTTGTGCACGCAATGTTCAAGGATTGCAAGGTCAAGTTTGGGGTCGTGCCCAATGTTTTCACCGCCAACATTTTGATCAATGCTCTGTGCAAGATGAATGACATGGAAGCTGCACTCAAGGTGTTCGACGAAATGCCTGCGATGCGGATGATCCCAAATGTGGTGTCTTACACGACGATTTTAGGTGGGTATGCGTCGAAAGGAGAGATGGAGAAGGCCAGGAAGGTTTTGGCCGATCTTTTGCACAGAGGCTGGCTGCCGGATGCGACTACCTATACCATATTGATGGATGGGTATTGTAGGCAAGGCAGGCTGGATGATGCTATTAAAGTTATGGATGACATGGAAGTCGAGCCCAATGAGGTTACTTACGGAGTCATGATCGAGGCTTTTTGTCGAGATAAACGTGCTGGAGAAGCCTTCAACCTGCTCGACGATATGCTCCAGAAGAATTTCGTACCGAGCTCTGCCCTTTGCTGTAAGGTTATTGATGTGCTGTGTGAAGAAAGCAAGGTAGATGATGCTTGTGGGCTGTGGAAGCGGATGCTGAAGAAGAATTGCATGCCGGACAATGCAATATTAAGTACCCTTATACATTGGCTGTGTAAGTTGGGGAAAGTTTGGGACGCAAGGAAGTTGTTCGGCGAGTTTGAGAAGGGTTCGAATCCAAGTCTCTTAACCTACAACACGCTCATTGCAGGGATGTGTGGGAGTGGCGAGCTGAACGAAGCAGGGAAGTTGTGGGATGACATGTTGGAGAAGGGTCACAAGCCTAATGCTTTCACTCATAACATGTTGATTAGTGGCTTCTGTAAAGCTGGGAATGTGAAGGAAGGGATCAAGATTCTTCAGGAAATGTTGGACAACGGATGCCAGCCCGACAGTTCTACTTACACAGTATTGATTGAGAAGTTGAGGGAGGTGGGAATGGAAGGAGTAGTCTATAATGTAGTTTCAATGGCTATAAAGCGTGGAGGCGGCGTTGATGGTGATTCTTGGGAGCTCTTCGTGAAGAACTGTCCCCCCCTGTAGAAAGCAGGTAGAGTGCTCATGAGAACAGTTAGTAATGACGGACCGAGTCTCGATTCAAAGCCTGATTGTTTTGACGGACCAGCAGATTCGTACTTTTTGTTCATTCCCAAACATTGAGACTGCTTGTATAGAGACTAATAGCTTAAGGTTGTCAAAAAGGAGCCGAAGTTAGCAGGAGGCTTTGCTTGTAGTTTGTTTCAGCATTCATTTATATTTATTAGTCAAAAAGTCTCAGCTGTCGACTCTCGTTCACAGATTCTCCTAGAGGCGTTTCCTTGAGAATGTGCCCCAAGTGTAACTACTTCTTCAGTTCCTTTCTTTTCTGTCTGCCTTATTCTTTTTCTGTTCTGGTCATTGAGCGATGGCTACGAGCAAGGAAAGTTTGTTCCTTAGATTGGCAACTTCAGAATACTTACATTATCTGAACAAGAATAATGCAAGTAAATGGTGTAAAGAGTAATAAAATAATGTATGGAAAGAGTAATAAAATAATAGCTGAGTTATTAGAAGCTTAGTTCTTTTTAGAATGATGTAAAGAGTAATAAAATAATTAAAGATTTTTTAGAATTACAATATTTTTATATTTTTAATATGCTACAACACGTTGCATATGACATGATATACTCAATTTTGTTTTTTCTTATGAACATTGAGTTGTTGTTAGTGACATGTGTTTAATCTGATTAGAATTATCAATAAATAGAAAGTTGGTGCACTGCAATATTAAAAAAATATGAATTCATGTACTGATATAACTAAAAATGACATTTATGTACCGAGATGGGGTAATAAAAAATTCAATGGTGATCTAGTGGATCTTGTGTGGTATGAACGAAGGATGATAACTGATAAACCAATTATGATCTTAACATGTCCCGTCGGTCGTGACCGAAAAAACAACAATGGTTGTCGGTCAGAGCTCCGGACATGCTCGATAATATTAATTAATTTTATAAATCGAATCCAAGCGAACAAATTTACGTCAAAGCCATTAGGAGGAACAGAAACAAGTTCGAGAGCGATGAAGGGAGATGAAGCCAAGATATTGCTAGGCTTCCCTCCCAATTCCACTCCAACCAGCTCCCAGGTAATAAGGAGAAGCAAAAACAACGCCTTTTCCCCCACATCTCTTCGCTTTGATAAATCAATTTCATTCCTCCCTTCTGTTCTTCAAATAGGGTTCAGCCCCTTGCTTTTTAATTCTTGCCCAGCTGGTTTTAAGTTGGTGATGAACCGATTTACGAGCTCAAGTTTGCATCTTTTTGTATCTTGCATTTCGTTGAATTCTTAGGTTAAAGCTGCTTACAAGAAGAAGGTTTGGGAATCACATCCTGATCTTTTCCCTGTTCACGAGAAGGGTCATGCCGAGTCCCAGTTCAAGCTTGTAATGTCTTTGCTTACTTGCTTCTTCTACATTTGTTGACACCTGACACCCATTTTCCACTTCTTATCCACTCTGGCCTTGTATGCGATTCTTCGTACTTCATATGGGTTGCTAAACTTATGGGTGCCTTCAGGCTTCAGCCTTGGATGTTGTGGAAGGGTAACTGTTTTGGAAAATGCTTCTGTGTCTGCAACTTTCCTGCCCATTATTGGTCCCTCTCGTTCTGATGCGATGTTTTTCTTACTCTTGATTCTTCTGGTTATGGTGTTCAACCGAATTGCTCCTCTGTTCCGGTGTCTAAGAACACACTGTGCGGCTACTCTAGCTCTTGACTCTTGAGTGCATCATAATCAGCACCTTCTTGTTTATACTTTAACGTGGTCGTCTCGTCATCAATTATAAGCTAGGAGATTTGGCATAACACGTTTTGATTCTTACATGTATTGTTACAGGTTTCAGAGGCTTATTCTCACCTCTTGTCAGGTAAATTTTTTCGGTTTCTTTGTTGTTTGTTTTACCTAGTTATGCTCCTCGTCATGGTTTGCAAATTCTCGAATGGACCACAACTTGTCGCGGATAAATCTGCAGTGTCGATGTATGATCTCCAAGTCGGAACAATGTTGAGGAACAAAATGGGCTTATAGCCAACCTCCTGTCTTCTTGTTCTGCTACTCTCTTCTTGTACCTTTGATCTTGTAGTAAATTTTTCGCCGTGTAAGCCATTTTTGAGGGGGGAAAATTCAGATTTCCTGTGATCCTTTCCAATGCTTGGCTACTGATTTCTAGCTGATCTCTCACCATAGTTTTAGTTACTAGTTCAGCATTTGTTATTTGGTTCATCTAGTGCACATATGAGTAGAAAATAAAGTTAATCAGGCATTTACTTTCCCTAAACACATAAGGCTCTCAATTTGGTTGTTACATGTTAACTAACAAGTGTCTCGTTCATACAATGAGTATGGTCTCGTATTGATTCGGTTCCAAAATCCTTTCTCCACTTTACGAGATTCCATGAGGGGAATAGTCTTTATGGAGATGCCATCGACAGATGTAACGGGGAAGATAAACAGGATATGTCTATTGTTAAGAGTTATTGATCATGAAGGTGGTCTTCAATCGGTAGATGAGTTTTGTGCTCTTTTTTTCTCCCCTATCCCTCTTCTGTTAACTTATGAAGACACTAACAGAGATGAACAGCATCCTCTGCAATAATCCCTTAGGTAATCAAAGCTGCGTTGGACTTTCCTATTAGATGTCCTGGGTGGGGTGGTCCATGCCTCAGTATTTGCCATCAGCATGCTTGTATGTTGACTGGTTGTCTTGTGATTTCCATGCCTTTGGTCCATTTTGTTCTGTATTTTGCTTCATTTGTTCATTCATGTGGAGAAGTCTGTAAATCATGCATTGATCTGCAGTTTATCTTGCTCTGGATATGTGTTTCCATGGTACTCACGTTTGCAGACCATGCCGCACAAAGCTTGTACCTTCATAGAAGATTCTATGATTATATATGACTAAGTAATAAATGAATGCTCCCTTGTTAAAACTCGGTTTTCATGGGTGGCACAGGTGGAAGCGTACGAGACTTCTCGTCAGGTTCAGGTAAATAAATCTACAGTCTACACCTTCGAGCATATAATTCTCCCCCGAATCACACAAAATTTATTCCAGAGTTTGCTGGTCGTTTGACTTGTGTATTTTAATCATCTTGATACAGCCACCACATGGTCTCGAGTAGTAGTTAGAGCCGGAGTACCAAAGGGAGCAAGAGGAAAGAACGAACTCCGAAGGCTTTGGATTCCATTTATGTTCCTTGTCGGGGGAACTATCGGACTAGCTGGTTTTATAGGCGCCAGGTGACTGATCTGCCTCTGCGTGGAAGTTTTTACTTGATAATGCATTGTTATCCAACCTTCTTTCCTGTGATTATTATCGGGTTAAAGACACATTTGGTCACTGAGATTACAAAATCGGGACATGTTTAGTCACTAGAAAAAGTTAATATCAAATTTGGTCACTACAATTACTAAAACTGGACACATTTAGTCACTCGCCGTTAGTCTCCGTCCAACTCCGTTAATGAAGTCCGTTAAGTGCTGATGTGGCAAACAGAATTGCCTAATCAGCCGGATATAACCCCACAAAAATAAAACCCGACCCGCCACGTCATTAAAACCAACCCAACCCATGACCCAACCCCACCCCACCCAACTCTTCTTCCTCCTTCCTCCCACCTCCTTCTTTCCCCAAAACCATCGCCGCCGCCGCTCTCCTCCTTCCCCCATCTCCTCCCGCAAACCTGTTCGACCTAACAAGTATCGATTGCTAACTCAAACAACACTCTTTTCTCACTTTTTTTTGTCCATCGTTGTCAGGTTGAAGCCAGGGGCCCAAGGAGTTGTGAAGACGTCTATTTGTTGTGCCTGCAAGTAAAAAGATGGATCTAGACAAACTTTTGAGGCAACAACGTCTTTCTATTTCACTTCACCTTGTAAAAAATGTGCAGTCTCTTGTTTTGCAGCATGAAGCTGGCCATTTCCTAGTCGGCTACCTAATCGGAGTTCTACCACAGAATTACCAAGTCCCAAGCGTGGAAGATCTGAGCAAGGATGAGGTCTTGGTCAAATCGAAAATCGAGTTCCCAGGGCTCGGCTTCTTGACAGGAGTAAATTAACCCCTAAACCGCCACTTTCCCTTCACTCCTCCCCTGCAAAGCAAATCTCACCAGTAAATAATACCATTGCTAGGTTGGTCCTGAAATCCTCCGAAGAAACCATTGCTAGGTTTTGGGGAAAGAAGGAGGTGGGAGGAAGGAGGAAGAAGGGTTGGGTGGGGTTGGGTCATGGGTTGGGTTGGGTTGGTTTTAATGACGTGGCGGGTCGGATTTTATTTTTGTTGGGTTATATCCGGCTGATTAGGCAATTCTGTTTGCCATATCAGCACTTAACGGACTTTATTAACGGAGTCAGACGGAGACTAACGGCGAGTGACTAAATGTGTCCAATTTTAGTAATTGTAGTGACCAAATTTGATATTAACTTTTTCTAGTGACTAAACATGTCCCGATTTTGTAATCTCAGTGACCAAATGTGTCTTTAACCCGATTATTATCCCTTTGCTTTGTTTAGGGCTTACAGAAAGCAGAAAGAGGCATATCCTTCACACAACCCATTCCTTCCTTGATATCAAGAGTTTTCCTGTTCAAAAAAGAGTTCAAATTTAGTTTGGTAATAATGTATAGGCTGGTTGGTATATATAACATAATTTAATAGGTGCAGTCGTCTGTTATTGTGCGATTTAACTGCTACTAGCAGTTGCAAAATGAATCGTGGAGAACTGTAGCTGGGTTCATATCTATGTTCGATAGAGTTTATCATATAGGTTACTTGACCAGAATGGATGCGCGGGTCAGTACAGGAAAGGGTGGACAACAGTATGGGAGGCTTGTACAAGTGAAAATGGTTGCAACTTTTTCTTATTTGTTACTTTCAGTTTCTTGTTAATAAATTCAACTATTCTGCAATTGATTTCCCTTCATATCAAGTTGACATTTTTTGGTAAACATAGACAAATATCATCTCTTTGATTTGGTATATGAGTGGGTGTAAATTTTAAGAGTTGAAAATTTACCGTAATGACAATTTTATTTGATACTATCTTGTGAAAAAGAATAATGGTCTGGATTGACGACAAGTTTGGGTGGGCCAGTGTCCTATATATCAACCTCGAACCACCGTTTATAAGATCATAATCATCTCCGTAACCAAAACTAGACAAGGATGTATCGAAAACCACCCGTATGTATTTCGGGAAAACTCCATTGCATCATCCTCATACAATCATATACAAAGTTCTTGATTTACTTTTTAAGTTTTTCTTATCAATTGAAGTTTGTTTGACATTTGTTAAACTGAGAGAAAACGATAAAGATTTGACGTTTAACATATAATTTTAATGATTGAAGGTTATGGATAGCCGAAATGTTGAAATGTATAAGCATATAACATAATTATAACCCATACTTGAATCGACTAGGTGCAGATACTTAAAATGCAAAGTCACAACAAAGAAATTCATTACCTTTGTCATCGAGTTCAGGGGAAACCCACCTAAAATAATATCGATTGGACTTTTCAAGATAAAATCAATTCAAATTCGATTGAATACTCACATTGATTGATTATTGTACCATTCCTACATAGATCTAACCCCACTCAAAACCAATCAAAACAGATAAGTGAAATATGTAACCTACCAAGACCATAAGAATGTTTATCTCTCCACAACTATCATATACATGAGTATTCAATAAGAAAGACAGCAAAAGCATATGCTCACTTCTCATCACCAGATATGAGAATGGGTAGGGACTCTACCCATACCAATAGTAGAAACAGAATCCTTCAACCCTAGATAACAAGACATTACACGTGAAAATGAAATAGTTCAAATAAAGAGAGACCACCCCAAAATGCTAGCAGAATCACCGGAACAGGAAAGAACAATTACAGCCTGTTCAGACACTTTCATGTTTCAGTTAAAAGAGTCATCCCAACCGACTATGTAAAGCTGCTCAAACCCAGCTTCTGAATTCTAATCCCCAACGCAAAAACAAAATAATCGAAACGCATATGCTGTACTGCATATACCACATTCATAGCCCGTTCTTCGATGCTTCATGACCTTGATAAGCCAACAAGTTTGATCTTCTCCTGATGACTACCTTGTTATCTGTATCTAGCAAGCAAGACTTGTCCAGAGCAGATATCAACTTGTAAATTCGAATACGATGAATCTTTCATTCCACCTCCTTCACACCTGGTTACTTCTCAAGTGAAAGCAAGTAAAACATACTAAAGTAGCTCTGCCTTTAATTGACTGATTCACAGCCTACCAGACCACTAGTATTACTAATACTCTCTCCCTCGAATCGTTACCTTCGTTTTCCTTTTACTTCAATAGTGTCCGTCAATGATTATATTGTGGCGCCTCCTTGGCACTTTTTCTCTCGGATCTTAAACTCTTCGCAGGATATAATACTGACAGGTTGCCATCCTGATTCATGAGGACCAATCCATTTCTTCATATCAATCATCATCTCTATGATACATAAAACCTCGCCTAACACAAGATCTTCCAAGCATGCGCGTTTCAGAATCAAAGCAGCTTCATATCTGCATGTGTCGTAACAAGAAATTATAGAGTTTGAGATGTATCTCTCACGCGATAAAAATAAAATGAGGAAGAATGTGATAGAGGAGCATAAGGAAGATGGGAATTGGTGATGGATACCTGCATTCAGAAGCCAACAATGCTGATCTCCCGTTCTCAGAAGTTATAAACTTCTTTATCTTATCCCACGTTCCTGCTGGGTACTTTTCAGGATCGGGACATTTAGGATTCACACACATCCACAGATTCCCATTCTTAGGGATAAACACCTGGAAGGAACCTGTTGTTTGCTTTACTACCTTCTTATACTTGATTGCATAGTCAAGAGCCACCTCCACATCAACATTCTGATGTTCTTTATTCTCCCCAAAACGGATGCAGTAACTAACGTTTGCTTTGCTTGGAGTTACTTTTTCGTGCTTCAGGATATCTAGAGCACGGAGGATAGCCGTAATAAGGCCATTAAAATAATCTGAAGGAGCCAACTGTTGTTGAGTTTCTTGAGTCGCATCATTGGAAGACACACTAGTACTAGTGGAGAGGGTACATAAGTTTTGCGGAGGTGAAGGACCACGAGGGCGCCAATATTTGGCCTGGCCACCATGCTCATGCATGACATGGTTTGGAGGTGGTGCATTAAACGAAGAAACATGCAAAGACTGAAAAGAGCCTGCATTGTACTCTAGTGGAGGTTCACGACTGAAATTAGAAGAATTTGGAGCATAATTTGGGGTTTGAGACATACTTAGCTTCCCAATGTCAGGCGCATTGGGAAAGGAAGGTGCTGAATGTCTAAATTCAGGTCTGGGTGGAACAGGAGGTGCTGAATATCTAAAATCAGGTCTGGGTGGAACAGAGGGTGATGGATATCTAAAATCGGGTCTGGGTAGGATCGGACGATACCCATGATTATGATGAGTAGTAGGCATATGATCTGATGCAAAAGTAGGTTGGTGTTGCTGGGGTGAGATATTAGGCCTCAAAGGATAGTTTTGGTCAGTTGGGTTATGCTGATTCAGGTTGATGTACATGTCGTTACTACTAGGATTTCCCATGGTAGCATAAGATGTATTTGTAAAGGCATTACCAGAATAACTATTCCCGGGCTCTCCGCCTCCAAAGAACTCGTGCGGAGCCTTCTTAAACTGCTTTGCTTGCATATTTCCCTGGCCTCCAACTTGGTTAGCTGCTGCGTTCCCGTTACTACGAAAGTGCTTCCCGTTCAATCCGGGATCAAAAGCATTGCCACTGCTATTACCATAGGAACTATGATTCCCAAATCCAGCAGTAGTAGCTGTAGAAGTGACAGGCTGCACAGGGCCTTTAGGTCTCACAGGCTCACCCGAATGCCTACCGCTCTGTGGCATTCCAGTGGTGGAACTAGTCTGGTTGTCATTATCACCGCCGGAGGTTTGAGAAGATACAGTTGTAGGCATTGGAGCACCGCCTGTGCAAAGGCTAGACCAGAGCCAAACCGCGGTGGCAGCGGCAACAAGGGGAACTGAAGCCTTCTGCGGCTTCGCTAACAGGATGTTGTATCTCCGAAACCGAAGCTGATGAAGGGCATTGGAAAAATCGCGATCTCCAGATATAAGCAAGTAATTCGCCGGCGCAGGGTTGTCAACCGCCCAGAATAGCATGTCAACCAGGATTCTCTTATCACTAGCATCTTTCACACCTGTTTTTTTTTCCCCCCCACAGTTCATAGCCACCGAACCATTCAAAGCAGAGGCAATTCTCTACATTTAGTCACTCAAGATTCAAGAACGCTGCTTTTCACAAAAACCCTAACTACAATCTCGCCAGTGGAAGGAGGAAAAAAAAAACAGTATTGAAAAGGAAAACGAACCGGCGGGGACGTGATTGAGGGTGACGCCGGTGCTTGAGAGAGCCTGCTGAACGAGAGGCGGAATTCGGTTGGTGTCGCCGTAGGCGCAGATGGAGACGGGGCCGCAGTAGTTGAGGCGGGCGAGGGCGGAGCTGATGTTCTGTGCAATCGCGTGGGCGTCGCAGTTCTTGGGGACCTGGCAGTTCTCGATGTCCCACCAGACGGAAGTCTTCGCCGAGACGTACTGTGGCTCCGCCCTGAATCCACCGGCGGCGGGTGCGGGCGTCACGCCGCCGGCAACACCCCCGACCATTACGATTCGAAGTTGGGAGGGGTGGCTTCAAGAAAGGATCAACGGGAGTCCTAGTGAGCAGAGACGACTGACTATGTACGGCCGCCTTTTCCCCCCTTTCTTCTTTAATCTTTTTCTTAGGGTGAAAATGAAATACTGCTTTGAACTTTTTTTACTTCATCTTCTTATTATTGCGTATTTGCGTCGTGTAGTCGTGTTTTTTCTTCGCTTCTTCCGCGCTTCCTTTTCTGCACGATTTCGCCGAGAAAGTGTGGCTGATTTCACGGTGCTAACTTTAATTGGACCGAAATCATCTCCGCCACCCCGCCACGAAGCCAATCCACGACATGGTAGGGGAAAATTCAACATGTTATTGGAATTTTTCCCAAAATAAATAACTTACTATAAGAAAAAAATCCACCATACCATACTTACAAAAATAGTCTCGAAAATACTAGATTTCGGCGTGGTTCGCTCGTGTGTCGAGCGGACTATACACTGGTTCGCTCGAGACTGTTGCGTAGAGATGACAATTTACCCACCTATGGGTACTTTTGTCCAAATCCAAGTAAACTCATTAATTATGAGTAGGGGATGGGTGAGGTACATATGGATTTGGGGTGGGTTTGAGATGGGTATGTAACTATGGATATTACTTTCCATACTCTAAATGGGCATGTATTGGGTTTGGATACCTATGTACTTGAGGTTCTAACAACACATACAAAAAATGGATCTATTTGTAAAATTTAAAAAAGGTTAGGTACCTAAATCTAATACACAAAAAATTTAGGTACTAAAATGTAATTTTCTATCGATATTTTGAAGACTTATGTGCAGAAAAAGTAAATTTAGGTACTAAATCTAAATTCATTTTAGATTTAGGTGCCAAACTGTAATTTGTAAATGGGTATGTGTACAAATCCATGAACTAAAAACCCAACTAAACCCAAATAAATGTGTATGAGTATAAATTCAAAACTCTACTCATTTACCATCTATTTGGATTATTACAATGACATATCCACGAACGTATTTTAACACTATAAGTGACAAAAGGAGGATTACAAATAAAAATGATACAATGATTCCAATATAAAAAATCATAATTATATGTAGTACCCGTAGCATGTTATAAATATATACTTGGTATATCAAGACAATGATACTAAAAAGTAAAATTAATCACCCAGTTGGTGATGATAATGCTATAAATGAATGTCATTATATCATTATGTTAATTAATATTATATTACTCCATAAATAAAATATTATTTTAACAAATTTATTAGTTTCTTAGTGTCTTTTATTTTTTCTTATAGATATTTTTATTTTGTAAGAATTAATACTCTTGTCATATGAGAAAATGTTTACTAATAACACACCAAATTGTAATGTCTCAAAAGATAAAAGATGTAGAACGAAAAAAAGCTATGTATGTAAAAGCTCCGGAAGGGCTACTATTTTGAGACATGAAAGAATTTCTATGTCAGTAGATGATACATTACCGAATTATGAAACAATGAATAATTAATATCGCATCAGAAATGTGTTCAGAGGAACATATACTTAACTGAAGAAATTTGTACTACACATATTATTACAATTAGTACATACGAAAGTGTAAATAAGAAGTTTACAAGATTTTATAACTTTGCATTTTGGCATGTCCGTTACGATCATCCTAGATAAATATGCAGAAAAAATTATTGAGATTTCATATGAAAGTCAAGTGAAAGTTTAGAGAATTCATCAACAAGGATATATTATGTGATCCATGCTATCGATGATAATATACTCCCTTGTGAAAGTAATTGAATCTATTGTTGTTTGCTGAAAGTGCAGGGAGAAAAATACACTCATCATGCAAATCATATAGAAAATTTTATGATTTTGATCGATGCCTCAACTATATGATCATGCACGTTCTTGTTATCTAACCACAACTCGGTGTTTATGAGATTAGTTATTGAATGATGGATATATTTTTAATGATTATCCAACCAAACATAAGTTTGCTATGACAACAAGCTAAGCTTACCGATCTCTTGTCGAGGCATGCTATTTAGCATGCGGTAGCATTAATTCACATGAAGCCAACAAGTTATCATAAGTTCCCCTTCATAGTTCATACAAATGATTTTGGTTGGGACCAAACATTTCAAATGCGAGAAAATTTGGATGTGCAGAATACATCTCAATTGATCCACCAACTTATATTGGACATGAGTGTCCATTGCAATGAGAGATTTGTTCATGCCTCTTGCTATTTATCATCATTTTGATGAATCATCTTTTCGAACATTAAGGGGGAGAAAAGTAAACAATTTGATATATATGTGAGTTGGATGATCATCAAACTAAGAAAGATGAACCCGCATTTCATATGATGAATCATTGATAAAAAAACAAATTAATTGTCAAACATCTTTTACTCATCAAAGGAGTGACCATGTCACATGTCCAATTGTGAATGTTCCAATACAAATTGAAGTCCACATCTAATATGGAAAATAAGTCTAAATAAACACATGAAGCGTTGTAAACTAAGGGGTCGTTTGGAAGTTGTGTTTGTTAAATTATTGTACTGTAAAGATATAGTGCACCTCTCCTTTGTAGCTGCTATCATTGTTTTGATGGTGGCAGTTCTTGCTTTTGCAGCCTCTTGCCTACTATTTTGGCTTTTGGCTCTCTCTGTACTTGTTCTGCTGATTTATTTCTTCATTAATTAATGAATTACACCATTACCAAAAAAAAATTATTGTATTGTTATGAATCACCGTGATATAAATGCATGCATTGATATAATAGATGCATTTTGAAATTACATTGTTTGGTTGTTGAGATTAAAATTTATGAATTGATTGTTATAAAGTTACTTTATAAGAAAATATCATATTTGTCATCCACTTTTAATATAAAACAAAAAGAACTATGTACATAATTGGAAAAAGCAAACGTTGTATTGTGGACAATGCATGTATTTAACAAATACAACACTAACAATCGCAACTTCCAAACGGCCCCTAAATGAATGAAAGGTTACTAAGAGATGGCTTGGGTGTGCAAAGATTGGATAGGCCGGTTTTAGATGGCGACGATGAAATTGCAGAAGCAAAAGCCATTCACCTGACCACACATGTCTTTATTTTAACACAAACTGTAATTGAATCGCAACGAACCCGTTTCCAATTAATTGAAAATCAAAGGCATTTTACTAGAAACAAATGTAAGAATGTTGTTCAACTTCAACTATAGAGCATCCTCTCAGCCGTGTTGAAAAGTCGAGATTCACGCAAAATTATTAGCTTTGGCGTATCTGTTGTTAAAGAAAGAGATAATTTACTGCTCGCAAGTCGCAATGGTATCTTAATCAAAGATGTGGAAAAAGCCGGAAGAGAAGGCTGGCAAGAGAAGAGAAGACTGCTGCGGCTGGCAGGGAGGAATGATACTTTAGCGAAATCATTCGTGTTAAAGTCAAAAACAAAACCTCCTCCAACCACTCCTCCTCCTCCTCCTCGACTCCTCTCTCTCCCGTCTCCATTCCTTCGCTCATCGCGACTTGTCATCCTCCGCCGGCACCTTCCCCCTCCTCCTCTTCGCCCTTTGAATCGGGGCGCAGCGTCTCGCCGTCAACGCCAGCGCCGCCGCCGCTTCACCATTTCGAGTTTCCATTTCGCTCCGGTAGCAATCTGATCTGCCTCTCCTCTTGTTCTGTTTAATTCATTAGGTGATCCTTTGTTCTCTTCTTCGCCGGCAGTAGATTGTGTTTCCTCTTGAATTTTGGGCTTTGTTTGTTTTTGTATTCTTCTTCGCCGGCAGTAGATTGGTTAGTGTTTGGTTCGATCTGCCTATCAATTGGCCATCTGGATTCACTCTTTTTGCCTCTGATTTACTCTTGCCTTCACAAGTCTGCTACTTCTAGTGATTTTTGCACGGTTCTCTCTGTCTCTGGTGTTCTTATTCGGAGTCTTTGCTTATTCAATACTGTAGGAACTTGCTTGATTTTTTTCTCTTGTTAGGAATGTTTCTAAATTTGGTTTCGGCTATCCATATATAGTTAGTTCTCATTAGCCAATTGGTGGATTCTTTCTGAGTAGGGTCCTTCTTTAGTTTGGTAAAAAGTAAAGGAATGGATTCCATGTAATGGGGAATGACAAGTAAGTAAGATCGAATTTGGTTCCTCTCCGTGAAGGACTTGGTGTTTGTACCTAGGTTCCATTCATGTTGCTGTAATAGTCGGATCTATGGTTCGTGAGTTCTGGTTTTTCAATTGGTTGAGCTGAGGTTTAATCATTGCTCAAGATGGGAGGGACATAAGGGCAACAGAAACTGTCTTGCATTGACAAATTCCATGCCTCAACTTGAAAGCCTGGGAGATTCTATTGGGCGTAAATTTTGCGCTTATTCAATCTGGCAATTGATCCAGTCTTTTATGTATCGATGTGCTTATGCATGTAGAAGTACGGCCTGCTTGATCGTATTTGTTACATTCTCTATAGCTAGCCATTCCCTTGATAATTTTTGTATTAGAAGCTTAAGTTTTCTGCTTCTCCTTTTTCTTTTTATACATTTTAACTGAAAGTTTTCTGTTGTGTATTTGTGGACCAAGTCCAAACACAGGTTTATCAAACGCTTGAATCATGAGCTGCTTCAGCTGTTGCGAAGATGATGAGATCCATAAAGCTGCTGACCATGGAGGTCATTATCCCTTAAAGAGTTCCGGAGGTATTATCCCTGTCCCTGAATTGTCTGTGGCCTGTTTCCCAAACAATCTTTGTCTACCACTTTTTCACTCGTTTTGAATGATGCTCAACTGAGCGCTAATATTGAATCTATGTAGGTCTGTAGTCTGGTACATTGTGGTTTAGCACAGAATTATACTATATTAACATTCAATGAAACAACAAATCTACAATGTCTCTTCCTCTTCATTGCATTTCAGTGCACTGAAGGACAAGTATAAAAATTCTGATTATTTCGGATACTACTTGTATTGCATCTGGAAGTGATGAAATCATGTTAGGAAAGGTTGTAATACTAGTTGACTAAGAGTATCTTTCTAGAGTTGATCATTGATTTTCCATTGATGATCATCCGTTTACTCATACAAGGGTTAGGCAGATATTTGTTTTGTGGATACCGCCTTAGAGAAACTGTCCAGCCGGTGTAAGGTAGGATAACTAGACATGGGTTCCTCTACAACAACAGCAATCTAACTAAGCCTTCTACGACTCAGTGGACCATCATCTCTAGGATCAATAACAGGCCTCTGTACCCTTAGCTGAACTAATATTCCAATTGTGCCTGATATGATTCTTAATGGGAAGCCTATCTTGGTCATATGGTTTTGTTTTAACAATTATTGTATCATTATGTTATGGAAACTCACCAAGCAGGAAGTATAGGAGGCCATCATCCCTCAGAATCAGCGCCTAAGGGTGCTCAGGTTATCAAGATCCAGCCCATTGAAGTCCCTGCATTAGCTTTGGACGAGTTGAAGGAAGTTTCAGAGAACTTTGGTACTAATTGTTTGATTGGAGAAGGATCCTATGGAAGAGTGTATTATGGCATTCTCAAGAACGGGCAAGCTGCAGCAATTAAAAAATTAGATGCCAGCAAACAGCCTGATGATGAATTCCTAGCTCAGGTTTACTGCAGTCCTGAGATCATTATTATCTATCATTTACTGCATCTTACAGTTACATCTCTAATGTTTTTGTTTACATTTCCCAGGTCTCTATGGTCTCAAGACTTAAACATGATAACTTCGTCCAATTGCTTGGGTATTGTGTTGAAGGAGGGTCCCGCATTCTTGCTTATGAATTTGCATCGAATGGATCACTGCATGATATTCTTCATGGTAATTCCTTGTCTTCTCTTTCTTGATCCCTTGCTTTGACAAGTTGCATTTCCTTAAAGATGGGACCTTACACCGGTGCATAATTGAACAAGCTACCATCATATTCTGGCCTTCCATTCACGCAGTTATGTGAAAGTAAACCAGCATTTCTGATGGAGAATATTGTGAATAATTAAGCCCTTACCAAAGACCTATAAAAAACTTCATTTTTATTATATGATGGCATTGCCATAATCTTACTGCTTTCGAAATCATGAGATGTCGTTTCATGAATCAAAACTTTGCCCATGGTGCAACTAGATTGAGATTTTGCTTTTGTTGTTTGGTGATATACCCATACCTTGTGACGGCTCTTGTCTGGAATACCTGTGATCACTTTTTTCGCTACAATTGTTGTTGGGTTGTGGATGCAGGAAGGAAAGGTGTTAAAGGTGCTCAGCCAGGTCCTGTCCTAACATGGGCGCAGCGTGTTAAAATTGCTGTTGGGGCTGCAAAGGGCCTTGAATATTTGCATGAGAAGGCCAATCCCCATATCATCCACCGCGACATTAAATCCAGTAATGTTCTGATTTTCGACGATGAAGTTGCAAAGATTGCTGATTTTGATCTGTCGAATCAAGCTCCTGACATGGCAGCACGGCTTCACTCTACTCGTGTACTGGGCACATTTGGATATCATGCTCCCGAGTAAGTTTTCCGGTTCTGCTGATAAATCATTCTCCAATTGAAATTGCTTGCAGTATTGGAAGTAACACTTTGTTATTGGTTTCTTCTTTCTTTCTTTCTTTCTTTCTTTCTTTCTTTCCAGATATGCCATGACTGGGCAGTTGAATACCAAGAGCGATGTGTATAGTTTCGGGGTGGTGCTTCTCGAGCTTCTGACCGGTCGCAAACCCGTTGACCACACGCTGCCACGTGGACAGCAAAGTCTGGTCACATGGGTATTACTTGCTTTTTGTTCCCTTCCCTGTTCACATGCAAATTGCAATACATTATTAAGAAGCTTTTCTAACTACTTTTTGATTCCCACGACTAATCTCTTCTGTTTTTATTTTAATTGCCATAGGCTACACCTAAACTCAGCGAGGACAAGGTTAGACAATGTGTTGATACCAGACTGGGAGGAGAATTCCCACCCAAGGCGGTTGCAAAGGTAAATCACGAAACCGAACATTTCTTCTCTTTTGGTTGTATATAAAAGAATATAGATTCTCTTTAGTGTCCATTATTGAAGAACCATTCCATATGCTATATGCCCCAACTACCCCTTTGGACCCTTATTATCATACTGCTAAATTGTCGTCAGTATACATGGAATTTGCATTAGGTATAGTGACACCATTGACATTTTTTCTAGTAAACTAAATCGAAAACCCTTTTCTTGCGTGAATATTTTCAATGATTGTGAAACCGTATTGGAAGTTATACCAGAAAAAGTTAGTGGTAATGGTATTTTGTATTAAAACCGTGGTTCAACTGTTTCGTACCGTTAAAACCGTCCACCCTATTTGGAGTTCAGTATCCGGTATTTCCTGTTCGGATAGGGTTTCTAAAACATTGTGGTACTTTATGCAGATGGCTGCAGTGGCTGCCTTGTGCGTGCAATACGAAGCTGATTTCAGACCGAACATGAGCATCGTCGTGAAAGCGCTGCAGCCTCTGCTAAACGCTCGGGCAGGACCTGCAGGTGAAACTCCAGCCGTCTGATTCTATCACTATACTCTCTCTCTCTCTCTCTCTCTCTGTCTCCTTCGTTGGCATGTGCATGTACTGGAAGTGGGCACATTGGTCACAGTCAAATTTGATTTCTTTCTTTGTTTTTATTCTCGGGGGAGAAGGAACCTTCCCTGCCCTACACGCTGCTTCTCTCCATTTTTGTTACGCAATTTGTTCTTGTGTTCATAATTCGAGTGGGTGTTCTGTGTCATATTGTTAACTCTCTAATATATAAATATACATATATATTCAGATATTTTAATTACTGTGTTGTGCATGTACATCAGTGCATGCCATGTTCTATTACTCTGTGACTGTAGTATTCTTGTTATCTCACTGCTTGGATTGGCCTTGGTACTCTAGATGAACAAGTGAAGAGGCTAACCTTTCAAGATTCAACGAGTAAATTATAAAAAGAGTGAGGGAAGCAATGGGTTGGATTGGGTTGGGTCGGGTTGTTCTAAACCTAACAGAACATGGGTTTATGGACAGGTTCTCAACTAAATGGATATCCACCTGTGCTACTATGCTTGTGGGTATTTATGGGTTCACTACTATGCATGTGGGTATTTATGAGTTCACGTCTTTCCAAACATAATCATACATATTTTTTCGAACAATCACATAATAGTATTGTGGAAATTTTCTCTATAATTCGGTTTGTAAAGACTACCAACATCCATAAATTATCTATATTATTAAATTTATATTCTTATAAAACTAATAGCATCTATAAACCGTTCATAATATTCTAGTTAGTTACAAAATGGTGTCGTTTTGCTTGATGAATATGGGTAGGTGGAAAGCGGATTGGGTTTTGGCAAAACACAAATCCAACCCCAACCCGGCACTCGACTCAATTTTTTATAGATACATGTATATTATGCATGCATTGATGACAATACATCAATTTAACTATCACCAAAACCAACTGAGTTGTCTAACATTAGTAAATTTCTTTGAATCTGTACCTCGAAAGTAAGTGTTTGGGAAGGACGATGTGGTGGTGGTGGGGCATTATCAATTGAGGTTCACTCCTTGGATAGTACATTTTAACAATGGAGCTACTTGCTTCCAGTCCAGATAAGGAAGTACAAACAACGCATTAAAAACCTGAGTCATCTTCCCTCCCATTGCCCCATTGTTAAGTTAAGACAACCCGTCTGTCTTTCCTTCATCGGGAGGTGGTGGAATCTAGTGTTGCCTTTTGTTTGTGTTATCTCATATTCTGATTTTAGAATCGTTTGTATGAGTTATATATAAAATGAGTCAAACATTTGAGAAATGTGAATATTTGAGAAATGTACACGATGAGGTGGAGTTGAAGGCCGCAACTCCGATGACACGATGAGGTGGAGTGAATAGAGCTTGGTGGAGACGATGAGATGGATGACACTCCTTGTTGCTTGTGAAACTTGGGGGAAAGAAAAAATCAATTACGAGAGGAGATGAGGCAATGACACGGAAAAGAAAATTGAAAAGGAAGGACAGAAGTGGGTTTATAAAAAAAGAGGCACGAACGTAGTTGGAAAATTTGGGTTTAAAAATGACTCAAGAATATGAGACATTTGAGACTTTCGTATGAACAAAATGAACCATTAAATTTTTTCTTTCGTAAATGAGTCATTTGGTACCAATCAAAATGACTCAAACAAACGACCCCTTAAGATGTCTTCTTTATCCGAGTTATTTGTATCTATGGGCACCTTGAGTTATCTCTATTATAAAATAATTATTCCTAAGCTGTTATTTCAATTAGCTCATTTTTGAATTATTTTAGTTAACTCACAGTCAAATTACCACAATTTATATTTTTGTTGTCAACGAGTTATTTGAACCAACCGAGAAATATGTTTGTTGTGGTAGGTCCTACAATTTATTGTTAAACTCAATAAAAACAAAGACCCCAATCAACGAATCAACGGATTATGGATGCTGTAGATGAAGTAACTAATAAAGATTTGAACACTTGGATGGTCTTTAAAACCAAAACGAGGTATTTCTTGTTGATAGCGTGGATATGTGATGGAGAAGGACAATATTTTTCTATGTATATCTCGTATTTGCCTCGTACAAAAAATTTGAGATGATTCGCATTGTATGGTTAACAGGTTAAGGACAAAATAGAGACTTGGATCATGTCCTTAAATCTAAAATTTAAGAAGTATTTAAAGTTAATTATGGTCACTAGAGAGGCGAGTGAGGACGATTCTTATTGCAAGTTTGTTTATTCAAAAACGTTTCGATTAGTACTTGCAGAAACAAGATCCTAAATTCTGGTTTGCAAGTATAATGGAACTGTAGATTGGCAAGATAGATTCAATTAGTTGATTTTGTTTATGTGGATAATTTGGTTGGTTATTGATTAGGCTTATTTTTCTAATTAAATTTAACGAACTATATCTCTTTCATTAAGTTGCAAGTACTAATTGTGGAGTAAAAATTGAGTCATATATTGTCATTTTAGCTATATCATGTTAATAATGTTTGATAGTACATAAAATTATATCACGGTGACAAGAAAGATATTATGTTGATATGAATGTATCATAGTGTAGAATAATTATATACATGATAATAGAAATATACTAACCATTGCTTACCACTTTTCTCCACCGTCTACCTCCAGTTATCACTCTATACCAAGGGTTTTTTCTTAAAGTAATTTTGGTAAGATAGCAAATGAGTTAAAACCCAAACGAAAAAACCCACATACATCAAACAACAAGGTTGAGAGAATTAAACCAAGGACCCAAACCCAAGACCCGAACTGAAGACAAGTCCAAGTTAAGCAAGCCTAACAAATTTAATCTCCCAAACCCTAGTTGTAAGATGCATCGACCCTCTTGGTCTCAACCACATTTTCTATACCCACAAGGGGCTAGAAAATGGAAACGAAATCGAAAGAAAACCCACCAAGGGTATGGAAAAGGTAGCTAAGACGAAAATGAAAAAAAGAGCCAAGAAATGGTTGGGGTGCAGAAAGAAAGAGAGAGTGGAAACAAACGAAACAAACCAAAGAGAGGGAGAGAAAGATAGCAAAAATAACAAGGAGAACAAGAGGCAGAGGGTTGCCGCTGGTCGTTGGAGGGACGCCGACAACAATTCATAGCGTATTGAATTTGTCGACTCGAGAGAGAAGGCATAGAAGAATTTTTTAGAGGGGGAAGCAGTTGTTTTCCTATCAAGAGAACATAGTAACCAATTGTTATGCACCCTACTTTGTATTGTTTATAATAACAATAGAAATGATAATGAGGCAGGTTGAGATCAGTATCTTAATACTCATACTTATCTGATGATAGATCGAGTGTTTTATCTTAGCATGTGAAGTTTGACACTATGTATATTTATTTAAAGGAAAACAAGATCCGAGACAATTTATTTTTTCACTTAAAAGACAAGAAACAAACTAAGACACGATCAATGTAGCTAGTTTGAGAAATGAAGGTTATCACTTAATTGCAATTGATGAGATATTTCATGGATGATATATTATGTGGCTTAAAAGGAACTGAGTGATTTATCCCAGTCGATGATGAAGACAAAATGAATCTATCATAGATCTATTTGATCATCAAAATTGTATTGATTGTACTGGTTTCAACTACAAGTGTTAAAAGAGTCATTTTAGCTTTGAGCTTCATCAAGAGCAAGATTATCGAACAACGATCAGTTATTAAATAATTGTCTAATAGGACATACTAAAAGAGATTTCTTGATTCTACAAAAAAAAAAAAAGATTTTTCGAGAACTGTAGACACTGAGTGTATTTTACAATTTTCAGAATTGGAAAACACGTCATGGTATTTGTTGTAAGTTGTAACCTATACTAGCGAGATTCCTATAAAAAAATTGTACTAGTGCGATATTTTTTTTAAAAGAACATGCATAAATAAAATTCTTGGATCTGCCACTGATTTGAATTGATAAGGTCAAAGTGAATACACATGTTCTTTCCAAAACAGATTATACAAATCGAATTGGATGTATCAGATCAAAATTGTTAAACCTAAATTACGAGGTCGTTTGGAAGTTGCAATTATTTTTGTGAGATTGTTATTATACTTGTATTGTTGAGGATGAATCGTTTTCTATTTTTTTAGCAGACATGATACATTGATTGTTTCTACGATGTGACAGAAACTTTGTCATATCTTATCTTTCAGCTCAGATTGTTGAGTTGAAAATTTTTAACCTAAATTTTTAGCTTATGTGACATACAGAATCCTAGATATCAAACATTTAATTTTACAGTACTTCAAATTCAACAATACTATATATAATATTATACATGTATTCACAACACTTCCAAACCAACACTAAATATGCAATTCCACATATATTATCTTGACAAAATGATGTTTTTGACGAGGAGGACAAGAGATATTGATGTTTACAATGGGAAAATGGCATTATTATTATGAACAAAAGGTAGGGAAAGATGCTATGAATACATGCACATCACAACTTATCCTTTTCATTTCTCATTTCCTTTTGTTGTTTTCGTTAATTGGTTAGTGGGAAAGAAAGGACATGCTGTGTGAGGGTTGGCCCCACCCATGTACTAAGAAAAGCAACCCCCAATCCCCACTTCTGAAAATTACCCAACCAATAATAAAAAGCCAAACACTTCTCATGTAGTAGTACATAATATGACACCAAAGTAAGTAAAAAAAAATAAATAATAATGAGTAAAGCCAAAGGTAATATAGTCTAGCGGTGAAACCGTTGGTCTGGCTTGTTCAGGATGTGAGAGGTCCTGAGTTCCATTCCCAGCGGCGCCGTTTGTGTGTTCCCTTGTACAAAACTAATTATACTTTGTAGAATACTGAAATATACCCACAAGCATGGGTATGATATAATAATTTCTTTTTTTGTAATTATATTAGTAAGTATTTCGTTTAATATGTGTATATTGACCTATATTATATTTAAAAACTTTAATGTTGTAGTATAAATGAATGATTTTATATATATTTTTTCGTTCATTCGATGACTCACGTTCTAAAACCGTATAACATGTTTAATGTTTAATATATGTATGTAGTAAACTAATATGTTAACATAAAATTATTTATTGGTACAATATTTTACTAATTATGATCCTCATTAGTATTGTTGTTGAAAAATTGTTCCTATGTTAATTTCTGAACTGTTTTCTCATCATCAGCATTTTTATATATATTTTATTAATTTTTAATAATAGTTTTGTGTTGCCCTTGCCCACACCACACCATACACACCACCCAACCCTCTCACAGACCACACCTCTTTCTCTCTCTTCTTCTTGTCCTTCTCTCTCTCTCTCTCTCTCTCTCTGTGCCTAAAGTCCATTCCTTTCCTTCTCTCCCCCCACAAACCGAGCCACGTTCTGCATCATCACCATCATCATCTTCAACCCATCCCTCTTCACCGCCAAAATCCTTTCCCTCTTCGCCGTCCAGAATCCCGCTGCGATCTGCTCTTCGTCTGCTTACTGGGTCAAGTCAAAGCTGGTCCCTTTATTTTGCGGTCTGGTGGTGTAGCTGGGGTTTGATTCCTTGGGATACTTGCCTGGAAATGGTGGGTTTTCATACTTTTCTGTTCTCATCGTAGTCTTTCAGAAAGAGGTTGGCTGATCTGTGCTCAACTGGGCATGTGGGTTGCTCTCAATTGGAACCATGGTTGTGTTGCTGTACTGTTTTTGGACTTCTGGGGTAGAAGTGAGGCCGATTAGGTGAAAATTTTCATTTTTTCTGCCACGTTTTGGGGGGGTTTTGTTTTCCACCTAAGATCCAGTCTCTGTTGGATTGCTGCTGTTCTTTTTCCTTCTTTCGCTCCTCTCTCCGTTATTGTGTATTTATAGATCTCCGTTTCTTCAATTGAGGAATCTAGTTTCCAGAAATCTAGGGATTAAGCCATGGAAGCTAGATTTGGGACGGAAGCTACTCATTTCTATGGTATGAGTGCCATGGATATGCGGGCAGTGGGGAAAAGAAGCCTGGAATGGGATTTGAATGACTGGAAATGGGACGGCGATCTTTTTATCGCTAGCCCTTTGAATTCCGTACCTTCTGCTGGTATGAGCAAGCAGTTTTTTCCACTCGGCACGGGGAATTCCTCCAACAGTTCTTCCTCTTGTTCAGATGAAGTGAATCATCTGGAAATTGAGAAAGGGAAAAGGGAGACAGAAAAGAGGAGGAGGGTTATTGATGTTGAAGATGACAACTTGAATGATCAGGAAGAAGCGGGTACTCTGAGCCTGAAGCTTGGAGCACATGGATTCCTTGCAGGAGAGAGGGAGATGGGGAATTGGGAGGGAAACAGTGGGAAGAAGACCAAGTTGAATGGTGGAGGTAGCTCAAGTCGTGCAGTTTGTCAGGTGGAGGACTGTGGTGCTGATCTGAGTAAGGCTAAAGATTACCACAGGAGGCATAAGGTCTGCGAGATGCACTCCAAGGCCACCAAGGCCCTTGTGGGAAATGTTATGCAGCGCTTCTGTCAGCAGTGTAGTAGGTGAGTTCTTCTAGTCTTGAAATTGTTGCTAATTGCTCTTAGTTAGTAACCTTGTTAAGAGGCAATTGTTCAAAAGTTGATGACACTGGCAGATTTACGAAGTCTTAAATTATTATCAAGCAGAATTCAGGTAGAAAAGACTTGACCTTTCCAAGGTGACTTGTCAATTGTCTTGCAGGTTTCACGTCCTGCAAGAATTTGATGAAGGGAAGAGAAGTTGCCGTAGACGTTTGGCTGGACATAATAAAAGGAGAAGGAAGACAAATCCTGAGGCTAGTAGCAATACAAATACTGTGCATGAAGATCAGACTGGCAGCTACTTACTGATAAGCCTTTTAAGGACACTCACCAATATGCACTGTAAGCAAATTGTGTGCTGCTTCAAGTTGAGCAATTACCGTGTGTACTTTGCTGCCTTGTTTATAATATAGAGTTATTGTGGAGATCTTGTTGAGACAGTAGTGTACAGTTTTTGATCGGCATATTTTAGTTAATATAATTGCTTCTTTCATGCATTGCAGCCAATAAATCAGACCAAGCGACAGATCAAGATCTGTTGTCTCATCTCTTAAGGAGCCTAGCTGGGCAAACAATTGAACATGGAGGAAGGAACATAGCAGGGCTCCTGCAAGAACCTCGAGAATTGCTCAATAATGGCTCTTTGTCAGGAAATCCGAAGGTAAAATTTAACTCTTCCATTTAGTTCTGGAGGTGAGAGTCCTCGTGTGACGTGCATCTGATAGTAATTATGTTTGGGGTTGGAACAGCAAGCTCAACTTCTGCTTACAAATGGTGCAAGTATGCAGACCTCGTCTTCTATGAAATCCAGGATGCCAGATAACTATCCAGCATGTTCAGAAGTTCGTGACAGTAATCCAGGGCACATGAAGATGAATAACTTTGATCTGAATGATGTGTATATCGACTCTGATGATGGAACTGAAGATGCGGAAAGATCACCACCTCTTGCTAATGGAGGGACCAGCTCCCTTGGTTGCCCTTCATGGGCACAACAAGACTCTCATCAATCAAGTCCACCACAGACAAGTGGAAACTCAGATTCAGCATCTCCACAGTCACCTTCCAGTTCCAGTGGAGATGGACAGGTATTTTTCCAGCTGGTCGAAAATTGAATTTAGGGTGTTGGTATCCATTCTTTTCTTGATAGGTCTATTGTTTCTGCTGTGAAAAATCTTCTGTGATTGGATATCGATATAATTGTAGGTAGTCAAATGTCGAGTTCAAAATATATCTCTTCATCTCTTAATGGTGGAATATCTGTTACTGGTCGTGGTCAGGTACTCTTCTATGTGAATTCAGCTTTTTAACATTGTTTCTTGTTGTATACAGAGCCGGACAGATCGAATCGTTTTCAAGTTATTTGGAAAGGAACCAAATGATTTTCCTTTGGTTTTGCGAGCCCAGGTACAAACTGATTATATTTTTAGATTGGAAACTGTTTTTCTAGTTCTTTCTCAAAATGTCTATCTGAAACTTTTTTTTTTTTCAATCTGCAGATCCTTGATTGGCTTGCTCACAGTCCTACTGATATTGAGAGTTACATTCGTCCTGGTTGTATTGTTCTTACAATTTACCTTCGTCAGGATGAGACAGCATGGGATGAAGTAAGCTTACAAATGCTCCGAGTCTTCATGTTTCTGGAATCTTTTTTTAACAGTTATGAGGTGGCTTGTTTATAACTCTATTGTGTTATCTGCAGCTCTCCTGTGATCTTAGCTCTAGTTTGATTAGGCTTCTGCATGCATCAGATGACTCTTTCTGGAGAACTGGATGGCTATTTATCATGTTGGAGCATCAAATTGCCTTCGCTTATAATGGTCTGTTCTTTTTTCCTTACCATTTTTTGATATATTATCTGATAATATAATGGTAATAACATTTTTTGCTTGGTGTGCTTGCAGGTCAGGTTGTTGTGGACACTTTTTTGCCTCTTAGAAGTATCAACAGCAGCAAAATCTTCAGTGTCAAACCAATTGCAGTATCTGAGACAGGAAAGGTTGAATTTTTTATAAAGGGGACAAACTTGTCCCGCTCAAGTACAAGGTGATTACTCAGGTTCTGCACATCAATAGAGAGTTTCATGTCAAATTGTTCATGTTATGTTCGCACTTTTTTATGCTTCATTTATTTAGTTATATACACAATTAAATTTCAAGTCATTTGGTTTCTCAATTATGATGATAAAACAAATTCTCATGTGTCTGTTTCACTTTGGGACCAGGATACTTTGTGCCATTGAAGGAACATATATGGCCCAAGAAGACAGTGATGAACTGGCGGATACTGTTGATAGCCAGGGCGAAGGCCAGCTGCAGTGTGTCTCTTTTTCTTGCTCTGTTCCCACCGGACTTGGAAGAGGATTCATTGAGGTGCTTTCTCTGAGCTCTAACCAGATTTGTTGTTGTTGTTGTTGTTGTTGTTCACTGACATTTATTTCCCTTGCGATGTCATTATCTTATTTTCTTGTGTTATGTGGTCTTTTTGCTTTTTGTTGGCTTGTGCATAGCTTAAATTTCAAATTTGGCTCTGATATCTTGTTTTGGATATAGGCCTAGAAATTCCACTTGGTGAAATTGGTTTCTTGATTTGTCTGCTAAAATTTTAAAATTCATTGATGTCGTTTAAGTACATATTCTTCTTTCATCTGTAATCTCAGAGATTTATTTATCGATACACTTGTCAAGAATATGCTTGTTTGAGTTAGTGTCGTCTTAACCAAGTTTTTGATGAGTTGTGGAAATAATCCCGAAGAAACCCTCTTTTTCATGATTTTACATATAAGTTATTAGAGGTTTAGACTATTCACTAGTTCTATTCATGACTCGAGCAGATTCAAATCGTGCACAACTTTAAAGAATATCCAGCTGAAAACAATACCAGACTTTCTCTGAGACGCATCTTTCATGAACCTCTCTTTCCAGCAAAACCATTATGCTTATAAAAATATTGAAGAGCCAGTTATTCATGGCGTACTGTTCTGATTGTTTTCCCCCTCCTAAACTCCATTTTCTGCATGAGTCAAAAATTGTCAAAGTTTATGTGAAGATAGACATGCTGTCACATGGATAGTTCTCGAACCATGATTATTGAAGATGCTCTTCTATCCAGTTTGCTTTATGGTCTTTGCAGCCTTTTTCTCAATCTAAACCTTCAGTTTTAGGTCAAAGTTTGATTTTCTTAAGTATGCTTTCTTGATTTTCCTCCTTATATCCAGATTGAAGATGATGGTATTAGCAACGGCTTCTTTCCATTCATAGTTGCTGAGGAAGATGTTTGTTCAGAGATACGCATGCTTGAAGATGCTTTGGAATTTATTGAAACTGATGTGAACTTGGCTGAGGGTGGAAGAATGGATGCCAAAAACAGAGCGATGGACTTCATTCATGAAATGGGTTGGCTTTTGCACAGAATACAATTGAAGTCAAGATTGACCGACATGGATCCCAACACGGAGTTCTTCCCTCTAAAACGATTCAGATGGCTTATGGAGTTCTCCATGGACCACGACTGGTGTGCTGTAGTGAGAAAGCTCCTGAGCATAGCTCTCAACGGATTGGTTGATATAGGAGAATACAGCTCTCTGGGTCTAGCTTTGTTGGAAATGGGCATTCTGCACAGAGCTGTGAGGAGGAATTCTATGTCCCTTGTTAATTTCCTTCTGAGATATGTCCCCGAGAATGTGCAGTCTGAAGATGAGGCAGTTTCCACTTGGATTGAGAGCAACAAAGGCTTTCTGTTTCGGCCGGACATGGCTGGCCCTGGAGGTTTGACCCCACTTCATATTGCAGCTGGTAAAGATGGATCTGAGGATGTATTGGATGCATTAACTAATGATCCCCAAATGGTAATTTCCTTCCCCTTATCATATTGGCTTCATTCTGTTGCCAAATAGCTCATTTGAAGTGCAAGCTTAATGCCCAAGAAAACTATTCCTATTTTCGTAATTATTCCTGATATAAGTGCTACTTATCCTATAGACTACTTTTATTTTTTTAAAATGAACAAGGAGAAAAACAATGAAAAATAAAGTAACATCTCCCTCCGTTCAATGATGGATGTGTGCCTTTGTTGTGGAATTTTCAGGTTGGAGTTGAAGCATGGAAGAATGCTCGCGATAGCACTGGCTTTACACCCGAGGACTATGCCCGGCTACGTGGACACTACTCGTACATCCACTTAGTACAGAGGAAGATCAACAGGAAATCCGGGTCTGGTCACGTGGTGCTGGACATCCCAGGCAAGGAGGCTTCAGAAACCAGCACCGACCAGAAGGAAACCGAAGCACGAACTTCTTCCACCTTGGAGATTGCTATGCCGACATCATCAAAACCTGTCAGCGGCAGCAGCAGCAACTGCAAGCTGTGTAGCCACAAGGTGGCTTATGGGGTACCGAGGCGGTCTCTGCTGTACAGGCCTGCAATGCTGTCAATGGTTGCTGTGGCTGCAGTCTGCGTCTGTGTGGCTCTTCTGTTCAAGAGTTGTCCTGAGGTGGTGTACGTGCTGAGTCCATTCAGGTGGGAGATGTTGGAGTTTGGAACCAGCTAAAAGCTGCTATGTGCAGACGCTGGGACGACGACGAGAGATGCGATGACTGCGTTGTGAGTTAGGGAAGTGTTTGTATTATGATATCATTAATATGAAATCAAGTTAGTTTAAAAAAGATTTGTATGGCCCTATATAAGAAGATTTTAAAGAGAGTTTATGAGTCTTGTCTTTGGGAGACAGATTACCCTTTGGTTCCTGTATAACAAAAAGAACAAAAGAAGGTTTCTGGACAGACATGGGAGTTCTGAGATTCTGCTAAACTTAAGCAATGTGATTTGACATATTTATTTGTTTATTATTTATTTTTGGATCATTCTCATATCATATGATCTTCTGCTACGTGAATTGGATCAAGAGGTTTGAGGGGGAGGGGAGACTTCTGTCGTTCATGTGATCTCTTGCTGGAAAAAACAGAAGAACATATGGGATGTGCTGAGGTGGGCTAAGGCCAAGTAATGAAAAGCCAACACAACCAAATTCAACAATGGACAGACTTCCCTCTTTTAACTTTTCAGATCAAACTTCTTCCCCTAACAGATCAAGAACACCTGTGACATAGTGCAGAAAGTTAAAAGTTTATGGTTTCTGGTATTAACAGAAAGAGAATCTCAACATTTATCTCTGAAAGGGATTGTCAGTGCTGCTCTGTCTAATACTGCTCATTTGATGTACAGCGATAGATCTGGTTTCCTTGTCTCCTTGAGTGTGGGGGTTAGGTACTGCCGACACAATGAACTTCATAAAGAAAAACCAATTTAACCATTGTTGCCGTGGCATGTTCTTCAAAACTACTGCAACTTGTTCAATATATATAAGACGAATTGCAAGTTTGGTCACTCGGTTTATCAATATGGTTCACATTTGCCATTCAAAAAAATTCTCATTTTCATTGGTCATCAATTTTATACTTTTATTTCACCATTAGTTATTGATTGTCAAATTCTATTAAGTTTATCCTAGGTGGCAGTCAATTATAATCTTTGACCGTTAACTATATAATGTGACAATTTAAAAAAGGAAAATATTACCGTTAACTATATAATGTGACAATTTAAAAAGAGAAAATATTTAGATCCAACCAATCCATTTGGTAGATTTTGATTAGTTGAATTCTCTTTTTTTCTTAATTAATTGTTCTTAGATGTCTTATTGTTAAATAGATGTATTGTTGTGAATACGTATACAATATTATGCATGTATTGACAAAATTTGATGCATGATAAAATATAGCGTTGGTATGTGTGATTGTGTATGTCACATCTAGGGGTGGGCACATGGGTGGTTAATCCGCAGATTGATATCGATCCACCCGCAAGTAATGGGTGATTGATGTGGGTGGATTGCGGATTTATAAATCTCTCACCCGCACTTATGTGGGTGGGTGGTGGGTGGATTACGGGTCACCCGAATGACCCGCATCTTATTTTCACATCAACAATTGTTGTTTCTTATAGTATCGAATATTCATCATATTTCCAAACCGCACAACAATCTCACCATACATACTTCTAAAGGTGGAGAAAAAGAATAGTTTTGACTATTATTGTTGGTTATTGTGTTGTGTAAAATCTATTACATATTGGATATTTGAATGCGATAATATCCATTAAAAATTGGGATGAAAACTATAGATTATTAATTGTATCAAAATCAAAAATGCAAAAGTTTCTCTACACAATTGGTTGATAGAGTAGTAATTCTTTTTATACAAATACTACATGGATTCACTTGAGACAAAATGAGAAGTGTCTATATTGATACAGTCTTCCTAATTTGCTAGACATGTATTTGAAAATCACCCTACGAATTTGATACAAATTCAAATACTAAATATAATTAAGGGTTAATACCCTAGTTTGGCCCGAAGTTTGGCGTATATGTCAGTTTTGGCCCAATTTTTCAAATAAGACAGTTGTGGCCTACTTTCCAAATTATTGGACAAATTTGGCATGGGTTTTAAATTGACCGTCAAAATTGACGGTCAATGATTTTTCCGTTAGTGACTCAGTATTTGGTGCTGACTAGGATCTTAAACGTCATCATTTATTAAATTAAAAAATAAAAACTAATTAAATATATAAATATTTTTTCCCTAAGACTTTTTCCACTCTCCTCTTGGACAAACCTCCAATCGCCCAAACCCACTCCCTCGCCGTGATAGATGGTGCCCTCGGCGTCATTGAGAAAGGAAGTAATTCACCCATGTCAAACAGAGGGGAAATCAACAAAATTGCTCCTCCAATTTCAATCCCGACCAGCGCCAGAGGTGGATGAGTTTTGTAACGAACCATCGAAAGAAGACGACGAGAGCAGAAGGAGGGAGGTGTTCGGGTCTCGACGGTAACGATTATCGTCGTCGCGGTCCCTTCTCCTCGATCGATGGCCTACCGGCGCCTTCGCCACCAACCTCCTCCCTCTCTCTAGTCGACAATCGAGCCCACAAAAAGCTCGACATCATCGCCATCAACTCAGATCTGGTGCGGAGGAAGCAGATATCGGGGAATGAGAGAGGATCGTTGGAGAGAGAGTTGAAGGGCGGTGGGTTTATAGCAGCGACGGTGTGAGGGAGAAGACGAACAGCCACCAGTTCGTTCGGCTGAGGGAGAAGACGAACAAAACCTGAATCGGGTCCGAATCCATCGATCTTAACGACGACGGAGTGGAATCTGAGGGTACAGCGACCGCGGTGGAGGAACAAGGAAAAAGAAGAAAAGAGAATCAATTTGGGCGCCGCCCGTTGAAAATCCCTCGCCGCCGAAGCGCATGTCGAGGACGAAGAAGAGGAAAAGGAACCAGTCCCACTCAAAAGCCCTGCCCCGCGCCCCCGCAGATCTTCTTCCACAGCCGCTCGTTTCACCCCGACGGCGTCTTACCCTTGAACGCGCCGGCGTGGAAGTACACCAACACCAGCAGCTTCCTCTTCTCTTTGTCTCGTCTGGGGATGTAGAGGCGGGTCTCAGCGGAAGAAGGGGTTGAATCAGTGGGAATGAGGCGGCGGGAGGAAGAGATAAGGGTAGGACCGTAGGAGGTTGGGGGGTTATTTTTATTTTTTTTTATTAATTGAATTAGAAAATTAAGAAATATTTTATTTAATGACATGGCACCATGTATAAGCCACGTCAGTAGTTCTTTGATGAGTCACTAATGGAATAAGTGTTTGACCGTTAATATTAACGGTCAACACAAGTTTCAGGCCAAATTTGTCCAATAATTTCAAAAGTATGTCATAAATGTCTTATTTGAAAAATGGGGTCAAAACTGTCACTCACGCTAAATTTCAGGCCAAACTAGAGTATTAACCCTATAATTAATATCCAAATACATAATCTGATATTTAAAAATCCAAATTAAAAATACCAAATTTAAATCATTCTATCCAAACACACCATTGTATGCTTAAGATTCCCTCTCCAACGAATTGGTGTACCGCACAAGCAGCGGCGGCGGCGGCTCGGACTACCGATCGACGGAGAGGAATCAGAATAAAGGACAACGATGCAAAAGCAGCGGCAGGCGGATCCGAAGAAACACAACAATTTGACCATCCACCGGCGGACTTACCGAGCATCCTCCCACACCTAATCAATCCCTTAAAATCAAACTTTATGTCAATACATTTTTTTTTTTTGGGTATAGGTAAATTTTGTCCCCTACTTAACATGCCACTTTACAATCTTTTGTATTAGTATTGTCATATACTATAACAAAGTTATCCAAGATTGTCAGCCCGCTAGTAGATGTGCGAGTTGGTTCGGTTTGATTCTAATCAATTTTTAGGAAAATAGGAGCCACACACTTGTAGGTCGATACTCAGCAAAATTTTCGACTCCAATATACACCATCTTTTCCCCCTTTGATCTGCAAAATGAGCATTTTTTTTTTTTGTTTTTTCCGCTTCGCCAACCCTAGTTTTGGAATTTTAAGTTGAACATTTAAATATTAATATTATAGTGGGTGTGTTCGAATTTTCATTATATGTTGGATCCAAGTACGAACTGTTATTTTGGTGTAATGTCATGTGTTATTATCCACATGTTAGATGACATTTGATAGAACTTATAAATATATGGGCAATATTATGATTCTTTTCATGTATCCGAACTAACGCGAATTAGATCATTAACCCTCAACAACTTTCTCGACCGGATTAACGAGCTCAATCCGGTTGACAACCTTGAAGTTATCAGATCTATCCTTTCCTTTCATCCATTTTTCTATCAATTGGTCGTTGTATTGGCTGAAATTAGATCTACCGTTTCATCCATTTTCTATTGGTTAGACTGTTATATTGGATTGAATTAATTTAATAATAGTGTGAAAATATCATTTCTTTTTAATAAATTGATACACAACACATCTCGGTCTTCATTCAAAAAACCAACTGAGGTTCAGAAATTCCCTGACAAGCATACATAATCTACATCCGTAACTTAGCATCGGCAAATAAGACAAAACGTAAACCAAACGACAAGAAGTACCTTCACCCAACAAGATAATCGGCACACTACACTTTCCAGTTCTGAAGAAGCAAGACAATCAACACACATATTATGAGAACTATAAGACACTTCTCAGTTCGGGGGGGACCAAAACCGCTTGATGATTAAATGCCTGATGGTGGTGCTTAATTGTTCCAGTACTAGTAAGCAGCTGAAAATACCACGTTTGTACAGCTTTATAAATTGCTGGATCTGGTATTTTCCTTCTCTCATCCATTGGCATGAGACACTGAATTCAACGACTAATAACAGAATACTGCAATGTTGCTGCCACGCATATATCAAAATACTGCTAATACAAAATAAACCGCAATCATTCTTTCCAGTGGCGGTGGTGCCAATTACAAATCCCTGCACTCCCTCTAGAACCGCACCGACACGCACACTGGAAGCAGAATCAAGCCATTTCTAGAAATATAACCGTTTGAACAAAGATATCAGAATTGAACACAAAAGGTATCTTCACTGTAAGTTACCAGGACACAAACAGACATAGCATCGCTTCATCCATAGCGAGAAAAGAAAAAAAACAAACAAACAAAAACAAAAGACCCAATTATTTCAGCAAACTATCTGGCCGCAGTTCAGGAGAAAGACACCAACGGGAACGGATAATAGGAGATCAAACTCTCTCTCTCTCTTTTCAATCAAGCTTGAGGCTTGTCAGCAACCTTGACCTTGAGCGGCTTGACGACCTCCCAGGTGAAGTCGGGGTCGTCCCTTCCGAAGTGCCCGTACGCCGCCGTCTTCAAGAACCTCTTATTGCCTCCCCTCTTGAGATCGAGGTTGATGGTCATCATCCCCGGCCTGAAGTCGAACGTCTCCTTCACGAGCTCCAGGATCTCCCTATCCGGGATCTTCCCGGTACCATAGGTGTCAACAAAGACCGACAGTGGCTCGGGGACACCAATGGCGTAGGACACCTGCACAATGCACCTGCGAGCAAGGCCGTTGGCAACAATGCTCTTGGCAGCCTGCCTCACGATGTAAGCTCCACTCCTGTCCACCTTGGTGGGGTCCTTTCCAGAGAAAGCACCACCACCGTGGGCACCCCATCCACCGTAGGTGTCGATGATGATCTTCCGTCCGGTGAGACCAGCATCACCGTGGGGGCCTCCAATGACGAAACGGCCAGATGGGTTGAGGTGGAAGATGGTCTTCTCGTCAAGGTACTTCTCGGGGATCACAGGCTTGATCACATGCTCCTTGAGGTCAGCAGCGATCTCATCGTTGGTGACGGTCTCGTCGTGCTGGGTGGAGATGAGGACGGTGTGGACGCGGACGGGGACCATCGCTCCGTTCTCGTTGTAGTACTCGATGGTGACCTGAGTCTTGCCATCGGGCCTCAACCACGCGCAGGTGCCGTTCTTCCTGACCTCGGTGAGGCGGGCTCCCAGCTTGGTGGCGAGCACGTGGGTCAAGGGCATGTACTCGGGGGTCTCATCGGTGGCATAACCGAACATGTGACCCTGGTCACCAGCTCCAATCTCCTCGGGGCGCTTGGTGAAGTGGCCGTGGACACCCTGAGCAATGTCGGGACTCTGCTGCTCGATGTTGACCAGGACCTTGCAGTTGTCAGCGTCAAGCCCGACATCGTCGGACACAAACCCAATCTCGCGGCAGGTGTCGCGGACAATCTTCTCGTAATCAACCTTGGCCTTGGTGGTGATCTCCCCGAAGACCATGACCATGTTGGTCTTGGTGCAGGTCTCGCAGGCTACCTTGCTGTCGGGGTCTTGCTCGAGGCACGCGTCGAGGACTGCATCGGAGATCTGGTCGCAGAGCTTGTCTGGGTGTCCTTCGTTCACAGACTCGGATGTGAATAGGAAGGTCTCCATTTTTTCCTGGAATTGGAGAGAGCAAGGGGAAGTAGATACAACAAAATCAGCGACTGATATTGTAACCCAATAGAACTGGAATCCAACTATGCTACAACTATATGGAATGCAGAATCAAAACTCAACAAATATACTACACGCTATTCTTGGTTCCTGAAGATAAGTAATTCGACTGTGATTCGGAAATGCTTCTGAAAACAACGAATCAGGAAAAAGAGTAAAAGGATTTCAAAAGATCTACCAGATTCGGAACGCACCATCACAACAAGACAAAAGCAGAATTTTTAAACCTGTCCCTAACAGTGAGCAATATGCGAAACGTTTCGCCTAGAGTCGGTAGAGATACGTAGAAGAGCCAGATCTGGAGGAAATATGAACAGTAAGACGCCAGATCTGGCTACAGGAAGCAGCTAAACCACCTAGACGGAAACGAAACAGCAGTTCAAGCTCAAGAATTCATAAACTACATCCATGGCGTTCGAAGGTTTCAACAGATCAAGTCAAAACCACTGATATAATAAAAAAAAAATCTCAGATCTGGAATCTCCTGCCATCAGAGACGCGAAAACGAGATCACAGAGCAAGGAAAGGAAGCAAAAAGATTGGCGGTTTCCCGATCGAGAAACGGATACGAAACAGAGATGCTATAATGGCGGTGGAATGGGAATCAGGGAGAAACGGGATGGATACCTTGCGGACTTGAGTGGACCGAGCGAGATCTGAAGAGCAAGGGAATAGGAGGAGAGACTGGATTTGGAAGCTCTTAACCAGAAGATCCTTTGCAATCAAGGGCCGACGCACTCTGCTCAATTTCAGCGCCCTCTATTTATAGGCTAACGGGCGGGTGGAAGGTGACCGGGTACCGGGCGGGGCAGTCGCCGGTCCAATCAGTCGGCTTGTTAATTAAAATACGAAATTAATTCGGATTTATATATTATTATCATTAATTCGAAAGGTCATCGTGTGTATGTATGTCAAGCGTAAACACTATAAATAGAGATTTTTTTCTCGTTGGAATAACAATGGAACAGTCCAAGTCAGCTTGTTTTGCCTATGGTGTAGTAGGTGAGGTGATTAACAAGATATGTTGTTTTGAATTTTGATTGTAAGTGGAATGATTACTGAGATTGAATTGTTTTTTTTTACTCATTTACTTCTTTCAAATAATTTTATTTCTTTCTTATTATATTATATATTTTTTGAAAAAATAAATTACACAAAAAGAATGAGTTTGTTGTGATTTATATATATATATATGTTCGGTATATTTGGAGGAATAAAATTTCAGTGATTATGAAGGGTTGAGCTGCCAGAAGGTCAAGTTCTCAAAATTGACGATGTATTTTAGTAGGGTTATAGGTATAATATGCCCCTCTACTATGCAGTTTTATCAAACATGCTCCTCTACTATTTTTTACATCAAATATGCCTTTATACTTTGGAAAAATTATCAAATATGCCCTTTTGTTAGATTTCCATTAAAAAAATCGTCAACAATGGTTGAACCGAGATTTAGACGATCCGACATCGGTAAATGGGAAGGAAAATGTCAGTTTTTTCCCTTGATTTATTTGTCTAGGTCTTGTTAAAGTGAAATTATTAGAGGTATATGGCACTACAAAAGAATCCAAACAATTCTAAAGTGAAATTATCAAGGATATTTAGACATTTGTGTTGCCCAAACCAAGGTTCGACCATGGTTGACGATTTTTGGATGAAATTTTTTGACAAAAGGGCATGTTTGATCATTTTTCCAAAGTACAGGGGGCATGTTTGATGTAAAAAATAGTAGAGGGGCATGTCTGATAAAATGACATAGTAGAGGGGCATATTATACCTATAACCCATTTTAGTAATATTTGTGTTGGACTCGAATTAAGAGTTGATGGCGTAATAATTGAGAATTGGGCTATGGGGATCACGAGTAAGTATTATGGGCTTATGACTCAGGCAAGCAGAATTAAAGCGGAGGCTTTTCACTTTGTTGTAGCGCGTATTTTGCATCGATTGCAAGGGTGGAAGTAGCGTTGGTTGCCTCGGAAAAGAAACTTATCAAAGCTGATGCGAGTATACTTCTTATCCATGTTATGTCATGCTTTCTATTTCCACTTTTCTTTCGTTGTTAACTGAAAAGGTAATTGGCTCATTTCTCATAGGGTATTTAGAGGAGAGAGCTTCGAGGTCACTAGGTGACTTGGAGGATGTTGTTCAACGTAAATATGAGAGACAGTTGGGTTTTTGTGGGTTTGAAACTTGTACACAAGCTCTACCGGGTAAGATTAGATGAGATATTCTGCATGATCCATTTTTCGTTTTTGGCTTAAATGTGTAAGAGAAGGTCCCCCCCCCAATTTTCCTTCACGAAGGGTCGAGGGGCTTTGCTTTCTTGGGCTTGGCGAAGTATACTACATAATTTCTCGCTTCTTCTTCAGAAGTTCACTACTCCATTTCTATAACGACTTTGACGTGTATATACAATTGTATGTGTTGCAAATATGCAATTAAAATTACAGTACTAATATGAATGCTCTTACCAACTAAAAGATACCAAACTCTCCTGAAACAAATAATTGCGTTCAGAAAATAAAACCTATAGGTAAGTGTTCTTTCAAGGGAAATTAGGTAAGTGTTTTTTTTTTTTTGTAGGAAAAGGTAAGTGTTTAATTATTATCACAATAATATTAGCATCATTAAGGTTACCGGTAATCATAGGTGACTCACCAACCCTCACCAGTACCCAGCTCTCAATGGTTCAACGACGTCATTGGTTGGTGGCAGGCTGGCAGCTAACTGAGAGTAATAAATAGCGCGTGAGGCGTGAACCACTGCGTTTTAAAAGGGGAAAAGATGAATAAGAAAGCAAAAATGGGCCATATACATTTTATCAACTAGAGTATAAAAGAAGTCAAATCTATAAGGGACCGGAAATCTCAATTGGTAAAATAAATTAAAAAAAAAGCGGAGTTAGTAGGACTTGTAAACATTTATTGTTTATTGAATTTAATTGATAATCTAATGAGTGGTTAACCGATAATTGTATAACAAAAAAAGTTAGGGCTGTGAAATGGTGCGGTCTGGTCTGTAGACCGTCTACGGTCTAAATCGAGAGACTAAAGCATAGACCATTGACCAGACCATGTTGGTCTAGATAGACCACATTTACACTTTGTTAAGTCAACCACAAAAAAAAAATTGAACCAATAACTTAGAAAAACAATTGTTTTTTTGCCTTAAAACATAAAATCCAACATGCATGAATAATTTTGACACCTTAAATCTTAGTAAATAACAAAGATACAAAGTCGAAGAATCCCAACTTGCACCATAACGTCACAAACATTAACATAATGTCATATGGAGACACGATCGTCTCTACTCTCTAGTGAAATGTGGTTTTGAATGAAGGAGGGGACGAGATTCTAAAAATTAAGGTTGAGACTTGAGTCTCGATGAGGGAGTTGGGAGAGTGGTCGAGTAGGCTATTAACATGTATTGGGAAGTCGGCTAGATCCACGGTTTGGTCCGGTAAATCGCGGTCTAGACCAGACCAAGAAATCAAAACTTCATATAATACAGACCATTATTCACGGTCTACGGTATGGACCAAACTGTGCGGTCCAGTTTGGTCCACGATTTTTCAAACGGTCTGTTCTATTTTCCCAACCCTATAAAAAGTCCCAAAATTTGAGTAAGAAAAGATTCTAACATATTGCAAATAACCATCCACCCGAAAATTTTAATGTATTTAAGAGTCAGAACTCGAAAGTCATCTCTCTCTAACTTTCAATTGCAGTCGACAAAGCGAATTTCGCACTATAGTAGCTTTTGTTTCTTTGTTGTTTGTCAATAATGATGTTATGGTGTTTGTGTTTGATGCTTTGTTAGTTGGTTCTCTCCAATTGGATGAAAATATTTGATTATTTTAAATTTATATGTGTTGGAATTTGGATTATGAATTTGTGATGTTTTTTATATTGTATTGATATTATTTCTCATAATTATTATTTTATATTAACAATGTAGAAGCGTGGTTAAATTGGTTTGAATTAACTGCACGATTATATGTCATTTTTAAAAAGGGCACCACAAAAAATGTAAAAACAACAAAAGAAAAATGTTCGTAGGTGAAGGTTGTTATTGGTTAGTGGTTAATTGCCAAACTAACCGTTAACCGAACCAATAATATACGGTTGACCAATAAGTCTTATCAGTTCATTTTTTGCCATGTATTTTTTGCTTAGTAATTAATCACTAACCACCAAATCAATTAGTAATTTACCCACATCAAACCAATTAGCACTCCTAAAGAGTTTTGTGCCAATAGATTAGTTCAGAAGTAAAATCTGAAAATATATAATAGGATTTATATACCAAAATAAGATATCAGGTGTTTTTGTTTATACTGACTTTTTGTTTAAATTTTCTCAATTATAATTCTATATAAAAACAAACAATCATTTTTACCTTTTTTCTCAAAATAAAGCCAAAATCATTATTCACTTTAAAATATACAATTTCTTTTAAATTTGAAAACCCATCTTACAAAAATAATTTCACTTTTCAACTTTTTTTGTCTAAAAAAATATTCTTAGAGTTATAGTTATGCATGTCCTTAATAATCATTTCTCAAAACTCAATTTACTACTTTACTATTAAACACATTATTCACCATCCCATTAACTAACATTCCATTTATTAAAAAAAATAAATACTCAGTTCCCATCAACTTTACTCTTTTTAAACGGTTACCAAATATACTATTCCCCAACTTAAGAAAAAAACTAACTTGAATAAAAAGTTTTCCAAATTTAAGAAAAAGTGTAAATAAACAACACACTCATCATATTGACACTAGTAACGTTCTTGAAAATAGTTATACGCATGTAACAAATCCAAATGCCTGTTTTTTAAAAAGGTAAAAATGCCTCTTTGCTATAACAATGCCTCAAACTGTCCCAATGTAACATTTTCACTCATAAACCGTCAACATAGGTGAAATTGTTGAGAAATTTTACAATGTTTTATAGTATTGGTGCTATAGATTTTTGCTTTTATGGTACAACTTAAAATTGTATATTTACGTTATGGTACAACTTTATATTGTAACTATACTTTTTGTACAAATTCTTTTATGATACAACTTGAACTTGTACCTTTATGTGATGGTACAACTTCAAGTTGTAAAGTTGTACTATAATATAATAGTACAAATTGCTTTATGGTACAACCTAAACTTATACATTTAATGTTATGGTACAACTTTGAATTGTACATTAAAACACCAATGCTATATAGCATAGTAGAAGTGCTCCAAATTCTTAACTGACATACATGAAGTGTCAATTTCGCCCCTAAAATTTTAACTCAACCTTCCCCCTTTATTAGGAAATGAAAACTAAAATCACAAATGGAGGTATTGGACTCTTCGCAACCGATTAATATAGGGCATTACTAGGTATGTAGTGGGTATGAGTCACTCACAAATAAATTAATTGATATGGGTTTGGAATAGGGATGATAATCAAACCTATGATTGTGGGTACCCGACCGCCCCCAGTTCAGTTAGCGTAGGAAATTCCCGTATTGACTAGGTATGGGGTGAGTATAGGTAAAACCCGCAAAATATTTGATGGGTATGGGACGAGTATGATTTTAGCCTCCCTTCCTCATACCCATACCCTTACGCGCCCCACCAAGAGCATTTCTTTTCTTCACATATAAATAAAAAATTTATAGATCAAATTCTAACTTATCAATGATAGTGAGGGTAACTCAGGAAAGTAAATAATAGAAATACAATTGTGTGACCACTCAAATCAAAACCTAATTCCTTCTCCTCAAATCAATAATGATTTGGATTACGTTGTACTCTATCTTATGGATTAATGAATGTTTTAATATAAGATGTTTTGAACAGTATTAAGAATGATTGTCTCTTTGTCGACTTCATGATATAATAGGTGCGTTTAATGTTGTAATTGAAAATTTATATATAAAGTTTTGGTATTATAATGTTGGATGTACGGGTCGAATATTACCCATGGATACCCAAAACCCTCCAGTATGGGACGGGTATGAGTTTGAATATTTGCAAGCAGGGATGAGGATGGTTTAGGCAAACCGTCTCCAAACCCACCCGAATCCCTAACCCTTACCATATATAAAAAGATATGGTCACAAGTATGTAAATGAGAGAAATATCAAATCAACATGGCCACAATAAACGGTTCTAATTCCCTATGACCATCTCCATTGCTAAAGTTTAGCAATTGCTAAGATGAGTGGAGGGTGAGGTGGCACATGTGTGGCAATTGTTAGTGATGGAGTGGTTCTTTCCAAATTGACGAGCTTGCTAAATTGGCAAGTCTTTTAGCAATGACATAGGTACATTTTCGTTTTTGAACAGAAAATGTATGTTTGAACAGAAAATGTATATGGTTTAAAAATTTCATTGGATGTAGGAGAAGATAATTACCAGCAAGTATAATAAAACCGAAGAAATAGAGGCGTGTATGTAAATTCTCTCCTATATGGATATGTAGGAGTGTCATACTAGTTCTTTTCGTCATCCTAGACAAATGTTAGTGCTCATCCTAGTTCTTTTCGTACATCATGTATTTTGTGATTAAAACAATTTTTTTATGTAATTTGTAGAATACAATATTTAAAATCGGAGATTCCAAACGAGACGTTAATTCGATACATTCAGATGTCATCTTAGATTTCTACTTGTATAGCAAGTGGCGTCAGCACTAAAGCAAACGAAATAATGAGAAGAAAACACCCGAAAGAATTGAAGGAACTAAATGGATCAAAATCAAAGGGGGTTGGTAATAGGAAGGAAACAAAATCTAGGTGGTAGGTGAAGTCTTTGAGAAGTTGAAAAATCCACCAACTAAGAGGTTTCGTGCATAGTTGGAGTGAAAGGATAGGAATGGTCAAAATTTGGACTCAGAAATGTGGAGGTTGAAATCCTTCATTTGATTCATCCAGATGTCCATTTCAGTTGGTGAACCCACCAACCCCCACCAATCCACCAACCCTAAACATACTTTCCTTTAGTAATACAAATAATTTAATTACAAGAACCACTATAATTTTTTCCCCTTTTATAATAGCTGAAAATATATTACAAAATAAATACAATTTATTAACAAATTTTTTAAACTTTTCAAATTATCAGCACAACGTTAACTCTCAAATAGTAGTATTGTTAGTAATGATTATTTGGCAACATAATATCGAGTTGGAAGAGACACACGATAATTAGATAATGAATTGTAATTTGTAAGGGCGGATTTTACACTGCCGGGGCGGCACATGTGCTGGGAACTGGGAAGTATTGACCGCAAAACAGGCCCGACAATTTGGTTCTTAATGCTTTCCCAAGTGGGTTTGGTTAGGTAGGAATTTGTCACTTACTATATTATTAGTAAATTAAAAACAAAAAATTGATTTTTTCCCCTTCTGGAATTGGAGAGAAATAATGGTTCTTGTGACACCCGAGCATTGAGTTTTTAAAGTTCATTCTAAAATATTAATTTATGATTTGGATGATTGGTTAGATACTTAGAACTCAACCGAAATCGAGCTTGGTGAATTGTGGATTAAAACCTAACACAAGCTTTGTAATATCTGATTTGAGTCACGAGCTTAGCACTCAAACTCGCTAAACTCGTGATTCAAACTAAAGTAAATGCTGAGAAAGACCAGGTAGAAGTGATGAGCCGAATAATTAAAGGAGGTCAGCTTCATGTTATGCTAGGGTGTGTGCTATGTCTTTGGTTCATACCAAATTTGAGTTTGGTGCCATGTATACGACAATTTGGGAAAGTGGAGAAATGATGAGGTTTTCTGGTGAGATTATCAACAGTTGTCTAATCTACAAAACAACACGAAATATCAGGTTTGAGAGTCTGATTTTGGCTTCCAACGATCAAGTCAAAAAGCGAAAACCTAGACAAGATAGAGTAACTATGAGCTTGAAGGATGACCAACCCAACCACGTATCGCTCAAGATTCGATCGATGACAAATACGGCAAAAATCGTTATTCCTTTAGCCAAGGGGATCTCAACCAACATGAGGTGTGGTCTGTAAGATGGTTGTTTCATTGGTGGTGTCATGAGCTTAGTGTTGTTGCTTGTATACGTGGGTGATATCATTATAGATGGAGATGCACAAAAGGACATATATTTAAGTTACAAGATCAGTAAGGAATTTGAAGTGAAGTTCCTATTTTCATTGAAAAATACTTTCTGGGGCAAGAGGTGAACAGAATAGCTGAGGGACTATGTGTACCAAAGTGTTGTATGCACTTAGTGATAAATGGAAACAGTTGAGCAGAAAACCACCCACTGCTCTCCTGATGAGTAGAGTTAGCCATCAACTAAAATATTGATTAGTTTCTAATTGGCCACTGGTACTCTGCCACGTGGCCGTATGGATTGCAGTAGTATGTTAAGCTGCTTTCCTCAGCTATATATAAATGGAATGAAACAAACCCTGGAGACTAAGGGTTAGGGATGGCAATTTTGCCCATACCTATGGGTATTTTACTATCCAACCCAATTGGGTTGGTTATGAAATCCAAATATATGGATATGGGTAAAGTTTGATGGGTTTATACCCATACCCATTTACTTTGGGTTGGGTTGGGTTTATAACAAATGGATTTGGGTTTATACCCATGCCCAAATATAAATTACAGTTTGGTACCTAAACTTAATAGATATGCATATTTAGTACCTAAATTTAATTTTTTTTGCATATAAGTCCTCAAAATATCGATGGAAAATTATGTTTTGGTACCTAAATTTTTTTGGTCTTACATTTTGGTACCTAAACTTTTCAAGTTTTACAAATAGGTCCAATTTTTGCATGTGTAGTTAAAACACCCTCAAGTAAATGGATATCCATATCCAACCAATACCCATTTAGATAATATCCATATCTAACCCAAACCCATACACACATCAAACCCATACACACATCACCCAAACCCTACCCATAATAAATGGGTCTACTTGGCTTTGGGCAAAATTACCCATGGGTGGGTAAATTGCCATCCCTACTAAGGGTGCTGCCTTCAGAAATTCTCTCTGCAAAGTTCATCCTTTAAATGACTACATGATTTCTTGAGAGATGAGGTTGCTTACAACATAATAAGCTTTCAATAGGAGAGCCGGGTCGAGGGCGAGGAGAATTCTCCAGGCAGATATAATGCTTATTGCCTATCCACACAGAATCACCACAATTCAGCAGCTTTCTTTGAGGTCAATGAAAATCTTCCAATTCTATATCAAGATAAATGTGGATGGAACTCAAGGATTTGCATCCCCCTTCCCGCAACTGCAATTTGATAGCCGCCGCTGCACGCAGAAAGGATTGATCATGACCGTTTCTAAGATGCTACAGTCAAATAAATTGGATTCAAAAATTTGTTATGGTACTCCAGATTTGTATGCTTACTTGCTGGAGACTCTAGCATCTACTGCTTCTGGCTCGGGAACACTAACAACCAAATGACTCTGTTCCACCATTTTGCAGTGATCTTCTAGGAGCCAGCATCTTACTCTCTGATCAAGACCAGTTGAGAAAACCCACTTTCCATCTGTCCAAACACCTTCACAGACATAAAAACCAATTTTCTAATATCAGTTGCCAGTAGAGAATAAATGCAAGTATGTTCAGGGCATATTAATCTCACTTAAGCGATCACCAGACAGAACATCTAGAAACTGAACACTATTATTATGAAATGATAAGCAAGAGTGACTGAAACAAGTCGGGAGAATCGGTTCTTGATCAGACGGATTGAATTATCCAAACCTTTTACAGCAGAGCTATGGGCTGAGGTAACTCTGTTCTGATCCAGGAATCTTATTCTGTGCTGCTTGATATGTACTTGATTGTCATCAACAGAATCCATTAGAGCTTGATCCGAGTTTTTCACTCCATTGGAATCCACCTCAGTTAGTTCAAGTGGTATGCAGAACCTAAGACAGTGAAGTGCTTGATCATCACCCCCACTTATGAGACTGAACTGAAAACCAGAGTTAGAAATTTGATCTTCAAGTACATCAGAGACACTGAGGCAGTTCACCCCAGATTGGTGAACACCATGTAGGATATGTAAAGGAGATATTTCTTGAATGGAGGCTGACGAATAGCTAAAACCACATGACTCTACATCAGGGGACCCATTTTCAACTGCTGAAGAAACTCTCCCGCAGCTACTAACATCATTCTTCACATGGGTTGATGTCCCATTGGCAGCACCATCTAGGGTATCTCCACAGGCATTCTCATGAGATCCCAATTCGATTGGAAATGAGCCAACCATCTGATCTTTGTTAGACATTCTACTGCTCAATGATCTCCACCAGCGCCCACCCTGACTTCCTCTTCCTGTTCTTGGCCTCGTCCTGCAATTTGTCAACTTCTCCTCATCTACCGATGACAACTGCAGCATGAAAGCCTCAATGCTGTCCGTCAGATCCCAGAATGTGATGCTTCCATCAGTAGCTCCACTAATTGCAACATAAGCATTTCTGACAGAGACATTCCCTGGTGGGATATGCATGATAAATTAATGAATTTTAGTGTACGAATGAAAGAATTTATAAACGTAAGGAGAGTTTCACCAAAAGTGAATGACTAACATATCATAACATCACAAATGGTGGCTATGAGAAGCAAAGCTCCGTAAAACCAAAACCCAGCATTGTACCAGTCCCACTTACAAACACATGGTATCTGAAAACTTTAAGGCATGATAATTTATATTATCATGAGCATGCACAGAATTATAAGAATGCATGTCTTTGGTTCAGAGGGTATACATTTAGCCCTTCCAAGTACTAAAATGCAAGGTCCAAATCAGAGTTACGACTAATTCAATGAATTTGATTTTTTTTCTGGGTAAGAATATAACTACTAGGATTCTCTTTGGGCTAGAAAATACCATCATTTTATTAATTTCTTTGCCATCTCACATTGTCGAACTACTGCAGCCTAACTGAAGAGGAAATAACCACTAAGCTAATCCTAAGCCACCTCCATGAAGTGGATTCCTAAAATAAGCTAATAGGATAATGGGACAATTATCCTAAATACCTAATGCTAATGTGAGCAATCGTAATCCTAACACTGAACGGATGGAAATTCTAAAACCAAAATGAACTCACCACTGGATGGAAGCCGCTGTGGGACAATGACATGCTGCAAGGACAATACTGGGGATGTCAAAGGAAACAACATTGAGACATCAAACCTGTGAGAGAAGTGATATATGAAACATAATAATATGTAAGCAAGTGGTTGTCAACTGGACATATATGAAATCACCAACATGGCTACCAGGTTACACATACCATAACCGATGTGGTAAGACAAGTGCTCGCAGAGCAAGCGTCGCATTTGAACAAGAAACAAGAACAAAACAGACAGTCAACCTGAAACGGATAGAAGTGGAAATTGTTGCTTTTAATATTGCAAGGAATCACAAAGGAAATAAGATATCAACAGAATGATGGCCTATCACTTTTACCCGGAACTGGTATCCTTCACCAGAAATGCAGTGACAGCAAGATATCTCCAGTCATCTTCACATGTATCATCATAGCAAAGTTTTGATTCAGCAACAACTTTTTCAGGCATGCTAGCTTCAGATGCCAAATTGATTTCCACACTTGTTTTGCTTTCAGCATCAACTCCTAACTTCCTATCTACTTTTCCTTTGCGATGAGTACTGGAGTTTCTTGCTGGCATATCAGTAGAAAGCCATTTGAATGACATGGAAGAGGAAGATCCCAAAGTTGGCATGTATAAATCACCAGAGTTAGCGCTTTCTTCTTGAAGAGAAGTCTGTTTTTCATTAGACCCCCTATCTCTCAGCAGCCAAGAGGTGAGGACCCGTTTTGCACCAACAGAGATCAGTAAAAACGGTTCCTCCCTGTCCTCAGCAAGCACACCTTGTTTGTTTCTCTGATCACAAATTGCAGCACCTGATGCAGTCATATGTACATTTTTCACTGTGCATATTGATCTCACAGCAGATCCACCAACATGCTCACCCAGCAATTTTGACATAGACCAGCCCTCTATTCCAGGGATATACCTACAGCAATTGCAGCTCATAAACACACACTAAAAAGAAAAAGCCCAAATGCAAAGGTAAATAGGAACCGATGGACAATAAATGATGATTGGTGTACAGCGTTTGACCAACTATGCATGAAAGAAGGTTATATATTAGTCAGCCTCAACCAGACCATGACAAAACTAATAGGCTCTTTCTGCTGCAGGGCACTTCCCCCCTGTTCTTGTCCTCGTGTCTTTCTTTTCTTTTTAATACTATTTCACTATTATAAAAAAAAAAAAAAATAGGTTCTTTCTATACATGGTTACCAAATAGCGACATACCTAGTCAATCTTACAGTTCCATCTTCAGAGCCAGTAGCAATCCAATTTGAATCTGGTAAAGGTCCTAAAGGAGCATGCTTAGTATTTGATCGAACAGAAATAAAACACAGGGAATGGATCTCTTGTCCATGGAATTGAACACGCAGGTTCTGGGGATATATCTTCTTCTGTTGTACCCACTTCTGGTGAACATATATGTGCTCGTCCTGAAAGAAAGATAGAAATAGGAGAAAGGCTTAGTCAAGCAATACGATGCATTGCTTCAAACTGTTCCATGGACTCTAGAATTGTATCGCTTGGGAGTTCTTAGATGCTCGAAAAAATACTTGCTTGTTGAAAGTAGAGCTACCAGATGCATTATATTCAGAGTTTGCTATCGTTCGAACAGATATCATTTTTATCCAAGAGTTCAGAATGGTAGGCATAGGGACCTAAGAATGCAGTGAAGCAGTTTGCTCATGGGACTGGAAGAAGCGCAACCTTGTTTTAGAGAGTGAACATCCTTACTATAGAATCAAGGATTTCAAGTGCTTTATGCGGGTTCAAATGGAGAATCTTACTCAAGGAGCCAACAGGAACCCAAGATGACCTTTTCTATCTTTAATTCTAGTGCACGGTTACATGTACAGTCCAAGTGCAATGACTAGACTTCCTCACACCTACCCAATATGTTAACCAATTATAGACTGTTTGCACAGTTGGAATACCTGTCTTCAGAAAGCTAAATTCTACAGAAGACTGCTTGTATAGTTGCATGATTGTGATAAGTCCAACAATTATGCAATATAACAAATTGTATGAAAGTTTACACCATAAAGACAACCTATAATTTACTCCTCAATATGACGCAAGAGAATGGACAAACTAAAAGATAATTAACGATACCTTAACATATGCAAAGCAATTCTTCACCTCTGGCACATCACCAATAAAATAAGAATGAGGACGTCGCCAACCACCACATGGAATCTGCACGACCTATAGCAAGCACCATACATTTAATATGTCAAAGACAAAAATATATCTATTTTTTGCAGTAATTTACTGATAGGCAACTACCTTTGCTTCTGTAGTTAAATTCCAGACTATGAAATCCGTGGATGCAAAACCAATAGCGTAGCGGCAGTTAGATAGGTCATTGACTGAAGCAGGATCAGAAGACACAGATTGAATCAAACTCAACTCTTTGACTTGCTTCATCCCAATAAATTCTAGGCTCTGCTGATGTCTCTCATATTCAAAAAAGCATATGCAACCATCAGCTCCAGTCTGTACAACGAGAAGAAAGAAAATTAATTTGCTTCAGTCTTCAAACATGGATTTCCAAATAATATAACATGTGGATTGCATGCACGCCAATTCTTATCACAAACAGTTACATTAATTATCTTTGTCATACAATAAAATTGATGTTTCTGTAGCTGTGATGTTGCATCCGCACAGAAGAACTAACCAGGAAACTATGCATGCAATCTTTACCACTCATTGCATATTATAAAAAGACCTTACTTTCACCAAACAAAAGAAACCATTACTAGAGAATTCTAAACTAAAGAGTCATTTCATACCGTACGTATTTCGATCTCTCCGGAACTTAATTTAGCCATAGACAGGCTGGATACACTTGATATCCCATGAGCGCCTTTAAAGTAGCTTGTTGGAGTTACATTTATTTCTTGTCCATTTGACGCGTTCAGCAACAAGTCTTTCAAAAGAGGAAATAGAAGGAGATTACCACGGAGATCCCCACACAAAAGCACCTGTCGAATTTCAGTTTATAATGAGCAGATTAGCTTACAATATACAGTACTAGTACCCAGAATTTTCTGTCAGTTTGACAGGTGAGAAATCGGCATTAATGTGACTAACACAATACGTCACCGATGCTATTTAACATTAAATAGTGTAACATCTCTAAGAGTATGATAGAAAAACAATAGACCAAATCACCAGCAAAATAAACATTTGTCATGCAAGGCTGAGATGGAACAATTGGCTTACTTCACCCTTGCACAAATCAAGAAGAATTTGCAGCACACTACAGTCAGTACAAATTCAATGCTGCACTGAAGAATCTTAGAGAGAAAGAACAAGAGTGATTTAGTACCTCATCCTCAAATGATGCATCTAAGCACATTATCCGAATCCCAAAGCATGATATAAATTCTCCAACAAGAGACACACTAGGTCTTTGAGATGGTTGAGTCACAGATAGTAAGTGATCATTCAACCTCCATAGGTGCAAGCTTCCTCTTGGATCAGCAGTAAAGATGAACCTAAAAGCAAGGGACCAGGGATCATTTTTGTATTCATATGCTGCAATGACAGACCAAGGAGGCTAATGAAGTTTCAAGTTTGACTGAGAAGGCGAGATAATGTAAGCCAACATTAGAGAATGAAAAAAAAAAAAAAAAAGCTAGGCACTAAAGCATTACAAGCAACTTTTGTTGACAAAATCATAGACCAGGCCTATTTCTGTCTAAAAGGGCCAAATATCTCAAGGCAGTAAGAAAAAGGTTTACATGATTAACTTGTTCGCAGCATTAATGGAAAATCAAACATCATACTCCCACTCTGCTTAAACTTCAGGAAAGAAACCTTCACCACATTAATATATGTCTATGCTCGACTGCTTACAGAAATAAGATTACCTAGATCCCAATGACCTGCACCAATAAGTTCCCAGGAGTTGTCTTTCTTTTCCAGCTGACCAATTGTAGGTGAGGCCCACTTCCGGAGAGGATATATCACCAATAACTCTGAGAACAGTCATGTTTCCTTTACCATCTCCTAAAGCAACCCAGTCATCAAGACCACAAGAAAGTTTGGGCAACTTTTTGGGCAGCAAATCCATACAAACAATTGGCACCTCTTGACTGACCTGGACAAGTTTAGTCCACTTGTATTCCGTGTCTGAAATTTTGGCATGATATAGATAACCATGGTTTGTGGCAATGTATATGGTGTCCTCTGAAGTTAAGTACATGTTGCGGATATACTCACTTTTGCTGGAAAAATGGGAATAGCACACAAATGACAACATCTCCAATATAATTTTATCATCATCAAAACTTTATCAGACTACATATAGACATAGTAAACAGACACACTGTACCTGTCCATCAGATTGATGTGCTCAGACGAACTAGGAATCTGACCGGTGAATACTTTCTCATCCGTTGGCAATTTCAGGTCATTTTGTCCTTCCAAAACCCTAGGTAAATAAGAAGGTAGCTGGTGCACTTTGACTGCTGAGTCAAATCCAGCAGTGATAAGGAGTGATGAATCAGGGTCATATAAGCATCGCCAGACTCCTCTTCCTCTGCATATCACCACCAACAGTTAAATTAAAATGTTTTAACCCTTGAACATGAAGATACCGATACATGAGTAAATAGCCGATCATTGGATAAAAAATACTTTATATTGTATTAGACGTCCACAAAGCAGAGAAGTAACTCGTGGCAATAAATTATTTCAGCACAACTTACATATGCTCTTTGACCATCTTGAACTGTTTACCATCCAAGTCCCATACACGACAAGTACAGTCTTCGCCTGCTGTGACAATTAACTTAAAGCACCAAAATAAAGGAACGAGTAAGCCAACAATCCAGAATTTAAATGAATATATACAGAAGGCTAAAGTATCAAGCCACCATGTCATCATAATGCAGCTATACTGCCAGTAGGAATGATATTTCAACTTGAAACACTATCTGAAGCGCTAAAGCTGGAATTGCAGCAAACGGGATTAGTGTGTGATTGACATTTAGTGTCCAATGGTGGAAAAACCTACTATCAAAGGCTCGATAAACAAATGTGGCAAAGACTACTATGAAATTTTGAGCCAATTCAGAAATCCCACTCTACAATGAGTGATTCAGTTAAGCTTAACGAGAAGAATAGTAACCCTATCATACATAATGAATGAGAGAGATGAGGAACCCAATTGGAAGTGAAGTCCTTGTAAAGGCATGATCTTCCTGTTTAAAACGTCTTAAGGAAAACAAGTGAACCAAGACACATATTTCAGAACTTACAGATCCAACGATACAGCAGTCCCAGACTCTAGCACTATGACCATATAGAACAGGGCCAGCTACCACCTCTTGACCGACCGAATCCCCCTGTGAAGAAGAAACTCGCCAGATACGGGCACTGTATTAATCAGAAGAATGTATGAGTCTATGGTTTCGATTGTGAGGTATAGAGGGATAGTAATAATAACAGACTCTACCAGCGATCATCAGAAACGGAAACCAGTTTGGACCCATCAGCGGACCATGCTATGCGGAAGATTGACCCTTCATGTCCTATTAGTTTACCTATATGAGATGCCTCATAAGTTTGCTGGTGAAGCAGCCCCCAAATGATAATCTGACCAGACACACATGAGACAGACATAATGACAAACAGTTCACAATCATGATAGCCGCACTACAGGACCTCAAAGGAGTTGGAATTAGCGATGAACAGTATAATCAAATGTCTTGCCTCATTGTAGATAGTTCCAGAAGCAATTCGTAGGGTCTCCAGACTGTCCCCCCATAGCCGCATGGAATATAGAAGGCACCTATCTAAAGTTTCCACAGAAAGAAGTAAATAAGCAAAAAAGAAGAGGGAGCAAAGTACATTGTCTACCACAAACAAGCTAAATGAAGAAGAACACGAACCAGGGGACTGAACATCAACTATCAGAGTAGAATTGGGGATATCCCAGACACGAACAGAGTTATCACCGCATCCAATAGCAAGATAATAGCTCCCATCATCGTGAGAAACGGCTGCATTGCTCTGCAAACAAAATAAATAAACCAAATCAGCCACATTCAAAAGCACGAGAATGAAACAAAAAAGAGTTCAAGATGGAAAACGGCAAAGTCAGTAAATTTTTTACCTTCAAAAAGGATGCATCCAAAACCCAGTGACTAAACCTTGGCAACGAATGAACTAAAGCCAAATCCACTAGCAGCAGCTGGCTTTGGGACTTGGATTCCAACTGAACAAGCAAATTGAACAGCTTTACCCTCTTTTCACCAAACACAGCAACTCGGAAACTGAGCTCCTTCCCTATGGGGCGAATAGAGAACCGAGAACAAACAGTTCCGTGCACGCGAATCCCTTCGAACACTTGAAAAGCTCCGATCAAACTTCCCGTCTCCAAATCGTACAGCAGAAGCTGAGAACCGGAACCTGTATGGACAAACGGGAAGGAGGTTAAGAAGTTGGTTCTCAAAAGCACTATTCTCCTTCCTTTCAAATCCGGAGAAGGTAAATGTACCGGCGAGTAGCAGGGGAAGAGAAGAGAAGTCAGTCGGCAGATGAAGGAAGGATAGAGCTGAAACTTCTCCAAGGTACTGTCCGCAAATAAGACGATGTTCTCGACTCCGCTGGTCGGCCATCCTGTCTGATCCTCGCCGCCGCAGCTTGGAAAAAAATCCTTTCCAAAGTTTTGTTCCCGCGGCGAGGTCGAAGCGAATTTCGGCGAGCGGGTAACTGTTTTGCTGAAAACGGCGGAACTGGAAATTCGAACGAAAAGCCCGATAGGTTTATGTTAAGCAGGCCCGAAACGGTCTGCGGACAAAAACGGTAGATGGAAAAACGTATTTAAAAAAGTTCAAAATGCGGTGAGCGTGGATCGAACACGCGACCTTCAGATCTTCAGTCTGACGCTCTCCCAACTGAGCTATCCCCGCAAGATGTTTTAATTTACTTCAAACAGTATTGAAATAAATTTAATGACGTGCGCAGATAAAATTATATATCTTCCGTATTGTTTTGGATTGCCTCGTTTTCGTTTGGCTCTGTAGAAGACGGTGCTAACTCAGCAATGGCATCCTCCTTCAAAGCTGAATTCACTCTTGGTTCGTTCCCTCTAACTGCTTAATTCTCAATGTTTCCTTTGATTTCGTGGATCAATCGTACACGAATCGCTAAACTGTGGGGTTTATTTCTTCTCCCTCTCGTTGGTCTTTGCAGAGCAGAGACTCTCGGAATCGCGCGACATGACTGCAAAGTATCCCGATCGAATTCCGGTAAAAGCTTAGTCGTTTATTGTTCTTTGTGGAATCGAATCGGTAGTGAATCTTTTGAACAAACAGCTGAAGTTTTGCTTAATAATAATGATCTAGGGTTTCACTTTTGGTTTGTTAGAGTAGGGTTCTCCAAATTAAACGCCATCTCTACGTTGCAGGTGATTGCTGAAAGATATTGCAAAACGGACCTTCCCCAAATGGAGAAGAAAAAGTAAGTTGGAAGTTTTTGGTGCTGACTTATTTTCTGGGCTTGTACTTGTTGAAAGGGCTAATGGTATTTCCCCAAATTGTTCATCATTTTCAAACCTGCTTTGGTGATGTGGACGCATGTATGACAACTGATCGGATGGGTGAATAGGATTAGCCAGTTGCTTGCTATAATCTTATGATGATGATGATGATGATGATGATCGGAATAGCTTGATTAGTTATCCGTATCCTTTATATGTTTCCTTTGATTTAGTTGCAAATGTGTGTTGATGCTGTTTGTTGTTCTTTGAAATGAACTTATTATGTTGGTAACTAACTGAAGCTCTAAATGCGGCATCATATGCATCGACCCAGTTTTGTGGTTGTTTATGTTTCTTATGTTAGACATCCTGTTGCGGTGATAGGTGATGACGAGGTTCTTTGCTTCAATCATGTCATTGCCACTCCTCGCTCCCATTTAGACCTCTGTTCTTCTGTTTGTTGTCCCTTGTTATTATGTCTCTCTCCCTTGTTCACCTCACTCGAGTTGAACTAGACATGCTCTTATCTGTTTCTAGCTTAATCAGCCCCTGTGGTTTTCCTGACATCTCCTTCTATCTGCGTTGTGTCTAACTCGCAGGTATCTGGTTCCTCGAGACATGTCAGTTGGGCAATTCATTCACATCTTAAGCAGCAGACTTCGTCTGGCCCCTGGAAAAGCTCTCTTTGTGTTTGTCAACAATACCCTACCTCAGACATGTAAACTTGCCATTATCAAACTGCACAAATCTTCCTTCTAGATACTTTGCTCCCCTGCTAGGTGTTGGGTTTTTGTTATCTATATAATGTGCTGCGACTGACTTCCTATGTTTCGACTGTTATTCTGCAGCCACCACCATGGACTCTGTCTACGAATCCTTCAAAGACGATGATGGGTTTCTATACATGTGCTACAGCAGCGAGAAAACCTTTGGCTTCGATGGCATTCGTTCTGATTTGTGAGGATTAGAACAACAGGGTTTCTTATGCTGTAAATTGTTCAGCGTGGACTTGGATATTCCCCCAATGAATATGTAGTTTGTTTCCAAGCTTCGCTCTGGCGAATCCTGTATATATGTGTGTAAATTCTCATATAGTGCATTTGGTACGAACTTGTATGCAAGCGACAGATATATTACAGGTTGATTATCTGATAATTCAATGTCAGTGTCATGACTTGGCTTGAAAACTGAATATCGCCTGTTCGATGTATGGTTATCTGGTGACCTCGCATTGCGGTCACCTTGACATAGTTGTTGTAGTCATGAAGGATCTAATACGAGTTTTTAGGGCCTTCACATAGTTATTATAGTGATGATAGATGAGAGAAAAACTTCAGTGGGACGGGTGCATTGCATAATCCCAATTAAATCTTGCCGTGTGTTAAATTGAAATTAATGAAAGATAATTTTTATTATAGTCTAATTAATCAATAAAAATCAAAGGATAAATGAATTACTAGAAAAGTGCGAAAGCCCTCTGTTCAACAACGCCGCAGAGTCATTTGTTGTCGATCGCCTCGAAGGCTCGAACCTATGGGATTCCCATTCGACTCTCCCAAATTTTATTGCCGCCGGTGGACCATTTCGTCGATATCCTCTGATGAAAAAGAGGGAAGTCATTGGTTGACCGGAAAATGAATCTTATGGAGGTAATGATACTGAAGACTAAAGAAATCATGGCAAATCACCTCCCTCCTTTTGCCTTTTTGCAGTTCCACGGAAGGGGAAAAGTTCAGTTTGGGATCTGCGATTTTGCCGAAACCAGAGAGTTACAGAAAGAGAAACAAGGGATGGACAAAAAATAAAACATGGAAGATAATAGAAGATGGGCAACTCTCATGGGTCACGCGGATGGAAGGAATATGAATTCAGAATCCGTTGCCCTGTTGAACTTTCCGGCCGGCGATTCTGCATTTTCTCCATGGAAAGGGTTTTGTTCTATTATTTTCCTAATTAGTTATCGATTAAAAAGATGATTACTTTCTTTAATTAAATGGACACTTGGCAGGTTTTAATTGGGGCGGTGCATTGCACCCGTCCCACTGCAGCCTAGTTATTCTGCTAACTTGAAAATTCGTTAGTATATACTAACTAATATCCAAAATGTATGAACTAATATCCAAGTCTGCTGAGTATCTAGATAGCACAGACTAGTATTATAAACATCACAAACTAGTATCCAGATAGCAGATACCAACTAATATCCACAATCAACCAACTAGTATTCAATATGGATACTATTATGTGTTATCTGGATATTATTATGGGTTATCTGGATACTAATTATGTGTTGTATTGATACTATTCTGTGCTGTCTAGATATTAGTTTGTGAATTTGGGATAATAGTTGATTCATGGTGGATATCAGTTAGCAAACTTTAAATACTAGTCTGTGCTCTCTAGATACTATAGTACTTGGATACTAGTTCATGTATTTTAGATATCAGTTAGTATCTGCTAACGAATTTTCAAGTTAGCAGATTAACTTTTCCCGTCCCACTGAAGTTTTTCTCGATGATAGTATAATTTAATTGATGCATTGTGAATATGATAACACCGAAATATTTTTTTGAATGTGATTGGTCGTTTTATTAATACGAAATACAGTGTACAAAGTTATGAAGCACCGAAAGAAAGGGAAGGAAAAGGCTGAACAAGTGCAAAACCTAAAGGTAGTCTTACAACAGCCGCAAAGCCCAAAGCTTGGTCCAAAACAAATGGACAACCCCAAGTTCACCCCTAGCAACCCTACCTCAACATGCCCAAACACCAAGGAAAGCTGGCAGCAAGAGGATGAGGGCTACCCAGGGGCGTAGCCAGGATTTTATTCAAGGGGGTGCCATATTTTTTTTACATATATAATTTGATATTTCATATTGTGAAATTATTCTAAAATTATATAAATTGGCTAAACTATCAAGATTTCACAGTTAATGTATCTCACCAAATAACCATTCACAATTTCAATTCACTTGATGCGAAAGGCTGGTCAATCGTTTCACTGCATAAAATGTTAACAACTTGTGCATAGACAACTGGCAATAGCAAATCAAATCAATTTTCACATGCAAATACATTAATGAGAACTAATTTTCTCTTTCCGACTATATATCGTTATCATAAGCATCTAATGATTTTCTCTAATAGTCTGCATTTCTTATCCATATTGATAAACTAGAATGTAAAAATGTAGATATTAGTAGATGAAATTAATTTACATAGTTTGTTGTGGTTTAATGATAGCATATTTGACGATTGATATTGAAATTAAGAGATTGAATATCATTATTAACATACTAATATTATTAATTTTGGGCTTTTCTCCAAATCCAAGGCACCCCCTTGTTTGCCTCTAGCTACGCCTCTGGGGCTACCGCCGGTCCCAAAGGAAGCCGGCGACAACCCCAGTGGAGATTTGAAATTTGAGGCTAGAGTGAAGGGAGAGCAAAAGGAAAGGAAGAGAGAGAATAGTTGTTGATAGCAAGTCACAAATATGATAACACCTAAATTGGTGCTATTTAGCTATTTAGGTTTGGTTCATGCTAATTCATCTACATAATTAGAAGAATATCATCGATTGCATTCCTATTTCGTGTCTATTTGATTATGTCGTGATTTTAGAGTGCCTTAGACGATACATGTGAATTAGGTACGAAAAAGGGCACAAATGTAGTGAAATGGGCAGGAAGCTGAAAATCACAATCTCGACGTGGAAGATCTCAGCCGAGACATCAGAACGCGAAGCAGGAGAGAAGATCGCGGCCTGAGGAGCATAGTCTGTTGCAGCAAAAATGGAACCCTTGGGCACGAACTTTGTGAGAAAGCCACCCAAGAGAAGACATAAACTTTCGACGGTCGGATCACGGTAACCGACTTTCCTGACGGGGAGGAAGTTCGCGGCCGCGACTCGCGGATCACGACCGTGAAATCAGCTTGCGAACTCCCAGAAGATGAAGACCAAAACGACGACGCCTGAAGATCGCGGGCTCGAAGTGAAAGATTCTAGCCACGATCTCCCCCTACTCGGCCGTGAACTGTTCGTCCTCCTAAATTCTATAAATAGAGGACCCCTTCTGCCATATTAAGGGAGCTGATTTTGAGATATAAATTTCTGGTTTAGAGAGAGAGAAGTGAGAGAAGCTGAATCCATCTTCTTTTTTCTTCGTAACCAATCTTTTCATTTACGATCCACTTTTTATCCAAGGAGAAGGAGGAGAAGCTAGAGGAGAGGAGTCATCTTCTTCAACATCAAGCCTTCCCCGAATTCTTTTATGTATCTTCTTCCCTCCTTTATGGAGTAGTCTCTTAAGTTACTAGGGGTTTTAAGTCCTAAATCGTAGTTTTAGGGCTATTATGTAATGAATGAATATGTTAGGATTTTGAATGAATGTGTTTGTCTAGTTGATTTTAATGTTTCTCTAGTTTTAATTATGCTTGGGTAAGTCCCCCTAATCTTCTCTACTAGCCGCTTGAGCTTCTACGCTAGGTATGGAGTTTTAGGGTTAGACGAGTATGCGTCATCTAGCATATTACGGTTAGATGAATGAATAGGGTCTTGTGATGGACGAGGCAACCGAACCCTTGCCACAAGAACACCTTCCTAGATAGAACCCGGGATGAAACATCGGTGTGGACGGTGGGTAGTACCCATTAAAAGAATTTAAGTTTTTAAAGCCCAAGATACGTGAGCCTGTACCGAGGTGACAATGAGGTAGGTAGGGCATACTCGGTGGAGTGTGGATAATCACAAAGGCTCACAGAAAAGAGCTCACTCACCACATTCGCTTAACCCAACATGTTTAGACATTTGCATGATAGACCTAGGATAGGGCGAGCGTTGGTTCACCGAAGTACCTGCTTTTATCCTTGTGTATTCTCTCTACTAGTTATTTCACTTGAATCCTCCAACACAAACCCTTAAACCGATCAGCTAGATAACAACAACGTGGGAAGTAGGCTAGGGTACCGGGACCCGAGTGAATACGACATTGAGTCATTGATTGCCACTATATGACACACCATTATAGGTTAAACTTTTCATATAATGGGGTAGTTATTGATACATGTAAACTACTACAATGACTTGACGAAATGAATCAATCAGAATAATAGATTATGTAATAATACTATAAATGTAATGAAATTTAAACCTTTTTTATGATAGTTATTGTAGTATTTGAGTGAATTATGTTAGGTTTTTTAGAGAGATGTCAATTTTACTCTTTGCTTTAAATATATGGTCAACATTAATTATTAGCCAAACTATTTTTGCATTCTTTTTTGTTAGACAAACCTATCGAATTACTAATTATTAGCCAAATATTTTTTAACGTATCAAAATATTAACCATTTTTACCGTCAATAATTTTTGTAAATACTTGTAAAACGCGGAAGAATAAAGAACACGAGGGTTTAACGTGGTTTCCCCGAGTACCGGGACTACTCCACGGAGAGCAACGCTCTCAAGCAAAGCTTCACTAATTTGTTATTCTGTTACAGGGAGAAGCCAATCTCCATCACTTAAGTACCAGGAGAATGGCGGCTGACCTACTCGACTAATGCCACAAGCAGCTAGGTTTAAGTGGCAAATAATAGAAGAGGTCCTCCATATAAATTAAATTACAAATCAATGCAACTCCGCCCAATACTCCCCCTCAAGCTGAAGCATGAAGGTTTCGAATGCCAAGCTTGGAAAGCAAGACATGAAACTGTTCTGTGCCCAACGCCTTGGTGAAGATATCGGCAAGCTGTGAAGAGGTGCCAACTTTCTGCGGTCGAATCTCACCTGAAGTGACACGCTCACGAACGAAGTAGCAATCCATCTCGACATGTTTGGTGCGCTCATGGAAGACAGGGTTGGCGGCAATGTGCAACGCAGCTTGGTTGTCACAAAACAGTGTAGTCGGAGCAGCCTGTGGAACCTATAATTCACGGAGCAGGAAGAGCAACCAGAGTAACTCACTAGTGGTGCTTGCCATCGCACGATACTCTGCCTCCGCGGATGAACGGGCAACCACCTTCTGTTTCTTCGCCCGCCAAGACACCGGGGCGCCGCCAAACTCAATGTAATAGCCCGTGGTAGAACGCCGACTAAACTGGCAACCCGCCCAATCAGCATCACTATAAGCCGTGAGCTCTAAAGAACCACCAGAGGGTAGGAACAAACCTTGACCAGGAGCTGTCTTCAGATAACGAAGAACACGCTGGGCGGCAGCCATGTGGTCTGGGCTCGGAGAGTGAACGAACTGACTGAGGAGATTAACAGAGTAAGCAATATCGGGACGGGTAATGGTGAGATATAGCAAACGG